ACTTGGATAGTTCAAGAGATCAGTCAGATGCCAAAGGGTGTAAGCCGATCCCCGGCAAGTGGGTATTCAAGCGTAAACCGAGTCCTGATGAAGGCATTCGCTATAAGGCACGATTGGTGATTAAGGGATTCCTCCAACGCTTTGGAGTAGACTTCATGGAAACTTATGCCCCAACTGCCTCATTAGCTGCATTCCGACTCCTGGTGGCAATAGCTGTGCACAATGGCTGGTCCTTACGCAATCTTGATATTATCACCGCTTTTCTAAATGGCAATATAGACTCTGAAGTCTATATGGGGATACCAGAAGGCATAGATTTAGATCCAAAGAAATATGTTTTGAAACTGCGCCGGTCTCTGTATGGACTTAAACAAGCTCCGCGCATCTAGTGGGATAGGATGACCTCATTCCTATTGAAAGCAGGCTTCTATCAGTGCGATGCTGAGCTAGCTATATTCATTCGCAGCCTGGATAACAAATTCCTCATACTCCTCCTATTTGTTGATGACATCCTGCTAACTGGTGACCAGGACGCAATTGAGGAATTCGTCAAAGAATGCTGCAATGAATTTAAAACTTGAGATATAGGAACACCTAGGCGCTTCTTAGGCATCCATATTAAACATCGGAATGGCAAAGTGATATTGCATCAGAAGGCATATATACAGCGAATTCTCGAGCGCTTCAACGCACCCACGAATCCTGTTGCAACTCCACTTGATCCCAAGCACCCACTTGTTGAGGCAACTAATGCAGAAAGTCTAAATGAAACAGATGCTTTGGAATACCGTGCTGCAGTGGGAGCACTAATCTATCTCATGATTTATACAAGACCTGATCTTGCATTTGCACTTTCTCGCCTCTCCAAATTTGTGCAGAAACCAGGTATAAAGTATGCCGCAGCGCTCAAGCGTGTACTCAGGTATCTAGCTGGCACCCAGAACCTGGGCATCGCCTACTGCAAATCATACTCCAATGACTCAGTCTTATATGGCTACAGCGACTCTGACTTTGCCGCTGATTTGAATAACCGACGTTCAACTTCCGGTTTCATATTCCTTTTGAATGGCGGCCCAATATCATGGAAATCAAAACAGCAATCCTTAATTACCAGCTCAACTCATGATGCTGAGTATATTGGACTGGCAACTGCATCATATGAGGTTATCTGGCTTTAGAAACTCATTCTCGCTATTCTGCCTCAGTATGCAGAACATACAATGCCTTCCAACACAATTCATTGTGATAACCAAGGCGCCATTGCAACTGCGAATCAACCTAGTCACTCGCTCTCTACTAGGTCAAAACATATCGATATCCGTTTTCACGTTATACGCGAGGCTATTGCAAATAGCCTTATTCGTCTGGAGTATATTCGTACAACAGAAATGACGGCCGATATATTGACGAAAGCACTACTGAAGGAATTGCATGAACGTCATGTAAAAGGGATGGGAATGGAATCGATATAACATGTATCTGAACTGGCCTGGTTTCCTCCATAATTTTTCATCCCACAGGGTTTTGCATGGAGGTTTTCCCCCAGGACTGCCTGTATATACTCTCTTTTTCCTTCTCTTCTTTTCTCACTCTCTCTTTTCCCCATTAAAATCACCCGTGATCTAGTGGGAGGAACCTAGCCAATCTGACGCCTTTGGTGAGATCCCAGATGAGTGGGAGTGTCAGCGTGCTACACCCGTGAATCTCCCTCCGGCGCGGATCAACTATGTTCTGAGAGTCATGTGACCTCCGTAAAGGGGTCAGCACAGCTGTAGTTAGCTTAGATTACCAATAACAACAACCAGCACATTAACAAGTACGTTAGTACGTTACAAAAAAGGCTTTGTCAGCAAGCTGACCGCTTTGCGGCCTGAGGTATCCGTCTGAGATCCTGAGGTAAACCATAACTAGTTAACGTACTACTGTTGGATAATCCATCTATTCCAACAAGGCAGAGATCAACTACATCAATCCCCATTTGGGCCCCTAGATTTCAGCCCAATATTTACCCCTCATGATAGCTCACAAATCATCCCACCAAGAAAAGTCTATAAAAAACCCGGCTTTGGAACCTCATGTACTCAGAGAAGACAACAGAATACATACAATCTTGCTAGTCACTTCTTCTTTTACCATCCTTGTAAGCTGTAAAGAAATCGGTGAATGGATCGTATAGACTCAGAGGATTGATATCATTCAGTAATAGTGATTAATGATCAGTTGCTTGTAAGTATTGATAAGAAGTTGATTCGATGCGTTGAATCTCTGTGTATTACCTTGTCTTCTCTCTACTCTATTTACGTACAACTCAGGGGTTGAGACTATAATTAGCCTCGGAATCACTATTGGAATCTTTTGGTACTAGTCCGAACGGGGTTAGGCTCTGATAGGGGTTGTACAATTTGGGTGAGGAATAATTGACTCTGATTTGCACGTCTTCTAAAACATAGCTAACTACACATCTTGATCCTCTTTATATACACATCATAGTGGCAAAGTATCACGGATTTACGGGATAAATGACAATCCTGACTCCAAAATGTAGGCTTGAGTTTGGCTCTCATGTTCTCACGGATATGTCGTTATTCCGAGGAATCATGATTAGTAATGACATCCTGATTGGGATTAGCGTATCAAATATCCAACAATCACTAGTTATCACGTGACCTGTGATCATATTCTTTACATAACAATTATTCAGGGTTGACCTGGAGTTAGCCCATCAATCCGACACTTAATCTTTAAAAGTAACCCTAATCTCTGTCTCCAGCGGCTATTCCGATTCTTTCATTGGTGAATGTTATCCAGCATCGTTTCCGATGCAGCCATCTCCAATGGTAATGCGCAGATCCATGCCACTGCAATAACCTGCAAGGCTAACGCCGACTATCTAACATTCGCTAAATAGTATCATCAATCGATGCAATATATAAGTGAAACACTGAGTCTAAAATGGTGTATTGTTTACATATGAACGTGGGTGGGTAAGAGTGGAAATCTTTCATATAATTGATGGGTGTAGATTTTTGTATTTCAGTAGTTTGGAGTCTTTCTAGTTCATTGCACCGCAATCCGATACGCCTCAGCGGGTTTTCATGGTGTAACAATCCTAGCCCATATCCATTATACAAAGGCGCCCCAGTTGTACACTTGACGTTCTTAGGATAATTAACTATACTCTTTTTGATTTATGTCATTGTTGGGTCACCATTCACTACGTCTCATCGGAAATTCAACCCATAAGGACACCGAAGCCCTTCGATCTTATAGAAAGAAACTCGAGAATCGCTAGATAGATATCAAACGAACTATCAAAAGAATGATTGTCGCAATGCATGGTAGAGGGTTCGGCGACCATGGAGACCACCATAAAAATGCTACCCATGGTTCATGCTTCCCGTGCTGATGTTTCGCGCCCCTCCAATGGTGAAGACAGAGATTCGCTAGGAAGCCCAACCGGTAAGGCCCCTCGGGTCGATAACTCTACAGGTAGCTGGTTCTCAGCTCCACTGGTAAGCTCTAAGGCTGTTGCGGTGGAGGGATCAGAAGGTAGCTCAGGGTCAGGTACGCGATGTCGACGGGAGTAAAAGGCTTTGTGGGACAAGCACTGCATTAGCATCTTAGCATCATCTGGCGGTTTTATTTCTCCATTCAGAAGTTGGGCAGCGGTGAGCTTCTTTTGATAGAGTTTTTGATTGGAGGATCCATTTTCAATGAACGTGGCTAGTTCAACACTGAACCCGCCAAAGAACCCGTTTGTCTTGGACATAGCCCACAATGCCCCTAGTCCGTGAAGGCTTGCGCCCAAGCCAACCTCACCACATCTTCCCATGGGGCCCAAAGCCAAAGATATGTTTGTGGTCAATGTCAAGCTTCCGAGTTGCGCGAATGTCCTCACTGAGGATTTCCGAGGTAAGACAAATATAAAGTTTGTAAATTCGACGCCAACTTGGCCGCCAAATCCTACCCCTCCAACGACAATGGCCGACGGAGCAGACCAACTGCCGTCATCAAGTCGCGCGACAAGGATTCCCGAGCCAAATCTGACGGATCCCATGAATGCTCCTTTGACTGTGGAGATAATAGCGAGACCCTACGTGATTATTAGTGACATGGCAAGAATATAGAATAGCAGTAAGTTCCTTAGGAAGATGCATGAATGAGGACGTATGAACGTGAAGAATATATTACCTGCGCATTTTGAAGAATCTGTGTGGCTGTGCTATTTGGAACGCTCGGGTTAAGGAATGCTTCGAGGATTTCGCAAGCTTTCTCGCACTCGTCTGTCTGATACGGTTAAATCTTTACCATAGCTTGAGGGTGATAATGTGTCTATAGGTAACTCACGACGTAGAGAGGAGGGGAAGGGGTTGTGATAGCCCCCAGCCATTATATCAAAAATAAATAATTGGGCTATATGTTTACCTAGGTGCCTAATATACTCGTGTTCCGTACGAGGTATGGAACCTTTGTCCAACTCGGCTTGGCGCCAAGCCCGCCCAAAAGGACAAGCGGTGAACCAGGGTTTCGTAATTTTCCTTGACAATTCTTGGCAAAAGTCCCGACAAAATGTCGAGCCTTGGCCAAGACGCTAAGTCATGTCACTAAACCTCGCGCTGTAGGGTGCTTGGATTAGAAAGGATTTTATTTAAGTGTTATAAATATCTGTCGGAACGTGAATATCAAACCCTACACGTTCTGGCACCGGATATAATTAGTCTGACGCGGCACGCGCGTGCGGCGTATATCTAGTTAGCTATCCCCCGTCCCCATTACCCTTGGGGATCAGTCACAATATTAGGAATCAAGATATCTTCATATTGTCAGGCTCATTAGGCCGCTTCGTGTTCGCGCCTTACTACCGTCTATGCTTCGTGATGCGGACCGTAGTTAAACCAACAATATCTTTACTAGCAAACATAGCAACGGTCTAACTATATCCAGTGGACATTAACTCCATCGTTGCGAAGCGATTATTGTGCGTTCTTTTGCAAGAACCCGTTACTCACTGCTATATCAAGCTCTGCTTCGCATTGCACAAGGTGGGGCCTTGGATAGCACAGCTATATCTCTGATAGATGTACTGAGTCAATCCCACACAGAGAGACCACTAGCAGCAACGTCATCCAACAAGTCGGTGTTAGTAGCAGGGTTGCCATTTGGGAAAGTGTCTCCGATTGTGACGAGCATCACCAGAGGTTTTAGCTCCCTCATCTCTGCTTCTGGCATCGACTCCCTGGACAGCCAGTTAGGTCTGTTATGAGTCTAATAACCGTACAAAAAATCGCTGATCCTATTACCATTTCACATCGCTCTAATATTGTGCGGCATCAACAGTATTATTGGAGAAATAAGATGTATTCATCTCGTGACCATCATCGTTCAAACAGCCATTGATGACGGCATTCCAGTCCGGCAAAAACGGTATCTCTGGCATTGTCATATCCAGAGACGAAAAGATGTTTTGATTGGAATCAGCAATTAACTCTTGACCTATTTCGGGAAGATTAGATATTCCATGAGCTGTTGCTGTCGTGCTAGGGGCCGGCTGGATCTCTGTATCTGGAAGAAGTTGGGCAGTACGATCTCCACCACGGCTGGCCGAATGCATCCCAGCTTCTGAAGTGGCCACGGATAGTTGTGCGTGTTGCCTCAACGATAAAGCTTGATATCGAAGCTGATTGAGGCATCCCCAAATACCACCGTACGTATAGTCATCATGCATCCCCGCCGAATGATCATGAAGGCTCATTCTGCGAGGAAAGAGCTCTTCAACCAAAGCCCAGGCACGTTCGGTCTCAAACCCACCTGGAATGCTACTGCTACAAAGACAGCGCAGAACGTAGGCGAGGGCGTACCATTGTGTGTACATGTTGAAAAACCACCTGAATCTGGAGGCAAGATCCTCCTTCAACAGCACATAGCTACTTTCTAAACCATCACATGCCAACTTGAAAGACAGCTTGAGCACGTCAGGAGTCGCATCCTCCTGACCCTCTTTTTGCTTTCGCATGCCGATCTCCTCTCGTAGTTGCAACACGAACTCCATCTTCTTACCGGCGGTAGTGATATGCTGGATAGCAATGCGTGACAGATCATTGGGTGGTCCAGAGCCAGATAAAATGCCGTATTTAGCTGATAAATACTGGCCATGCTCCTCCATAATCTTTCGTTTCTCTATGGTGTTACTGAGAAAGGCACCTGTGGAGTTTTGCTCTTGGAGCTCTAGAATCGGATGCAGTAGTCGGCACGATTCAGTTTGAATAAGAAAGAAAGACATTTCAGTCCAGCCATCCGACTCCACAGGAAAGCGCGTCATGCCTGGGTAAATTTGATTGTCATTCACATTCAGAGGAAGCCTTAGGTCTCGGTTCATGACATCTACCGTGGGTTGAAATCCTTGATCCTCAGGGGCACGGGAGTCAAGAACACATAAATGCCACCAGAGACGAAGGCGCATTTCTGTCTCGAAGGGGCTTAGTTGAAAGCAGGCACCGTCTCGGTGTAGGCCAATCGACTGGGCAAGCCGGATCGCCAGCCCATTGAGGACCCATACACTGCGGCCAACTTCATGCACCCGTAAACAGGTCTAGGCAGATAGTGTCAGTAGGATGGGCCAATCGAGCAAGGGTACATGGTCAATTTCATAGCCAGCCTCAGCACTCACCACATAAATTGCAAGGGCCTGTAATGCTGGCATATCAGGTCGATTCATAAGATCGGTTGCTATGAGGAGTCGGTCCAAGCATATCTTATAGCGTTTCAAGATCTCCAGTTTCTCACAGGGCAGCTCAATTGATTCCGCGTTGTCATCGTGGCATAGGGCCGTGATAGCGGCAAAGTAGATGGCAAATGTCAACGCGACTGTTGAAGATTGTGCAGATGAGGGGTCCAGAATAGTTGCAACGACAGTGGACTGGACAGTTGGTATATGCAATATTTTAAGAACCGGATCAACCGACTTAACATACACATTCCATAACTGAAGGGCAAGTTGTGTATCAGGATAGAAGTCCAGCACGTCTGAACCCATTTCTAGAGGAGCACAAGTATCTGGCTGCCTAGGAAGTGTGTTGTGAGATTTTGTACTGTGCTGTAGATGCGAAGGCGTCGTTTGTGAACCCGTGGATTGAGCAATTTTAGCGGTCTCTTCCTAATAGACGTATCATATTAGCTTACCGAGATGGGTACGATAGCTTTACAGGGATAAATGTAACTTGTGCAAATAGCAACTCACATCTCGCGGTGGAATATCGATATTCGAATTACTGGCGTACCGAGCAACTCGTTCTTCATTCAACAATAGTTCCCATGTTGACTCGCAAGAGCGTTGGTTGGATGGAGTTCGGATTGCAGTTCCAATCGCATTGGCATTTGCACTAGATTGAACCTGAATCTGGGGCTGAGGCACGCCACTACTACCACCACTACCCAGTGCAGATGCTGTAGTGAGTTGGCTGCTCTCAGCAAAACGTGAAAGCAAAACTTCCAATCGTTCCAGGCGGTTGGATATATTTTGCAGAGTGGGACCTTTCCGGGCCACGTCCGTGTCCTTGGTGGGATACACGCAAGTAATGCCACATCTTGAACAGTTGCTGCAGGGTAGCCCACGGTCACAGCGGATCTTCCGCTGGTGACAGCCTCGACAGGAACGGGCCCCTAGTTTGTAGCTTTGCGAGGACGAGTCTCGGAACGGATGTGATATTTCCTTGTTGTCGGACGAGGTAGAGGGTCTCTTTTGTACTCTAGCCATAGTCGTTGATGCCGACCGATACTACTTAGTGCTCCTAGTTTGCGGGAAGCCTTGAGAAAAGGAAAGCTGCAAGGAATAATGCAATAAAAATGGATGCAATTGCAAACAACAGAATTGATACGCTTGAGTCCAGCAGCTGAAACGTGAAATGGTTGTCAAGAGATGCATAGGAGAGAGACCTGCCCTGCGGCGAGTGGGGAGAGCCGCGATGTCTCTCGGCATCTCGGGGCCGAGCGGTCCGCGGTGAATCCAGCGGTAGTAGATACTAACACCGCTTAACTATTAGAACTATTAGGCGGGAGTAGTTTGGAATCTCTGCTTCGATAGACAATAAAAATATTACGCATTTATGTATGTTTTCTACATACCCTTTGCTCGTTAAATTTAACCCAGTCGAATCACATTCCAGCTGCTATAAGACGCTTTCTGTCGCTACCTGATATCAACGATCCTCGTATAGTAAACAAAGAAATTATACTTGTCTAGGGTCTACTATGTACGACCCACGTCGGCTCACCTATCCTGAACCTTGTACGGAGTATGGAGTGCCTCAAAGGCCACCATTAACGCCGGCGTGTTCGGTGCCGCAGGACCGAAATTGTAAGATGCCAATCAATGACAATCATTCACTATGAAGCGGCCCACTGCTGCCTAGTCAAATGCTACAAAAGTACAATTGCTGTCTGCATAGAGTCTAGGACCCTGCACTTAAATGCTTATATGTGCGAATCACAAACAGCTTTGCGCCGTCTAGTTTCTCAGACCCACTGCCAGCTCAGGATTAGGGCAACGCGGGTCTGTGAAGTTGTGGCTGATTGGCGCCCTTACGCCCCGAGAATTTCTAGAAAACTGTCCGCTGGATTCCGCTAGATCGTGACTGAATTGCATCTGATAACACTTCGGATCTATCGCCGCCGAAAACGCCGGCGTGGATGATGCAGCGACCAGGTAATAGAGACATAAAAAAGAGAAGAAAGAACGCACAGAAAGAAAGTATATATATATATCAATCTCATGCTACCTTGTTAATTCAAATAGTAACAATCCGCAATCCAAAGATTAAGTTTTGTATTGTACTCTCCTCGAACCTCACTTGCAAAACATCGATCACAGCCGATTCTCAGCCTCTTCGTGTTAAGCTATCTCATTTCGTTCGATTCCATTCCGCATCCGCAGTACTCAATCCCTTCATTATGTCGGGCACAGATGTCGTCAAGGAGGATGCCAACGACATCTCTAGCGGCGGAAACTTAATAGGACTCGGCTCAGTCAATGGCGTCGACAAGCCTTCTCGCAAGGCCATTAACGCCATGAACTGGCCTCTGTGGATGAAGATCTATCATACCGCTATTCCTTGCTTCCTAGCATTTTTGATGTAAGTATAGAACGACCAAGCCGGAACTATGTGGTATACTCCTGCTAATCCAACTAAAGCACGTTCACCTCGTCCGTCGATGTCCCTGCCACCGAGGCACTCATGAAAGAGTTCAACATCAGTCAGACCAAATCCCTCCTCTCAGGAACCCTATATATGTTGGGCTTAGCGTTCGGTCCTATGATCATGGCACCCCTATCAGAGTTTGTTGGTCGTTGGTGGCTATACCTAGTAACCTCATCAAGCATCGTTGCTTTTGCATGTGGTGCTGCTGCTTCGAAAAGTTTTGCCACCCTTTTGGTCTGCCGTTTCTTCTGTGGATTCTTGGGATCTGCTGGAGTTGCGATCGGTGCAGGAACGATCCTTGATGTCTGGGGTGGCGCAAAAGCTGGAGGATTGGCAAGACTTCTCTTCATTTGCGGACCTTTCTTGGGACCTTCTCTGGGCCCCTTGACAGGCGCGTATGCTATGCACGAATACGATGGCGACCGCAGGTGGACCCAGTGGGTGGTAGCCTTGATTGGAGCACCCACCTGGATTTTGATTCTGTTCATGAAGGAGACTTCTGACTCCCGAATTAAACCCACTCGTGAGCACTCCGGTCCGTTCGGCATTGTGATCATAGCCTTGTCAACGCTTAAAGCTGCAGCGGCCCGTTCATGGAGCATCCTTACGACTGAATCTATTGCATTCTCCCTGACTCTATACACGGGATATGCATATGCAGTGATCTTCAGCTATTTTGCAAGCGCCACTTATGTTTACGAAATCGACTTTGGTTTTAATGAGCGACAGGTTGGCCTTTCTTTCATCAGTGTGGTCATCGGTTATTTCCTGGCTGCTGTTATGCATGTCGTAGTTGAGGGGACACTGTATGCTCGAGCTGTGCGCAACGCCCCTGATGGCTATCCAGCCCCAGAGCACCGACTCTACACCGCGATGGCTGGGAGTGTTTTCTTGCCCATTGGGCTATTCTGGTGCGTTTGTTGATTTCCTGAATTATGCTTAGTTATTACTTCGTGCCCAAGCTAATCTTGACTTCTTTGCGATTGCAGGTATGCATGGGGAGCTCAGCCAAACGGCCACTGGGCAGTAGCTGTCGCTAGCGGAATCCCATTCGGTCTTGGTGCTTTTGTTCTCTTCGTGGGTATTCCATCCTTTTCGAACACTAAAACTTTCTTACTGACTTGTCTTCAAAGCTGTCCTCAATTATCTACCTCGTTGAGGCATACGGAGCTGCTGCTGCAGCATCTGGTAAGCATTCTTTATGTTTCGACTGCATAATTCAAAGCTAATTCTTCCCCAGCGCTCGCCGCTAACGGATCTATCCGATACATGCTCGGAGCGATATTCCCTTTGTTCACCATTCAGATGTATGAGAATCTCGGCATCCATTGGGCGGGAAGTGTGTTTGCCTTTTTGTCTTTAGCACTCCTTCCTATCCCTTGGCTACTGTTCAAATACGGCCACCTGCTCCGGAGAAACAGCCGTTTCATATCATCTACTTGAGCAGAGCGCCCGAGAAATGAAAACACATTCGTACCACGCATGTACGCGCATCAACGGGAGTAGATGCGCTACCCCAGCATTAGCATTTTGTTAAAAGCACTGAGGTCTCAAGTTTTACGCATTGTTATAGAGGTTGTATTCTAAGAATTTAATAACTGGTGTTGATGGATAATTGTATATATTTAATTTTACTACCAATGAATACCATGAAACCATGACATGATAAAGTAGATGTGACAGCGAGTAAGCAATATGAATAGCATTGGTCTCTATGTACAAGAATATTAAGCATGAGGAGGAAAACAAATAGTGTGAGTGAGTGTGTGGTTCTATTTAACGGCCATGGTTCGTGACTCGCACGCTTCCCAGCGTTCCCTGTTGGGACAAAGGCCGCCGAGGGGTAAACTTCGGACTTCAAGATCTATCTTCGTAACAAGCTTATTGGAAACAGAGATTTTGGGCCTTGAGGTCGTATTCGGTGATAAGGTACAATCTTTTTTTTCTCGCAAATAGATTGCTACACTTTTCGAGCTAAAACATGCGACTGGGATGACTGATTGGTGGAGAGAATCGGCGCGCTATATGAGATGCCTAGCAGGTCTAATTATATGGGCCTGTATCCGTTATTTTGATACGTTCTACTATTTGGGTAATGAGACAAATCCCTGGTGAAGGTCTACATAGAGCTGATTAAAAATTAGAATTAACGTCCTGAAGTATTTGATACGTTACAGGGCCAGTGTGATACCTAGTTTCTTTACCAGGTTTTCTTAGGAATTGAAACGGCAAACTCAATGCTTTCTAGCCCTTCCTGAATACCCATACTCTCCTCGCCAATTCACTGTAAAAGTTTTCTTTCATCTACACTTCTGCCTCCTTTCGATTCCATGACCGGATTACTTTCGGTATCTCTTTCGCTCATATCAGTTTCGATGTATTTGCGACTGCTTTCATCCAGAGGTTTCTCTGGAGGCATTGCATTGCGTTGTCTGTTCCTGTTATTTCTTTTGGCGCAAACCTCGGCTCAGACAATTTATTGTAATTCAACTCCTCCTTGCTACAATGGTGCTTGTTGTGGTATGGCTGATGGGCAGGGGGTAAGTGAAACTAATATGGTCCCTTACCAGAAGCTGCTCTGGAAATATATGCAGACCGAGTCATTACTCTAGATTTGTGGCTATGGTAGCTTCTGCGACTCGAATATCTGTGTGAGCAACTGCAATGCAACAGCACAATGTGGAAAGGATGCCGTGCCAAAGTTTGCAACCTGTCCATTGAATGTGGGTGATACTTGCAGGTGTCTTATGTATTGAAACTCACAAATTATACGGCATTGGCTGCTATATATCTGATTGTGTTGACCAAAATACTGGTCAGTGTCAGACTGGGTACAGTGAGTTGGATTACGTGCACAATGGAACCCTTGACGTGATTAAAGATCCCAATGTAGGCAAATCGGGAGGTGAAATAATTCTGCTCAATATCGCATGATTCGCTGCCCAACCAATGCATTGCCAGTTGGCTGTTCATGGGAAGGAGACTGTAATGGAATCTGCAACGGAGGAGCCAACACTTGTGCAGATGACAAGTTTGAATTGGTTGTGGATACATATTTGGATCGAAATGGCTCGACTCCCTGCATGACAGGTTCTGTGAGATCTCTATGCTGTAATAAGAACCCAGTACTTGAGAAATGCTCCTGGTCCTCATGCGGATCATCTTGCACAGGTAACTACACATTTGCAGTGCAGTTGTCATTTTCTGGTTCCAGTATGCTCCTTCTCCTAATTCAAGCTGGTATCAACTTTCATAAGCTGACATCCATCAGATTTGATACCGAATGATGTAGAGTGCAATTCTGACGAATTATCAAGTTTCTGTTGTCCAACTGCTGGTAAGATATAAGCATGTTTTTGCGATGTACTGATGCTAAATATGTCTGAAAGATACCTACAAGTGGTGTAATTGGTATACCTGTAGCGAAAGCTGTCCGTCCACTAAGGTGTTAATAACGCAACGAATCGAGATATTTCAGAGTGGAGTATCGAACAGCTGTGACAGCGGGTTTATTAAACTATGCTGTGATCCTCCAGATGCGTGGAAGACCTGGCCTCTTGAATTTTATATCCGCCATACATGTTATTTGGGAATGTCCATATTTCAGGATTTGTTTACTGCGAAAAAAGGCAAGTTATGTCATGAAACAGCAATCTAGAGATCATACCTATAAAAATAAAGCGGATATTCACATATTTGTTGCGCCGAGATGACAAGACTAAATTAACTTCCCAGTTTCCCGCATGACTCTCTTCTGTTCTCGTGTATAATAAATGTAACTCAACCCAGCTTCATTCCACAAATCTTTCAAATCAAAGTCAGACGCTCGTCCCCGGGATTCCAGCGCCAAAAACCCTGGCGCAAAGATCTCAATCTCGTCCTTCCAGTCTTCTAACTGCAGATGGATGAGGCTGTTTCGTTGTATCAGGACGTCAACGATCGAAAGAAGGGGCTCATCCATATTGATTCTTCGCAATATTAATCAACTTATTCCTTGCACGATCCAGACAAACAAGATTCTTACTCTTCATTGAACCAAGGAGCAGCAAAAGTTCTTCCATTTTCATAATCAAATAGTTCATGGAAAGGCCATCCCAAACCATAATGATAATTTATGATCGTCGAATAGTTCCAAGGCATCAGATTAGCATATTCGCCTATACTTCCATCAGGTTTGAAGGTCATCACTGACACCCAGCCCTTATACAAATTGTCCTGATCAATTACGGTATAGGCTATGTTCAAATTTTCTTCCGGGTACACAATAGTGCCAGTGCGGGTCATAGAGATGGCGCGAAAGTCAGCAGGATATAGGAAAAGATTCCTTAATAAGTCCTGATAGTAAAAAAAGTCACTGTATTCAGGTGTTGTGGAGGCGTCAACCAGAATATCCGGTATTTGTGAAGATTCATGCGATGCATGGCAGAGTGGGTGGGTGCCTGTGCCATTGTGGAAGTATAGAAGAATCAAGCACTTGACCAAACGGATGTAATTGTCCGCATCATACTCTTTATTCACCGAGGCCAGGAAGAAGAAGCGTTTTTGCGAAAGATCAACACCGGAGAGAAGATTCGGAGGGTATTCCAACGCTGATCTTCCATGCGTGAACAAAGAAAGTGCAAGCAGAGGACGCGCCATATTCTATGAACTTTATACCTCGACGAATTGGCACCATCCTTTGCATTCTTCTTTCCAGTCTTTCCAGTTATCATCTTCTGGCCCTTCGGTCAAGTCTTCCGCTGGATGAGTACGAATAAAAGAAGGAACGCCACCTGGCCACAGTTTCTCCGATGTAAGTATTGGCTGTAACATAGTAGTCCTCAGATAGTTATCGTAGACAGAACGCAAGTATAACTGCAAACTCTGTTACTTCCTACAAAATCAAGATGAAAATGTCGGGCAAGGAACGAGTAGGATAACACAGATTATTCAATCCGATTGAATCATACGATCTGGCCTATTGAATAGTACCTCCAAGGTTGTGTGAATAGGTGGGAAGCGAGCCTGTTCTGAACGGAAGGTGTTGCTTGCACAGCAATTAAAAAAAGCTGGTGGAATAGCGTACTACACGGGTCATTGGGCAACCTGCAAGTCCCATACAAAATGGCCTTCTTCAACACCTTGACTTCTCAACAGATTTATATATAAGCCATATCTTAGACTTGACGAATGATTCCTATATGAATCCCTATCAGAAATATCAATTTGGAAGTGCGCCTCTTCTATAAGTCTTGAGATGTTAGAAACTAGCCTAGTTATTAATGTACATTTCATGACAGAGGGGTTCTTAATATTTTTAGTAAATCTAGATGTTGGTTTAGCTACGTCCCGTATCACGAAGCGTAGGATATCGTAAGCTAGGGCGATCCAACTGTTCTACGTGGTGAGCCTTGCTATATAGCACGAAATGTAATATTATAAAAGACTGACCCCCGAAACTAGGGGGGGCGGGGTGCCTAGATACATTATATGGTGTTGGTCGCTCTAGCGCACGGAGAATAGTAATCCCGACCAGTTCGCGTACGAATCGACGGCGTGCTACAGCGCCGTATAGTGATTCGTAAGATCGCTATTCAAACACTAGATATATATTAATACCTATATTATAAGCCATATTCAACTTTTAGATATGGTTTATATGTGAATCTGTTGAGAAATCAAGGTGTTGAAGAAGGCCATTTTGTATGGGACTTGCAGGTGGCCCAATGACCCGTGTAGTAGTACGTTACAGTCGCAGCGCTTATTCAGTCAGGGGTTTCTCTTTAAACTTCCACTAACTCAGCGCCGTCACGTCACGTTCGGTAACTTACGTTACGGCGTTACCTACACATGAGAGTAAAGTCCAAAAATAAAAATTTTCATATATCTATAGTATATATGGAATGCATTAGCTATGAATCTGAAAGAGTGAGGCAGGGCACATACATAAAAATGTTAAACTGGAGCGATTTGTAAGAAACATCTCTTGTCTCATCGGGTCCCATAAGTAAACATGCTTCTCAAGAACTAGATTTGCATGCGGTCTGATACTTCTTAAGCCCGATTTCCAAGGTTATCTCAATATGAATCGATTAACTGACAGATCTACCTAGTACTAGAGATTAGTCTATTTTCATCTTCAATACATACAAAATTGTCAAAAGCTGTAGCTCTTTTTCAGTTTCGAAAACATCTCTCCTTCCACATCACACAAATGACGATGACATCTCCCCCGAACACTTCTTCTCCGTATGCCTACAGTAATTTAGAGACTGAGAAACCGGGTCCAAGAAACCACCCCGACAGATTTATTTTTGAGCGGCGAAGATGAGTCTTTGATCAGAGAGTCTCTTGATCTGCCAATGCTCTTCTCGGAGAAACCACTCATCTCGAATTGTAGGTAATCGGTTGATTGGTATTCTCACGAACGGACTGATGTACACGGTTCTACTTATTTTGGCGGTTGCCACACTTGGTCTTCCGCAACGTCAAAATCAGGCAGTCATGAGGGTTCGAATGAAATTACCAATAGATATGATCGTCTCAATGATTAGCGTGGGCCAAATGGCCTTCGTATTACTGAGGATGGTCGACTGGTTGAGTGTGGGGAGACGGCAGAAGCAGCAAAAGTAAATGGCTGTCCTTTTGATAGCTTTGCCTTCTCTTATGTGCCACCGGCATGTATTGAGGAGGACCTTATGAAAGAGGCACTCATACCTGATTCCTATCTTGCGCCTTGGGTTATAACCTGTTCGTATGCAGGTATTATAGATCTTATAAAGTGTATAAAGCACCACAGGCATGCTAATAATTTTATGCTAGAAGCTTTAGGAATAGAATCCTTGCTAGGTACTTTATCCAATAGTATCAAACAAGTTACTTGCTCAATCTTATAGTGTATAATTTCTAGAAATAGCAGTTGCTCAGAATATACAGTATTGTCAATATCCACCGAATCAGCTTCTAGAATTGCGGGAAAGAATAACTCGCTCAAGAGCGCTATTTTGGCTTTAACAGTTTCTACTGCATGTCTATCAACTAACTGCAATGTTAGGGTAATTCCGGATTTGTAGGATCCTTTACGTGAGCGCGCCCACTTGGCTGATCTCCAGAGTCTAAGCGGACCCTGTTCCGTGGCTTGTTGCACACGACGACAATGTCCTAGTCGTAAGGACTTGCTGACGAGTCGCTTCTTCTTGTTCCGGGCACACGTAGATACGCACGCCAGATCCTGAGATTGACCATATTGATAATTCCTCCTGCCTGACCATCGGATTAACCTCCTATTACTATATATATCTAGATCTATCTATCTATATATGTATATACATATCCCACATAACGTTGTTACAAGATTATAGTCAATAAAGGAAGTCTCAAACTTCACTACTGCACGTTCTCCATCTTCAGATTGGTTTCATTTGATATGTATAACTCACACGGCCACTGACGCCACCACTGACCTAAGTTGAGCTATAATTTCGTGACGTGCCGCCCTGGGTATCATTTTGCAGTGATGATGCTGCCAAACTGGCTGAGCAAGATCAATATCTGCACCGTAGCTGAGCAATAGCTGAACTACATCCCGGTGTCCTAGTTCCATTGCCAACTGTATAGGTCTTCCACAGCGCATATGAAATTGTTCAGATATATCATAGAAACCTGGCATAGAACTATGCAAGTCATGATAGCCGATGTTGGCATCTGCGCCATAAGCGAGTAAAAGCTGCACAAAGTGCACATCGCCCAAAAAAGTAGCTCTAACAAGTGGTGGGATATATTCGTCTGGCTCGGATGCGTCACCCATTGTTGCATTCAGGTCCCAATCATCATCAAGCACGCAGGGACCAGGGCCTGCTGGTCGATCTGAATCTTCAAAGTCGCATTTCACACCGTTCGCGAGCAAGATATTGACAATTGGGACATCCTTTCTGCTCACAGCATGAGTCAATGCTCTAGTGCATGGTATGCGGTCTGTCCTTTGAACGAGTATTTCTATAAGCTCTTGGTTCCCTTTCTTTACTACAGTCAATAAGGGTAGGCCTCCCATAGTATAGCTATGTTCCAGATTAGCGTCGGTGCCATTTTCAAGGAATAATCATACTGTCTCAACGTCTTCCAGCCCTGTCACATAATTCAGTGGTGTTGTATGAACAGACCCAAATTGAAACTGTGTATTTAGATCAATGCTATATTCCTTCAACAGTGTGGGGATCAGGTGCATATATTGATTTTCCAGCACTGCTCTGAGCGCCTCCTGGGATTGCGTCGCGTCTGGCAAAGAAGTATCGATGTTGGCATTAGGAACGTCGCGTACCCAAGCAGCACCGCCCTTGAACTTTCGAGACTGTTTCTCTCGGTTCGAAATTATGGACTTTTCATTCTTTGTGGAGTGATTATAGAAATAGAATTGTTGTACCTCTCGTTGCCAAATCAGCTCCCAGTCCTCTTTATTTTCACTTGCACTTTCGTCGAGTTCAACAACAGGTGTTCGTTCCTTGATAATTGGGGGGGATTTAACAACAGCTGGTCGTCTTTCGATAAGCGGGGGCTCCCAGCTCCAACTCGAGAACTGGTCCTCTAGGGACTTTTTATCAATCGGACGGCGTTTTTCTTGTACAAAGATCATTTCACATTCATGGGGCTTGAAAGCAGGTTCATATTCCCGCTGTGAAACTTTCTCCCAATCAATGCCATCGAAAAGCGATGAGCCTTGATTTCGAATGCCCCATTCGCCCCTAGTCGGTCTTCTGGTTTGCGAAAAAGCAGCTTATTTAGAATATCTTGTGCAGATACTGATAAATATTTGGAATACTCAAGAGGTTCTGAGAGAATGTTGTAACGTCTCTGCTCTGCGTCTTCATCGTAAAACGGAGGCAAACCCGTCAACATCTCAAATAGAAAGGACCCTAGCGTCCACTTTGATTCTTTGGTAACAGTGCTTGTCAATAAAGGTCCGGAAAGTAATTTAGGAGCTAAGTAATCCATTGCAACGTCAGTCGCTTTTTCAATATTCCTTGTCTGTAGATGCAGAAAGCCCAGGTCGCATAGAACAATATGCCCCATGGAATCAAGGAGAATATTCTGGGCTTTAACTCATAATAAGAAGGATCTACTTCGTGTAGCAGTTCCAGTGCAATAAGGATCTCTGCAGCATACAATTTTGCCCTATCAGTCTGGAACCGTAGCGCCTGTTGTAGGTGGTAGAAGAGGTGTCCACCTCGAGTGAATGGCCAATATAAGCATATATATGAGCATGTTTGCGCGACGAAACTAAGTGGTGCAACAAAGGGGCTATTGTTGATTGGCAAAAGGAATGACTGTAGTACGTCGCAGTGTGGTAACTTGTCGACTTTCTGAATGTTAACGGACGCATAGAAGCGATTAGTTGACGCTTTTCAAATTTTATACACAACATCAAAGCGACATTCTCCAATAGTACATTGTGGTTTCGAAGTCTCGATCTGCAGCGCCCTGTTTGGTTCGTAATCGCTCTCAACGAGTAATTTTCCAGTGCCATTCTCGATTGGTAGCCATTCCATTTGATGAGAGTTTCCGTCTCCAAAACTAGGATTCATTTTCGCATAACCAAGCAGCGTATCTTGGCTTCCTTTGTAGTGACTATCCGCGTTTCTCGCATATAGACGTATTTTCAACTCTGTAGCTCTGGCAATGTCAAACTTCATCTTTCCCAAATTCAGCCAATCCGGGTTTTCATTGGTCCCCTCAAAGGCATCAATAGAGATTTCGGACCCATCGCACTCTAGGATAGCATAAGGCAGGCTTCGACGATTCGAAATTGGAAGAGTTGCGCGTGTAGTTTTGGGTGTGACATTAGAGGAACTATTTTCAGGCTGCTTCGAAGCCGCCTGGTATTGTGGGACTGAGAGGCCAACAGCCCTGTGAATATGTACTGCCAATACCCCAGTCCCAGGAAAGTTCTGCAATACAATCGGCATAATATCAGGCTCTGTCACTCTTCATGCATTAGCCAGTGGTCAAGTGAGATTAACAGCTTCACATACTGCGCGAATCATCATCTTCAGTAATGGGCTTCTTCGGTGGCCAGAGTTCCGGAGGGAGTGCAACCACTTTCCTGTCAAGATCCATCAACCTGCCTGTAGAGAATTCAGAGGAAGATCTAGTTGCCAAGGATTATGAGCAGTAATAATTATATCAATTGTACACTTCCCTTTGGGGAATGATAGATTCTCGCTAGAGCGTTCTCAGACAGTGACAGACATCTCGTAGCTCCTATTCTGTCTGTCTTGCGCAGTGCTGTCGTCAATATTTTTATTATCAATGGCGCCAATCAATATGGACAATTGATATAAGGGGAATATTGATTGACTATATTATCAATCAGCCGGTTTCAAAATGTTTGAGACTCTTGGCACGGATTTCTTCAAAAATGTCGACACACGTACATTTTCCTACATATTTTAAACTCCACGCGCAACAACGTGCTAATACGCGTAATTTTATACAAAATCTCGTGTCAACTTTGAAAACAAAGTCATTTCTAGTTTAGGAAATCTCCGAACATCGTGATATCGAACCATGCCACCTCGACGCGCCTCTAAGGATGCCACTGCCTCTCAGCAACCTCCAACAATGAACCCATACAACCTTCGATCGCTTCATATTCTACGTTCTATTCGACCGGGGGAGAGTTTTGATGAAAGGCACTATGTGCCAACTAGAGCCCAGAACCAAATACAGCGCATGAAGGAGCGGCAAGAGGAATTCGGATTACCTGCGCCAATAACATCAAAAACCGCTATACAGAAAACTCGTCAAGACGCTGCGAAGAAGGTAAATAGTTATCGCAAGCGGCCAGCACCTTCAGGAAGGAAATCTACTACGCGGTCTCCTTCCAAAACACTATCTGCAAAGTGAGTACGGTTCGATATAACGTCTTTGAGAGACGCTCCAGACAGTTCAGTGGAAACTACACCTCTCCGCGCACAATCTAATGCACCAAGGGATGAGTCTATTATTGCATCCCTGGAAGCAGATACTAATGAGGAAACCGATGACAACGAAGATAGCGTTAGTGAGGATGATGATCTTCCCGTGGTAGTTCCAGGTAGACCTCCAGGTTGGAATATGGCTGATTATTTGAATGGTGAATATGATGAAGAAGAGAATCGCCTGCTGCGTGATACGCCATTAAGCGAGTCAACACCATTCAATTCACTGGATATCGAGATAGCAGCGACAAACCTTTATAACGCGAAGGAGGATTTCAAAAAACTCAGCGCTAAACGACGTATCAAGGTCGCCGAGCACGCTCTTCGTGAGGCCCGGGAGGATATTAGTATTGTCAACATATCTGATATCCAGGACGAATTTAATCATGAAATCGGCTAGCGTGATTATTCGATTGGCATTGATCTGAGAGTCTATATTAACAAGCGAAAAGTCATCAGTCAAACACTCTATGATATGACTCGACGTTCATTTGATCTTGGTGTTGTAGAAGATCAGTTCCATGACCAGATTATCAAATACACTGATGACGAACCTTTTACATTTGAAACTTGTACGGCATTTGTGAAATCAATGTCTGGTCGTGGAAGACAATTAAGCCATCAATTTGATGATTTTTCTATCACCGAGACCCTCAAAGTTTTAGATCTCATTGATAATAAACGAGAGGCTCATCCCGGTACAGCTTTATGCGTTCTTTTTGAGATCAAAGTGGCCTGCGAAGCGCTTATATCAAAGAAAAAAAGGACAGCAATATCGACAGCTCAACAACCCCAGGATCCAATATCTATTCCAAGCTCGCCCCCTGTACTGCCGACACAAATCCGTTCTACTCGTACCACTCAGTTATTGGAAGAGGCTGCAATCCATGAAGCGAGACGAGACCAAATATTGACAGCTGGTGATTTCCAACGTCAGTTGATGCAGAAATATCAATGCAACGATAGAAACTGTACGAATTATAACAACTTTTGCTTCCCTAATCCTATGGACAATACTCAGCACTATAATATCCTCGCTACTCAGCATGAGCTTTGGGCCAATCGGATAGCTTCAGGTGGTGCAACCATCGAGAATCCACCAGATGAGTTGAAGCAGTATTGGACGAAAAAACAAGGTTCGATAAACCGAGATTCTCGACAACCTGTTAAAAAGAACAATGCCCAGATTATGGAGCAATTTATGGAGATGCAGACGAAGATGTATGAGCAACAAATGCAGTATAGATTGATGGAACAGATGGAAGCAATGCAGGAAAAACAGGAACGTCGTGACGAGGAGAAAGAGCGTTGTCATTTACTGCGAGAACAGCGCGATTTATTAACACAAATACCTCATCAAATGGCTTATTTATTGCCTCAAAGATCAACAACAAGCCTTTCTTTACTATCATTTAAAACTGATAAAACTCCTGCACGATTTGAGGCTATTCCTACTACACCAACACCACGCCCGAGGTCATCTAGTTCGATAGATTCAAATGAGGACGAATATGACACGCTTGCCAAATTTTTCACCTGGAAAATCAACTCAATCAAGAATCAAGATAGGAAGAAGAAATGGGAAGATGCTCAATCAACCATATTTGCAAATGACTGGTCCATACGAGAGTTGAGGCAAATGGAAGACGATAAAACCCCGGCATATCAACGTGCAATAAAGGCAGGTATCTCAGACGGTCTGGCGAGAGGCTTCAAGAGAGAGTTACGCCAGTATAGGCAGTTCGTACGCCGTGTCCACGACGAACATGCTGCAGCCATGGCTCTAGGTGCGTTAGGAGGTGGAAATTCGACTATATGATGAAGTTCTAGGTATTAATACATTACTTTATTAGATTATTTCATTTAATCGCTTTGTTTGATTGCTTTAAGAATATTTGATACTATTCACTGATAAGTTGATGCTTAGATCTGCCTCATACTGCGCGAGAAATTGATGAAATTCAATGAGTTCTTTCTCTTCAATATACACTCCATTCCCAGCGTGTTTAAAGTGTTTTCTGGCGAATCTATCACAACGACTCTGTTGAATCGAAAGATGGATAAATTCACCGTAGTTGCTACATGTCTCACGCAAGAAAATCCAGTTCCTTTTCATCCACAATTTAAGAACACTAAAGGTGAGTTCTATCGGGTTATAATTGGGTGAATATGGTGGTAAATATCGAATAAGATGTCCTGCGCTCTCAATAATCTGACTAACGTGTTCGCGTGTATGGATCTTGACGTTATCAAGAACAATAACCATTGGGAATCGGTGTATCTGGCTGAGTGCTGGTATCAATTTTGTTTCAAGCTAATCCGCAAAGTCACCAGTACTATAATATCCATCTTTTATGCTAGTACAGGGAAGATAGCCCTCCAGCGTCATTGCTGCGCAGATGCTCCATGTCTTGCCCCGATTTATATCTGCATCTATTTCAGCATCATCTCCAATCGGTGCATATGCGTGTCGACGCCAGCCCGTTTTCTCGTTAAATATCGACTTGTCAAGGAAGACAAGATCATCCGCTGCAAATTGGCGTATATCATCAAGATAGGCACGGCGAAGAGGTTCACTCCGGTTTAACGAGATTCGCTTAAGCTGTTTTCTTGACCATTTACGGCGCTTAAATAATCGAGATATTGTTGGCACACTAACATCCACACCACGCTCATAATATAACCAGGATCTGACTTCATCTTGTTGCCGCCAGCTCTCATGAAGAAGATATTCAAAAACAGCATCCTCGTCTGCTTGAGATAGCTTCCTTGCTCGTCCTAGGCTTCGATAAGCAGGTTTCCGGAGGCTGCCATACCGCAAGAGGTTGCTTTGATACCGGAAGATAGTGGCTCTTGAAACGTTGCAGGCGCTCGCGATGGCTTCACATTTCCAACCCAGGCGTAAATATCGTCCAATCTGGGAAATTTTATCGCCAGACAAGGCGTTGCTCTTATTTGAAAGAGGGCGTGGGATAAGCTGGCGAGTTTGTTGACCTGCTTCAAGGGCAATGTTCTCAGTGGTAGGTCGGTTTGGCAGCTCCATGACTTGGTATATCGCGCGATTCGAATTCCCCAAATTAGAAACGAATTTGGCTTCAAATTTGACACGAGATTTTGTATAAAATTACACGTATTAGCACGTTGTTTCGCGTGAAGTTTAAAATATGTAGGAAAATGTACGTGTGTCGACATTTTTGAAGAAATCCGTGCCAAGAGTCTCAAACATTTTGAAACCGGCTGATATTTATTGACATTCGGGAATGGTCTCGACAACCCGCATCATTTCCCCCCTCCATTCTTCAAACTGTACAGAAAAATACTCGATCAATATGAAACCATGGACTCTAAAGTAGACCCATCTTTTCTGTCAGTTCCACTCACCCAAAGTCAACAACATCAAAGCCAAGAAGTATTAGGAAACTATCGGCTCATCAGATATGGTTGTATACTCGTACACCGCGAGAGGGAGAACTAGAGCATCAAGGAAAGGACCGTCTTTTCTACTGTAAGTACCGTAAAGCCTACTGTGCTCAAGCAAGTACCAATTTTCATGACCATATCAAGAAAAAATATGGGATTGATATTCAACCTAAATTATGTCTAGGTCAATCTACAACTACTAGTTTATCTTCATTAGATCGCAAAATCTAATGAGGACAGCTAATCTGACGAGCTGACTGAGCCGGGAATACTGAATTCCTAATATTATGACTGATCCTAAGAACTAGGGGGATGCGGGTGGTGAGACGTATGATTCAACAGATACATATAATGGTCCAGCTCCTTCGAGGGAGAGGAAATGTGGTCAACTTACTTTGGGTTCTGGCACACTCTAACATTGCATTAATGTAGGTAAAAATGGCCAATCAAAGATCAATAACTGAGCAATATGATCCAGAAAACCAGCCATGTTAAGCTAAATCAACCGCTGTGAGACTTGCCATTGCCAAGCAACGACAGAACAAAGCCCTTCCAGATACAATAGATACGTATTAAAGACCATTGACATAGCATTACTACCAAAGCATACCCGCAGCCTATACAATGGGCTGAAGCAAAAAGAAGCCATGGTCCTGGCTCAACTACGGACAGGGATGACAAGGCTCAATAGTTATCTAAGTAAGATTAGGGCTGCGGAGTCACACCTTTGTGCCTATGGACAGGCAAGTGAGACAGTAGAGCACTTTCTATTCTATTGTACAAAGTGGACAACAATGAGAGAAGGCATGCTACAGTGTACAGAAACTAGAAGAGGGAGTTTGTCATTCTACCTTGGAGGAGAAGCACGATCTGGCCCTGAACGATAGCGACTAGATATTAAAGTGGTACGAACAATAATCAGATATGTCATGTCGACAGGAAGGTTTAATGCAGAACACGAATATGGACTGGACCAGTCACACTAGAACTAATATTAACTAACTGTTCCCAATTTCATGTACAGTAGACCCCACTGCAGCTGCTGAAGATAGAATGCTGCACACTCAAAAGAAGATAACCTTTGAGCTAGTCTATCAATCTTAATTTACTAGGTGTTGGGAACCTTAATTCAATGAAGTCTTAAGCGCAAACACTAAGACACCATGCCAAAGAAGGAAGAGCATGGGATTTTTAGGAGGATAGGTCGGAAACACACGAATTGCATGTATTTATCATACTAGTGAACTATAGGGTAAACCCCTCCGGGCGTAAGAAAAATCATTCATTCATTCATAATAAACCCTACATACATCAGAAGGATATGACACAGGGTTGTAACATGGCAAGACCTAGATATAATCGTTGAGTAATGCATTCTTTTGATTATTCTCTCTGAGCATTCCAGATTGAGCACCTAGGGAGAGGACGTGGGCCATAGAGCCTGGCTGAAAATATGTCAAAACTCAGAATCAGATGAAAAATAATCTTGTTTTTTCTATTGAAGGGAACACAGGTATCCGAGACTTTTAAGGCGTCTTCTCTTACTTACCTATTAAAGTCATATTGAAAGAAGAATTAGTCTCATTGCAATTATTTGGGCATAGAGACCCAATTGTAAGACAATGCTGAAGGCCACCCGCGTCATGCATCGCTGTGCGCTGTAAGGCTACTCCGTATAAAGCTTACGTTAAAGATACTTAACCATATACAGTACCCCGCAGATTGATTTAACAAATATACGCCGAAGTAAAGTAATTACATTCTCTAGTATGCAGCTAATCTGCCTAGTCTCTCTTCGTGGTGGTACATGACCACCTGCAGAGATGGAGTGAAATGGCGATCTCGATCTACGTCCATTCGCAGTTCTCTGATAGCCGCCCTTTCTCGCCTATAACTTCCTTTTTCCACTGAAACATTTGCACTATAAAGACATATGCTGTCACGGAATAGGTCCGGTGTCCTAGCTACAAGAGCTCTAACGATACAAAAGAATTTGATAAGAAGGAAAAGGGAAAGGAAGCCCCGGTCTCCTAGGGCCTTAAAGGCCCTGTTATGTCCTGTCCTTTACTAGAGCACCCCGACCTTTTCGGACTAATACTGATTCCTTCAGGCCAATTGAAACTCCTGCAAGAATGCCTTTCCGAGAACGTTCGAGATAGCTTCGCGGGGATAAGCACAGTGAAGTCTGAGCACAAAGACATAGACTAATCCTTCACATATACTATAAGCTAACGCTTTATAGAACCTATCCTTCTCTCACCCCTCTTCAGGCAATATACCAGGTTGCATACCTGAAAGTGCACTGTGCAATATTAGGCAACCAACAGTCTCCACCTCGCTTGCAAATGAGATGGCCAACCAAACAGATCTGAGAGATAAGACAGATGGTAGTGATTGAGGTGTAGATATCCTTTGTACGCCTTGGATACATAATCGTTGTCCCGTCCAGAAGCAAACCGGTGCATGTTTGCGAAGGAAGGGGATAAAAACACTTAGCCTGGTCGAGCAATTCCTGTGACCTCACAAAGCTTAACTGCCCAATGTAGACACTCGCTGCTCTCGACAAACTACTGTCTACATAATCATATACTATTGTTGAAAGTGATTTCTATGGTAGGAAGACAACGAAGCCTTTTTACGCCATATCACTGGTCTACAAAACAGACTATCAATTGGTTCTATTTGGTAAAATGTCAATCCCAGCAGGCCTTACCCCGCGTTTAAAGTGCGCAAGCTCGAGGCCAAGCATCTGTCCGTCGCCTCAGCGATACTGTCCCAAACCAACATCTTCCACTCGCCCATGTGGGCAATCGCACACCCGGATAACCAGACAAAGCGATGTTATGATATGTACAACGCAATCGACTATTTAGTACGCGCTGCAATTGAGTCTGGGTTAACTTATGGGGTTTTCGACAAGGAATGGATGTTCAAACGGCCGGAGTCGGCTGCCACTGATGGCGCTCTGTACTGGGACCAGACCGACCTCATTGCCACGTCTGAACAGCTACTCGAACAAATAGACTGCCCGCTGGTGTCTATCTGTTTGCACACGATGGTTTCTACCATCTGAATCTCGATAATTTAAAGACTTCCTTGAGATCTTCCCGCTATTTGCAACCATGCACGAGCACTTTCACACGATCGATAAGCGTGACCCGAAATCCTGGGAGCCAACAGGGCCCGGCCAGATCATCATGCGGACAGAAACATCAACACGTGCAGATTATGAAGGAATGGGATTAATGAAACTGATGGCGCACTGGGAGATAAAGGACGCGGCGGCGAAGGGCTTCCGGGGTATCAACATGGAAACACTACACCTGGCAGTCGATCACGTCTGGATGTACCCACACAAAACAAAATCGGACGCTAATTAGGTCTGGTGTCAGCTATACCTTCTAGTCCATCTTAACCATCACGACCTCATTCTGACGATACAGGCTGGGTGACTGTGTGTGGCTGGCTGGCCCTTTACTCTTCCTAATCGTACCTGATCGCGGGATTATTTGAATACCTGATCGTCATGTATGAACCTGACTATATGCCGCAATCATGGCAGACAATGCTATTTAATTGATCTGCTCTGGTTTTTTTTTTTCGTCGTCAACGCCACGTCGAACAAATCACTTGCCCGATTCGAAGGCGCCATTTTCATGGTACATCTGTTCGGTTTCTTCCTTGTGCTGGTCCCGTTCGTCTATTTTGTCCCAAAGGGTAATGTCTCCATCTTCAGCACTTTTGTCAATGGTGGTGGCAGACGCAGGCACTGTCTTTCTCCGTGGGGATGCCGAGTTTGGGATTTGCTCTTTTCGGTAAGTTGTCACTCCCCTTTTAAGGAAAATTGAGTCACGCTAAATGATCTCTAGCGCCGATAGTGCTGTACGCGTAAAATAATTTTTTATCATAAACAACTATTGGATTACGTTACTGACGCTATGCAGATGTCGGAGGAAGTCTGCAGTGCCTCAATGGCGGTCCCTCAGTCCCTCGTGTTCAGTCTCATTAGTAAAATACACCCCGCAAATAAAAAGACAAATAGCATAGAGTGCTCTTCAGCCTGCTTTTCGTGAAGGATCTATATACATTGCGCAGCTAATGTCGGATAATGGGGCCAATTGAGGCGTCTATGAATAACGTATCTCATTTTCGAAGATGATTACAGCCAATATCCCACCCTATCAAAACCATTCTGCCGCGTCAGCTGCTTCGTAAACCCTGAATATCTCCGTGCCTTTATGTATGAGAGAGTGTAAATTAATTACCTCTCGGAGCATCTGGACCCATCTAGAAAGATGTTGACAAACCTATCTCTAGCAAATCCAATACTGCTCGTCCCATAAGCGCTGAGCAACTTGCTCCTTTCATTGGACAATTGGTATAATCCTATGTACAGAATTTCTAGTTCCACACTCCACCTCATGCCTTCACTCATTTTTGCAAGATCTTCGAAACACATGATCAAGCGGGAGCATTGTTTTCCGTTCCGAGTTTACTGATGCTACGGAAATATTGACATCCGTACTTGGGATGCGGCATCAAATATCTGTCCCTCTATTTGAGGATATAACCTTCATATTATGGATTCCTGGGCAAAGGTTCACAACCTTCAATGTTGTAGATATAAAAGCTGGTACCTTTAACATTTCAATAGCTGTTTACTCTTGTCTACACCCCTGCCAAAGATAGCTCTTTCCTCTACTCATTCGCAATGCGTTCCACGATATTGAAAGTTGCGGCCGTGCTGTCGCCCGTCGCGCTCGCGCAGGCGGCAGTCTTCATACCAGATTCCAGCTGCGCCACTTGTGCAGGATTGGTGGGCCCTGAATTCCGCAACTGCAAATATTAGATCGGTTCTAACAAGCGAATGAGATCTCTAGAGCTCCCTCCCGGTCCCATATAACCTCTCGGCCTCGCAGACCAATAGTATAGATGAAGGTGCATCCAATTCCTTCTGGATATCTTCTTTTGTGAGCGGCTCTAACGGCCACCAATACTTCATCCTGTCGCATGTCCTAGGCGGCTCGCTTGCCAGCTACCGCGCATCTGTGCTCGACATCACCAACCCGTCCATCCGCGCTCAGTTCTCGACCAGCGACACCGCCAACACCAGCATCTATTCGGACACGGGTATCTTCAACTTCACCACCAGCAACTTCACCTTTGGCGCTACTAGCGAAACAGATGGCCTCACTAAGATGCGCACCTGGAGCAACTATAACAGCGTTCAGTTCGATATCACCTTCGAGACCTCCTCGCCTGTCCTGCTCAACGGCGGCACAGGCAGCTTCGAGGCTACTGGTGGATTCGGCTATGAGTGGTCTATGCCCGCGGGGAAGACGACCGGCTCGCTAACCATTCAGAATACGACCGTCACCATCGACACTTTGCACTCCAAGACCTGGTACGACCGTCAGTGGGGAAATGTCGCCCAGGCTTGGTACTGGTTCGAGATCCACATCGAACCCATTGCCGCGTACCCGACTGGTGCTGTCCTGTCAGTGTGGAATTGGATAGACGACATCTCGGGCAACAAGAATTTTGCGACTGTGAGAGACGCGCTAGGAACCCAGAGTATAGTGCCAGTCACGAAGTTTGCTCGCAACCTGAATTCTGTTTGGACTTCGGTTCACACGGGAGACAAATGGGTACAGGAATTCGACCTTATGTTAGAGGACGGGACGTCCCTCTCCATCTCGAGCGTCAGGGAGGATCAGGAACTGTGGGACGAGGCGGACGCGGCTGCAGGCGGTGGTTTCGAGGGATACATGACCGTGACTGGCTCATACAAGGGCATTCCCGGAGCACGCGGGTTCGCTGTCAGTGAGCAGTTAGCCAACTCATTTTCAGCTTTCTCTTAGAGTTGAAAGATCCGATAGCGGTGATAATTGAGTGTACCGGGTACCAGTAGAGCACAAAGAGGTTGCTGCAGGACGATAAGTGGTCCTTTCTTTCTCTCGATGTCTACCCAAAGAATGCGAGCCGCGCTTGCCGTTACGGCATTCCATAAGGGGTTTTCAATCTCTGTATATTAGCAACAGTACCTTTGTTAATGAACATTGTCAAAACACCAAAACCTCTGCCATATTGATAATTCCTCCTGTCCAACTCCTGGATTAACCTCCTATTACAGTTGCACGTATTCTCTTAGTAGTAGAGAGACTTTACCCCTTATAGCAGATAGTCTCTTGTTAAGATACTGTACTGAGTACTACATGATCCTGTGTGACTTCAGAATAAGAAACGTACTAACAAAATCACCGGGGTGTCGAAAACCTTGGTTGACAGGTAAGTCAGATCAGAGTAAACTTCTCACTTAACTAAGTTTCGGTGGTATTCTGCTAACAAGAGTGTCACAAGGACAAGTACCGAGTTATATCAAAGAGATAATAAGAGAGAAATAACTTTGTTGACTAGCTTAGAGTGATCCGTGTACAGCATGTACTCTTATACCCTAGGTTGTACAGTTAATAAAAGACAGTAGAGTAGAACTAAATATATTGTAAATGAGCGTCCTTATATATCTCCTAAATTCCCTGCGATAGAGAATAACTCTAAGTTCAAAGAACAATACCAGATTTGATGAGTGGTGGGACAGAGATTGTAACACAACTGAACGCCTTAGCATTGTACATGGCGATAAGCTTCTAAAATTCCGATACCTTCGGGATTATTGGACTATGCTAGAAAAATATTTAAAAAGTGTATGCTCTGGATAAGTTCCAATTTGTCTGTGATTTTGATAAGCTCCATAGCCTGATAGTCTCTCCTGATATCGCCTACATTCAATATTTTCTATCGAAGCTAAAGGCCTCCTATCCCGAAGCTGCAGCGGCAAACAAAATCCACGGCCACCTATGTGACTTGTCACAGGTTGAGTTGCTCGAAACTAACCTCAATGCACTCCTAGAGTTCGCTACGAATAATAATACCCATAAACTCGACCGTATCACTTACACAGTGGCGAACGTCCCGAGACTCCCAGGCTTAGCCGACTATCAAGCTTCTGAGACAAAAGCATCAATACTCATCCTTCGCTACGATGCCCCTATAGAACCTACCATAGCCAATAATAATATTATAGAAGCTATAATAAGTCAAATAGCATAATTTGTATACATTACATTACCTATACCACTTATATGAGTTATATCTACCAAAGAAGTATCTCATCGTTCTTGGGAAGTTGGCACCCGCATACATGAACCCAGGCCCACGCTCCACACTGGAGCGTCGACGGCTACAAAGCCGACTCCCGGCCGAGGTCTACTTACGGCTTCAGGAGCTTCTACCGAGGGTGTGGCGAAGGGACTCGCAGTTGACTTGGCGCCAATCAGAGTCAACTTTGTCGCGCCGGGTACAGTCGATACTGAGTTGCTTAGAGCGCTTGCTGGACCGGATCCTAAGGTTCAGGCTGGGTTCAAGGAAATGCTGAAGTAGATATTGTGAATGGTTACTTCTACTGTAGCAATGCTCGACGGTTATCAGGCTGATAATCATAAAGGATTCAGAGGAAGATCTGGTTGCCAATGTAACAACCAACATCCTGTCCAATCTCGTTGGTACAATAAGGTTGATGCGAGAACAGAAAGCAGTAAAAGTGTGAGTACTTTAGCTGGCTATGGTTAATGTATCGCCACGAAACAACATGAATGTCTCTTATATAGAATACAAGCTGCGGAAGCAGGGAAGATGGTTTTCAGTACATTGACATTCCATACCCTACCTTATATGCTCAACTACTGTGATCCCTCTTGAATCTCTCTCTCTCTGTATATACGTATCCCACGTAACGTTGTTACAACCAAGGATTATGAGAAGTAGTAAATACATTAGTTGTACACTTCCCTTTGACGAATTCTCGGTAGAGCGTTCTCGACGTTCTTATTCTCTCTCTTTGCTTGTCTTCTCACTAAGAGGGAAAACTATCTAAAACTTATAGGTTCATATTTGAGTAGATAATATACATGGGAAAACCAAGGAAAGGAAAGCAAACAAGAGCTCCAGCTCGCATATAGAAATTTACAGGTGTGTGGGAAACGGGAAGACTCAGCTGTGCTTAGCGGTATCAGGGGCTGAATGAATGAATGATGTTTATTACTACGTAGTACGCCCAGAGGGACTAACCCTACAATTAGTCCACCCGGAAATATTCATGAATATGAGTATGAATATGGTCAATGATCATATTCATTTATTCACTTCGGAGCTCTATTCGGCAACAGATGACCGTTGAGTTCAGGCGGATGGAAAAATGCCTCGCACAAATGGAAAAGTCGATGAAAGAAACAGTAACAACGTTACGAGGGATATGTATAGTCACGTTCGAGAGGGATTACTTAAGGGCGAAGTACACAAGGTAGGGTATGGAATGTCAATGTACTGAAAACCATCTTCCCTGCTTCCGCAGCTTGTATTCTATATAAGAGACATTCATGTTGTTTCGTGGCGATACATTAACCATAGCCAGCTAAAGTACTCACACTTTTACTGCTTTCTGTTCTCGCATCAACCTTATTGTACCAACGAGATTGGACAGGATGTTGGTCGTTACAGGAACCACACCCTACATGTTCTCGCTTCCGGCCACGAAGCAAAGATACAGGGACATGTAGAGGAACGGGCCTGAAAAACTGAGTGGCAGTGCAGCTAGAATCGACGTACCTAGTTTTATCCGAGGTGAGAAACAAACTATCAATCCCGTTGCTCCGAAGTTGCTACATATCGCGAGGTACCGATAACATCCTTACTTGCCTGCTTGTTTAGCAGAGTAGGAAGCATATCCTCAGAGTCTGCCTCTATATCGTTTCCGCTGTGTTTCAAGGGTATCCGTTTCCTTGAATCGTGCCAGAGGAGAAGTTGGATAATAGCAGTCAAAACAACTACATGGAAGTCAGTCCCACAATACTAATTTCTGATTCTGTTTAAAGGGTAATCTTACTCAGTAAAATCTGTAACACAATCGACCAGAGGTACCCTTTTTTGGCAGCAGGAAAGTCTGTGGTTTTCCAAACAAAATTGGGGGCCTGTCTGTGGGTTAGTGTACGCATTATCAGTACCTAGCTTAACCATAACTTACAATTGCCTGTACGACGTATGCAAGGTCATTTGCCAGTGCAACAGTGAGGGCTCTTTTCTCTGTGTCGGCGGAACAAATTTCATTCGTCCAAGTAAGTATTAGTGGACCGGCTCCTTGCTTTGGAATATGTGAGCAATTAATCGTTCATGTATGGGAATTGGAATAAGCCTACGCCAATATTACCAAGCCAATATACCACCGTGCGTCCGTGAATATTTTCATAGAGTGGCATTTGGCGCAAGAGAATGGAGAATATCAGCTGATCGAGACCAACTGGTCAGTTTCCATGAAGCACAAGTGTTTGCAAACTACGGGTACTTATAGTTATGACTGCACCAGCGTATACGAATGGCCATCGCGCTCCACGGAACGGTCCATCAGAAAGCCAGGCCCAGATCAGAGCCATGACAATGAAGATCCCAGTTGTGACATTGGGTACTTCGAAGAATTAGCATCAGAAAGGACGCAAATCCGTAATGTTGGCATATCTCACAGTTGTTGATTTGTGATACAGAATAATGAGTTCCTGGGACCGGTGGAGGTTCCTTATTGAAGCTCTTCAGCCAGTATCCCATGGCCGGTTGAGGTCCTCCATTATTCCATATAATGTACAAAAGAGCTGGAATCATTCAGTAACCATCAATATAATCGCAGTGGAAAAAGAATGTCTTACGTAAAAGGTACGTGTGCCAGCTTGTGAACAGTGCTTTCACTTTGGCCTTCGTCCAAGGCGCCTTGCCTGCTCGTCCGATGGATTTCATCCTCTGGATTGAAAGCTCATGTTCCTCTTCAGTAATATACCAAGTCTTTATACCACTGTGTGGTAAGTTGGGAAAGAAGAAGTATCCTGCTACTGCCAGTGGAAATGTGATGATGCCATCAATGATAAAGAGCCATCTCCAGCCCGCACGTCCGTATACCCCGTCAAGATTTGTATAAGCAGCTGACTGTAGGAAGCCGCTAAATAATTGACCGATTGATCCTGCAAGCCAAAAGATCATGGCACGTTTGCCAATCTCCGCCGGTTTGTACCACGATCCCAGCATATAATGTATGCCAGGGTAGAAGCCTGATCTTTCAGACCTTTCAGTATCCTGTACATCAATGCATGATAAAAGGGATGCGGTACGTACTCGAAAATCCCCACCAAGAACCGGAGGGCATAAAGGGCCTGGTAAGACTTCACACTAGACATGCAAATCACTGCAATACCCCAACCCACCTCCAGCTGCGATACACTCCCATGTCAGTATTTCAAAATTTGTCCCTGTCTCCTCGGGGGTAGAAGCAGCTTACAGTGGGAATAACCCAACGGGGCGATACGCGGGTCAATAATAGGTTGAACGGCACTTGCCCAATCACATATCCAACTGTGAATATGGTAGTGCTGGTGACTAGTTGATTTCCGTACATTTCTAAATCCTCCTCCATACCGCTGAGAAAGGCATTTGTAACATTGTTCAAGTCGAGGTACTTGAGAAAATAGCCAATCTAATCTGGTCAGTATTTTTATCGTGCGAAATCTCGTATTCGATACTCACTGATGAGAACGTGAGTACACACGCATCTAGTTTGAACAGTAGCCACCGTTCCTCTTTCGGGAGATCCAATGAATCCCAAAGATAGCTTTTCCACGACGGAGGTTTCTTGGTTGCGATATCTTGCTGTAAATAGCTGGTTATCACAGTTTGGTCGGCCATGTTGTGTGCATTTTTGCAAATTTGTTTATTATCTCGAGGTGTGGAAGTATATCCCCTTATAATAGGTGGGCATGATAGCTAAATGCACACCGAAAAGCACGCAATTCCTCTCGTTAAAACACAACCTCTCTTAGTTTAAGACACTTTGCTTAAACAAGTTATACTATATGTACAGCAGACTAACGAGTGGAAATACCTCCTGTTGGAATACCAGAACAAGCCAATGACCGTTGTTTAGGGGAGCCATAAGACATTCGTGATTGCGGTTAGAGTATCGCGCAATATTCAAGTGATAGCAGCCATAACACGATCCAGCACTAGTCATGTATAAGGCACGTCGACATTGGAATATGCTCGTATAAAGGCAGTCTCCTTATCGTTGCTACTGTACTTCTCGGTACTTTTGTCTATTTTTCATCCTTTTTGCTCCTGGTGAAGCAGGAATAATACTTCTCCTATTGCATGCTTCTTAATTTATGGATTAGGTTGTCCGCTTATCCAGTTCTGATGCTTGATATAAGCTATATGTTGTCTTGGCGTAGCTTTGGATTAAATATCTATGATGTTCTATCTGAGTACCTATGGTGCCTAGGTGTGCGCTTATGCCCTCCAACTATTAAAACAACATAAGTAATGCTAAACATGGAGTATCAGCAATAGAAAATGCGGCGCAATGTTTATTCATATTCATGCAACTTTTAAAGTATTAATACCGACTCCATCTAAAATATTCGTGGGTAATCAACCAGATGTAAGCGTGTCGGGCGGTTGTATTCAAATCCACGGATCTCATTCAATCTCATTTTATGGTACCTCCATAGTCACGGTATAATGGTGGATTTGGTGAAATACTTGGATTGAGAGTGTTCACATTTGCCTGTTAGTGCAGTCTGATTTTACTAGTCACTAGGTAACGTAACTGAATAGTTTCGGAAAGTTTTGAGACATTATGAAGTAAGAAATGCCTGTCCATTGGTTTACTTACTAAAGACATGAAGTAGCGAACGCAATTGATATGCCATCTCATTCAAACACTGGGGCACGACCTGCAGCTGCGTACTCCGCCGTCCTTCGAAATGCTATGGTTACTGATTACTGTCCAACCCAGGCTGGCCTGAACAAGTGTAATATGCATGTAGAAGCCCAACTCTCCGTCGAAGATTTCCATTTAACTTCCAGTGGTCCAAATATTTCCAACATTAGGGTCTCTTTTCAATAATCGTGTTGCAGGATGGTAACCGATCACTCCAAAACCAGCGTTGTGATTCTTACCTCTGAAGACAAATCGCCAGCAGCTAACTACGTCTACGGTTGATTACGATATTAATCTGCCGAGCGGCAAACACCAAAGAACACAAGGAACTTTCGAGGTCACTGAGGGTCATCAATTCTAGCGGCCAATTGGCTATGGGGGGATACACCGCTGGGATCCGGACTTCAGCTGGACGAAGAAGAAAGAACTATAGTCGATTGCTAATCCAGCTCCGCTAGATTGACATTCGTGTCCGGAAATTTGCTTGCATTACAGCTTGATGGAGGAAACATTGGCTAGGCATTGTCAAGCACAGCCTTACAAAAATCTGAAAATAAACACTAACGATTACAATATCGTCCAGACCATATTCCTGGTTTGCTTTCTGTGTGTTAAGATGCCCTCTCAGCTGGTCTCCAAGAAAATTGGCATCGATCGTCGGATTCCAATCTAGATGGATGCATGGAATATTCTTGCAGCATATCAGGCTTTCTTGACGGGAAGATCATCATATCTACTTTGTCGGGCATTACTTGGGCTACTTGAGGGGGGTTTTTAGGATTCCCTCTTTGACAATCTCCGCGTCAATTCACTAACTTAAGCATGTAACATCCCAGATACCATCCTCTTTCTTTTATTCTTTAATAAATCAAATGAACTTCTCAAAAGGTTGACTGGTGTTTGGATCTCATATATCGTTAACAGAATTATTGGTTCCTTTCTTGCGTTCAACTTTTCATATTAAAGCCTCACATGACGGCAGATCATGGTGTTATCTTTTTGCTTATAAAGGCTTTATTACGGGTGTGATAGGTATTATTGCAGCGTTTTGGATGCCTACATCGCCTGTACAGACGAAGGGAGGATTTCATGGGAAGAATGGATGGTTCATTGAACATCAAAAAAAGGATAATAGTGAACCGTATCATCAGAGATGATCGTAGCAAAGGCAATATGCACAATCGCCAAGCTATTACGCCAAAATGTCTGTGGGAGTCATTAAAAGACTATCATATGTAGCTGATATTTTTGATTGGGCTGGTCTGACAGAGTCCTACAAACCCGGCAGCGAATTACCTTACGCTTCAACTACGCAGCCTTGGATTTTCAACATTTCAAAACCAATCTCCTAGTCATTTAATCAGCTGTTCTTGCGATTGTTACCGTGATATCTATCGCGTGGACTGCAGGCGTAGCAACTAGTATTTGCTGGTTGATGCGGTAGGGACATTATGGTATCTAGTCCTCATCCTTGCATTGGAGTTAATCCCGAAGAAGAGCATGCCTTGGGCGCGATGGGCTATATTAAGTCTTATCATCGGAGGGCCAAACATTCTACCTGTCCTGGTGGCTCTGACCTGACACAATGGAGGGTCCGTACGCACGCACACCGTTGTTTCTGCTTTATATAATGTGTCTTGTCAATTGGGTAGCATTGCAAGCGCAAATGTGAGTGTGGATCATTAGCTCTAGTCCCATGTCGCATATTATGCCTTCGACTTTTATTACTTACAAGTACGTGGTAAATTTATATAAAACATGACGCGTCATACTACAAACACGGAAACAAAGTCCTTTTTTCGATGGCTACAGTGAACTCCGGCCTTTTTGTGTCTTCAAGATTCCACTACGAGTGGTGGAATAGACATGTCTTCAGCGTTCAACTGTGATAACATGAATTCTAGTAATGGACTCTTAGACGTAACTCAGCCAAGTGGGCAGCTATGACAGACGAACAGAGAGAGAACTATTTCCGCGAGCATATAGTAATCCAGTAATGACCAACAATAGGTAGTAATGTCTTGAATGAAACCCTCTTTTGATAAAATGGACTAATACCACTGAAGAATTGATTTGCGATTTGCTTATTAGGAGACCGGTCGTACTCAGTTCTAAGGGATGTCAGCCAGGGTGACGCGAATGGGCATGCGTCTATTGTGAAGTCGAGAAATTGGAAGTCTAACTAGTAGGACTGTTTTGGATGCATATCCAGGCGTGCGGTAACGAGAGGTATCAGTATCCATTATTTTTAGAATTTTGAGAATAGATATCAAGTTTCTCGAGGTTATCATGCAGATATGTTATATAGATTCATTTTAACTTACTGGTGCTGCTATCGGACTTTATGCGGATATAGCCGAATTGTCAATCATGATCATCCTGGGTACTTACACGACAATCAGAAATGATGCTACATTGGGCTTACAGGGTTTTGTCACTGCTATTGGTCACCAATCTTGGAAATACTGGCCCGACTTCATCGATTTGTACAACGAGATGACAACTGTGGCGTACATACTTATTCAGCACCATCTTCATTCGTTGAGAAAAGTTTATCGTACATGATTGTTGAGCCTTCAATTTCCCTATTCAAGAAGTCATAACCCTATTGGCAATTCCACTAGCATATTGCACCAGGTCCTATGGAAACCCCGCATGACAGGAAATTACTACTTATGGGAATTTGTCAGAATAACGGAGAGTTCCCGCAGAGATATGAGCAGGGTTTAACATCATGTGCTGGTTATTTTATTGCATCAGTCGTAATGATTATGTTGCAATATGTTGACGATAACGCATTAAACTCTTCTGGTCTGAGCTATGAAGATAGGATGCTGGAGGCCTTAATGTCAAATTTGGCCAATTCCAGGCTCTTATTAAGGATGATGCAAGAGTCCATGCATGGCACGTATATACCCTCGCCCTTTGACTATAGCCTATTTGTATTTTATTCCTTAGTCATGCTATTTGTCGTCAATACCGGTCATTATTGCTCAAATTGTTTGCGGAGACCGGTATGATGAGGATGTATAAGGAGGCGATTACCTGTCCAGGTGGCCAGGTGGCATCGGCTATATACTTTATATATATATCCATTGGATATCCAGACAGTTTCCATAGGGAACAGGGAGAGAACTAAAAGTCACACAGCTCACCATAGAAGTGCACTTAGAACAAGGTTATTTTATCATCATGGCTCCCGCGGTTGACATTATCTCCCAATCTGTAGTGTTCGATACTGCTAGCACTGACATTTCGTTGAGGAAGGGAAATTACTCTCGTTACATTCGAGAGCCTTTAAAATATTCCGGGGCTCTAGACAAATACAAGAGCTTCGATGTCACACCGACCATAGGTCGAGAGTTCCCTGATGTCCAGTTGACAGATCTTCTGAACAATGACCAGACCCTCCGAGATCTAGCTATCACTGGTGAGTGGCTAAAACGCGCTTGAGTGCACTAATTATCTGATGACCTCACAACAGTGTCTCGTCGTGGCGTCGTCTTCTTCCGGAACCAAGACATAAACTCCGACCAGCAAAAGGTTCTGGGACAGAAGCTTGGCGAGTTAACTGGCAAGCCCGCCACTTCTAAGGTAGGCAATTGAAATAGATTGCAATGCCGTCGTTCGTTCAAAAACTCAAGATCCACTAGTTGCACCGTCATGCCGTCAATAACAGCAAGCGGAACATTACCGTAAATGAGGGAAAACTGGATGATGAAATCTCTGTCATTTCATCTGAGGTAAGATCGTGCAAAACGTTGTATAGCTTACAGATGCCGTATTTGGGAACTAACGTGCTTCCAGATTAACCGCAAGCTCTACGGTGATCGGTTTAAAAGCTCCTCGCACCATTTAGCTAGTGAAGGTTGGCATGCCGAGTAAGTAATTACCTGAATATCTCTGTTTTTGTTCATTGACACTGATTGCGTGGTTCCTCATCCTAGTATCACCTTTGAGAATGTCCCATCCGATTATGCGATTCTCAAAATTACAGACTCTCCAGAAGATAACCCGGGTGGTGACACTCTCTGGGCGTCTGGATACGAGGTCTATGACAGGTTGTCATCTCCGATTCAGCAATTGGCAGATACCCTCAAGGCCGTCCATTACCAGGTACTCCTACCAGCTAAGAAAGAACTTAAATTAAGATGACCACAAAGAGCGCCAACAAGCTTATTCAGCCAAGGTTCAACCAAATTGCTAAGGAGCATGGTATTGATCTCATTGAAGGTGATCGTGGAGCTCCAGAAAACACTGGCTATGAATTCAAGGCTACGCAGTATGTCCTTCTCTTTGCTGTATGTCTTAGCCGACTCTCAAAAGCTTCTAGTCCTCTCGTTCGTACCAACCCGGTGACCGGATGGAAGAGTTTATTTGGAGCAGCTCATCAAGTTGAGCATGGATGGATTGAGGGGGTTACTCCGCGGGAAAGTGAAATTTTGAAGCAATATTGTAAGTTTCTGGTGACATCGGCCTGCCCGTAGAATTTCAAATCTGACATTAATCGTCTTGCACAGTCAATCAACTCATTGCCGAGAATCACGATCTCCAAGTCCGTTTTAAATGGAACACGAATGATGTTGCCATATGGGACAAGTAAGTTACACCAGTGCTTTACATAAAATTATTCCATATCATTCGAAGTACTAAAAACATACTTTACCTACAGCCGGTCAGTCTTCCATACTGCAACAAAGTAAGTACAACCGTCCCACGTAGTAACTTCCCACATGCTAACAAGTTGAATCTTAGTGATTATAAGGGCAAGCGTCAGGGGAATAGAGTCGTTTCATTGGGTGAAATCCCATACTACGACCTTGCCTCTACCTCGAGACGAGTGGCACTAGAAGCGGAATTGGGAGCTTTTTGAATGCACACTGGGGACTTAGATTCCAGTTCCAAGTCAACTAAATACTTGTAGGGATGATGTGAGTATGAATATTCACAGTGATCAGCAATATTCATTCTTTTTATTTGAAGTCCTTCATTGTGCGAATAATTATTCGCAATAAATCACGTGCATCTATCAGGGAGATCAGAAACAGGCTAGAAGATAAACTAATTAGGCAGTTATAACCAACTTAGGGACTTTTTATGTAAGTTAGCTCAGTCTTTAGAATTGCCTCCTGTGGCAGTTGAGTTAAATAATAGTCATGTCTAAGGCAATACTGGCCATTTGGATACCGCTTCCTTAATGGTAAATCAGGTGACGCACAAAAAGCAGATATCAAATAGCTGAAGATGGTTTCACCTCTTCCTTTCCCCTTTCGTTCTTATGCTTGGTATTCACTTTAGATAGCGCCAATGTGATCAATCCTGTTTTATTTCATCTAGTTCTTAACGTCTCTCAGTCTTCTCGTTAAAAAATTACCTCTCTGTTATTTTCCATTCCACAGATTTGCCTACATATCTCAACCTTTCCAGACTCGTGGAAATCGACCGAACTCACTCGCTGTAAACGATGGGTATCAAAGCGATGAACCTCCTCAAGACTCCACATCCAGGCTGTTTAGGAGTCCAGCAGTCCAAGATCCAGGAATAGATCCAGGAATAGATCCATCTATTTCATTTCACTCTCCTGGTCCGACTCAATCAGCAGCCAGTGCTCAGATTGATTCTTACCTCGACTCTTTAGATGATGAAGTTTTGCCTTCAGAGTCAGCCTCTCAGCTTCCAACTAAGGCCATAAGTTCCCAAACATCCTATGCGTATCCACCAAAAGATGAATGGTTATGAGGCTATTTTCGTACGAAAGTTCCCTAATGTATGGATTGAAAATAGGAACAAAAAAGGTGGCTCATAGACTGAGAAATACGTTGTAATATTTATTAAAAAAGGCGCTGGGAAGCAATGTGATTGGTCTACAACAGGCTCAAAAAGATAGACCTCTACCACCAATTAGGATTTATTTGCAGGAGAAACATGGATATTCTACCGCGTGGTATCTCTCAACCAGTTATTGCTACACCAAAGTTCACTATCCTTAGACTCTGTATGTGCTACTATCATAAACTTAGTGAATTAAGGAAACACTTTCATATTGTCCGTTCCGTATCTGTTTAATCAATTCTGCTTTGAGAAATACTTCTCTCCCCAGTGGCGTGTGTCAGCCTCATGAGATCCCGCCTCGCCGCGATAGTGCCAGCAGCCGCCGTACAGGGCAAGCTGGTCATAAGGGAAGAAAACCACCAGTCTGATTGGTAGGGCTAAACCTACCTTGATCTTATCCATAGGGGTATTGTTGGTTTATAGGTGCAATCGAGATTCCTGGCACCGACGCGAACCAAGGAGAGATCACGTGAAGGTACACGTGACCTCGTCAAGCAAGGACTATATAGACCGCGTCGGGGTCTCATTAAGAGAAGAGAACAGACAATCAGAAGAATATGACTTTACCAATTGGTTACTAAGCTACTTGTATGCACATGTGCAGAAGCGAACCCACAGGCATAGATGTCAGCAATTACTTAGTTCGCTCTGCGCGGCTCTGTGCGACCAAATGCCTACAGGACGAAGAGATGCCCATTTCTCGGTCGGCTACCGGCAACCTTCAGGGCCTTGGTAAGCTTGGTCAAGCACCATATTATCCGCATCCGTAGATAAGTTGCCAATTTCGAAAGAAGACAAAAGTCAAAGATTGTTTAGGCGTTTGATTGCTATTGCCGTTAGTGAATGCCTAAAGAAAAAGAGGATTGGATATGGCAGACAGCAAAAAGAAGATACAGAGAAAACAACAAAAGTCGAGGGCAGGTGTCATATGATAATACCCATTACAAAGTACTCCCCATTCGTTCGGTAAGGTGCGTAATTTTCTGAAAACTGATTGAACGAGTCTATGGGAGCTGATAACGCTGGGATACAGGATTCTTTGATTTCTCGGTTTTACTGGTTTAAGCCACTTACTCGCAGTTTACCAGATAAAAACATGGGGAAATTCGAGTGAATACTAGACAAGCTCATCGCAGCAGTATAGCGGCAAAGTCGCCATTCTTTCAGTATGACTACGGCTGATAGTGACACCAGCTTTCTACTACAGAGTAAGATCGCTAAGTAAAGTCTATGATTGTCTCAGTGCTTCTCCCATTGGAGCAGGAGCAGAGCCCATATTAAGCAAAGTTAGCGCTATGTATCCCGTACCTAGATTATTATTCCGGTAGATACCTCCGTTATTTAGAAGCTTTCGCTTGGTAGCCAGTCGGCAAATGACAGACGGTTAAAAGTTGCGATTTTCCTTCCTTTCCCCTTTTCCCCGAGGCTAATTTGTATAAAGTCTCCTGGTCTTGACCCTCCTGGAGAAAAGGAATTTTTCAACTATAGAGATCCTCTGGTTTCTCTCTTATACTACCGATGTAAGTCCATGTTGACAAGACTGGATTCATATGGATGCGAATATGGTTTCCGTTAAAGATTCTGCAGAGCTCTCCGCTCAACAGGCCCTGGCTAAAATCACTATCCCCAATCAGGATGACATCAGGGGCTTCATCACGCTACCAACGGCCATTAAAGAAGGTTCAGAAACATTCAAAATTACTTGGACGTCGTCCAATCCTGGCATTGTATCCGACAAACCAAATGGTCAAACCGCAGCTGGGGTGGTGCAGAGACCGCCCCCTGGTGCTGAACCAGCACAAATTACATTGACAGCAAGTATCGAAAACACTCTTCCCTACCCGTCGCAAAAGAAAAACACCACCAAGATCATAAATCGAGAATTCCACCTCACTATTCAGCCTTCGGTCCAGTTGGCACCGTTTTCGCGCTACGGGATGGTGAACTTTGCGCTTTCCAACTGCGACCGGGGTCAGCAGATCTACATGGCATATTCTATCGGCAACGACCCAACACGATGGAAGGCCGCCAACAACGGACATGTAGTTCTCACCTCTACCAAAGGGATGCACGCGGTCCGAGACCCTTCCCTCGTCCGCTCCCTAGAAGGGGACAAGTTCTACCTCCTCGCGACAGACCTCAACGTGGACGGGACGGAGCATGGCTGGCGTGGCTGGGACTGGGCCCAAAGCGGTGCAAGCCGATACATAGAGATCTGGGAGTCTCGGGATCTACGCACCTGGTCGGAGCAACGCCACGTGCTTGTCGGACCGCCGGAGGCGAGCATGGTTTTCGCCCCTGAAGCTATCTGGGATCCGGAAATAGGCGCCTACGTTGTCTTCTGGACATCATCGATGTACCCAGCGGACACATATTTCACAGAGGACGTCGAAGATCCAAAGCGCCGCTACCCACTGACTCGGAACCAGACGCTCTACGCGACAACACGCGATTTTGTCACTTTCTCCCCGGCGAAGATCATGAGCGGGCGAGAGAACCACGGCACCCTCGATGCCTGTATGGTCCTGGAAGAAGAGACGGGCTACTATCACCGCTTCGTGTGTGACCGGATCTCTACGGGCGTCGGCGTAACCCGGTATGCGGGTCCCTACCCAGCCGATGATATCTACCAGGAACGATCAAAACGGGTCCTCGCGCCGGAGAAGGACTGGGAACTTGTCGCGAGTTGCATCACGCACAAACTCATGAAAACGGCCTACGCCGAGGCACCGCTCGCGTTTCGTGGAAACCCAGGCGATTCGCGAGGCGGATACTATTTTTTCTCCGATCAGATCTGGGCTGAATCTCCGGCAGGTAAGCCTCTGGAGGAACAGTTGCACCCGTACTGGACGGAGGACCTTAGCTTGGGCCAGTGGATGGCACTTGAATGGACGCAAAAACCGGAGTATGATGGCTGCAGAGGTGTGATGCGGCATGGAACCATTGTTAACTTGACCTGTGCAGAGCATGCGGCTCTCCGTGGCGTGGAGCTGGTTTCGTTATCTGTACAGCAGACATCCCATGAAGGGTTTACTGGTGCTGTTAAAGAGGGGTTCGACGCACCTGATTTGATGGTGACAGCAGTTTACAGTGACGGTTCGACTGATGTGCTGGGCAAGGGTTATGGTGGGTATGTGTTGTCTGATTTGGGAACTTGCTCAAGTACATCTGGAAAACGTACGGTTCAAGTCTCATATACTATGTCCGGGATGACAAGAACAGCCTTGTTGGATGTAGACTGTGGGAAGTGATATCCCCGCTTATAAGCAATTTAATGAATTTATCCATCTTTGATTGAAATTCAGACAGTAGCGTCAATTCATTCTGAAAGTTGTGTGAAGTGTTACGGGCTAGTCCCGCCGCCTAATGCCCACCATAAGGGCATACTTGAATAGGAAACATACCATGAGCAAAGGAAGATGAAAGGACAACAAGACTTCGTCGAACGAGTCTATATAGAAAAGGGGAACTCTCACGCTGGGCTGGGTTCGGTAATCAAACCCCCTCGCTTTAATATGTGTCTTTTCCTTTTCAGCATCGCATTGTTCATCAAAGGAACTAGCAACAGCAATCTAGCTGATCTATCAACACAGGAAGCAGGTGTGGTGGCGCAGTTCGATTTCACTCTTGTTCGTTCAGCTGTCGATTCGATACACGACTTCTGGTCGTACTTTGTGCAGCCTTACCCACCTTTATTTTTTTATATTTCGGCTTATGTCCGACGCACAAGTGGCAAAAGGCCAATTCGAGCTCCACCCATTTCGTCAATATTGAGGATCTTGAATCTCATTTAACGTGTATACCCGTGGCATCAAGACGAAATGGCAGACAGCGCTCCTAACATAGCCGCAAAAGAACATCGCGAGTCGATCTTCTTTATCGCCAGGAAGGCCTCCACATTGGCCAGTCAAAAAGCAGAAAGCAAGCACTTCATTGTTCTCACAGGCGCTGGAATCTCGACATCTGTAGGTTTGTTTCCGGTCACAGACATCCCCTTAGACCTGATTTTCATTTTGGGGGCGTGTAGGAATTCCTGATTTCCGCAGTTCCGACGATAACTGGGCCTTGAGAGCCCAGAGCAGAACGCACACCAAGCAGACGAACACATTGAGAGCAGTTCCAACACTCTGGCACATGGCACTTGTAGAGCTACAGACTGCCTGCATAGACAGAGTGGTATTTTGGTAGTAAGTTTCGTTTCTCGATACTGGTAGGTGATGAAGAATAGACTGACAATTAGCCAATAGATAGAATCCCTGAGAACTATGCGTGAAATGTGGCAAGGAGTATCTCCGAGGTATGGCATTCTGATACATGATCAAGTAATATTTCTTGGTCCACCACTTTCGTAAGTTTCTTACCATCATCGAGTCAAAAATTCCGCGCAGTTTCAGATTATATGAATGGAATTCACGACCATCGCACAAATCGAAAATTTGTCTGCGGGGGCAAGCTACACGACACGATTATTAATTTTAGAGACAGCCTTCCAGTGAAACCTCAGAGATTAGCATTCAAGCACTCTCAACAAGCGGATTTATGTCTTGTGCTGGGTTCTTTGCTAACTGTGACACTGGCTAACGAGACTCTCAGCTTCTTGGACAGAAGGAAAAAACCGCGCCAGTCACGTTTCTTCAGTCTGTAAAATTGGATGGTAGCAGGCGGGAATCCCGACCAGAGCAATTTCCTATATCCATTTGCAATGCACTGGTCCCTGGGGCATCGCCAGTGAGGCTAGAATTAAAGTTCATAGACCATTACAATGAGCCAAACCTGGAGCTTACTCACATGTATAAAGGGGATGGTGGAGAGACTTATCTTTTGGATTACAACCCGCAGACTAGAGAGTGGACGGTTGATACATGGGATGAGGGCTTGTTCACTAAGGTACTATGTGTCATTAAATATAATGCAAGAATGTGTACTCTTTTCATCGACTTTGAAAACCATGGGCTTTGATCATTGTATACTACAGTGACGTCTAGTAGGACCTGATATCAAGGTGACATATTTTCCCTCCAGGGCTACCCAAGAGGTGCAGTTATATGTGCGAAACCTGGCTGACCAGACTTTAGTGTAAAGACCGGAATCCACTTATTCATTGACGAACGAGACTGATCAATCTCTTCCCTTAAATGTATATATTGAATTAACTTTCAACCAATGCGAAATATAGGCTACTAATAAAAACATTGTTAACCTAGAATTCATATAATTGTTATTAGAGCTTTAAACGAGTCAACGGGTAATGAATAAATACGTACGTAGTTAAATTATAACTACTTGATCTTGAAGCTTTTTAAACATACCTGGGTGGTCTGTCTATCTGGACGATTGAAAAGACAAATGCACCTGTGATGCTGATTATCACTGAGTTACACATGTTTTTTGCTGGAACTATACTGGTATAATCGTCTCGCTCCAAGGCAAAGACAAACATGAAGTCGCACACATCACTGTTGCCGCGGAAAGTCGGCCTGGCCAGCTGTTGGCCATTGTGAAAAGGTGTTCAGCGGCTCTGTATAGGTATACAATAATCAGGCAATAAGACTGGTCTGACGGGCATGCATTGTACTAATGTAAGGATCATGGCTCCGTATATTACATCAATCTGTTTCCTTCATGAATTTTCAACGCTCCATAGACCCAACATGATGTACCCAAGAACGTTTGAGTAACGTCGTATGGAACAATGCTTGAATGAAATATAAAGTACTCGACGCAAAACATTAATTATTGAGAGTATCCCTAACAAAAGACACTTAGGTATTCTTAAAACACCTAGAATGTTTCATGTTTCACAGAAAGTTCCTTGTGGAGACTAGAAGCGATTGATTGATGGGACATTCTGAGGATCAAAAGTACCGGATCAAGGTATTCAGTTTCCACCAATCGTGTCAGCTGGGACCGATGTTCCGATTTCTTGATGAAACGCTATGATTCTATTAAGGACAACGGGCACCTTAAGATCTCTGAAGATTATAGGATTAACTACTCGAAATGGTTAGATAGACCCTCTGTATCAAGGCCATCTAGTATTTAGGGAGTATCGAAATGGACCAGAGCCGTCGTTTCGAGCGATATTCCGTTGCTCTAGTTCATTCGTGGATATTGCAAGGACCAAATAATGATACCTCGGAATTATAAATATGGTTATTTTCTGTCAGTTACCTATGCATGTAGCACGCTTGCAAAATTCTGGACGGCCCCTTCTGACAGAAACCAAATCAAATCATGACACCTAGACCAACGATCGTGGCGATTGCTAGCTTTGCTGTGCTAGCTGTTACTTTCGTTCAGGCGCAACAGTCTGGATACGGCCAGTGTGGTGGTGCAAACTGGACTGGTGCAACGAGCTGCGTGTCTGGATGGACTTGTACTTTTCTCAACGATTACTACTCCCAATGCCTACCATCCTCTACAACTCTTACTACCTCGTCTCATTCGACAACTTCGACAACATCTAGCACGGCAACGAGTACACCTACTAATACAAATGGTGGAAAATTGAAATGGTTCGGTGTGGATGAATCATGCGCAGAGTTTGGAACAGCGATGCCTGGAACATGGGGCGTTGATTACACTTTTGCAAATACGGCGACAATTGGTGTAGGTTTCTGGCTCCTCTCACAACGTGGAAACTAATTGCCAATCGTATTACAGGAATTTATCAACCAGGGTTTCAACATTTTTCGCATTCCCTTTGCCATGGAGCGGATGGCACGGGGCTCCGTTGGCGCCACTTTAGATAACGCATACTTGACCAACTATTCAGTTGCAGTCGACTACATTACCAGCAATGGAGCATATGCAGTACTAGATGCCCACAATTATGGCAGATACAACGGGAACATAATCACTGATACCAGTGCTTTCAAGACGTTCTGGTCCAATATGGCAACCGCTTTCAAGAACAATTCAAAAGTGGTACGTACCTTTTCTCTTCACCAGAAAGAGATTCTTAAGAATAGAAAGTAACAATTGCCAGATTTTTGATACGAATAACGAATATCATGACATGGATGAATCCCTCGTCTTTGACCTTAACCAGGCTGCAATCGATGGTATTCGCGGCTCTGGCGCGACAACGCAATACATTTTCGCTGAAGGAAATAGCTGGACCGGAGCGTGGACATGGAATACCACCAATGACTCACTCAAAAATTTGAAAGATCCTGAAAACCTACTGATTTATGAAATGCACCAATATCTCGACTCCGATGGATCTGGCACAAGTGCGACCTGCGTTTCATCGACAATCGGCGTTGAGCGTATCGAGGGTGCAACGGCTTGGTTGAAGGCAAATGGGAAGATTGGTGTCTTAGGGGAGTATGCTGGCGGACCAAACTCAGTGTGTCAAGAAGCGGTTACTGGAATGTTGGATCATTTGACAGCAAACAACGATGTATGGTTTGGGGCTGTTTGGTGGGCTGCTGGTCCTTGGTGGCCGTCGTCAACTTGGTCGAGTATTGAGCCACCAAGCGGTCAGGCTTACGTGTACTATGATAATATCTTGCAAGCTTACACTCCTTGAGTGGTACCATTCATAAGACTGAAATATTTGTTCTAGTTAACACCTTTTCTATCAGACGAATACAGTTTCTGTGAGGACGTAATAAAAAGAGCTTTTGGGAAATAGGTCAAACTTCATCATAACAATAAGCCTTGATAATTGTCAACATTAACTTGCCATGTTACAAAATGCAGTGTAAATGGGTGTATTATTCTACAACAAACGGGGATAAGTGACGATGTTACAGCAAACTGGGCAGTTACCTAGGGAGCTCGCTAAGTTAACTATAAATCAAGCTCACCGAGCGAGAAACACCGCATCGGGTTCCTTGAGTGAGTTCTCCCATTCTATTTAAGAAATGAGCACGGGTATGTATTACTACTTTATTGGTTGGAGGGGTGTCATCCCGTGGGACAAAGTATTTGGAGCCCTATAACCCTAACAGATTACTGCAAACAGCAATGAAACTGGATCTGGTTGCCTGGAATGAAATAAGAGGATATATGCGCGTATTGCATCTATCTTTCTTACTGGACTAGCTAGCTATTCATGGAACATGGTGCTAGAGGATTGCTCACCCGCAAAACTCATACATCAACTCAAACTCAATAGGACGAAGCACATGTGCGGTCATGTGTGCTTTAGAGACCTAGACTTTCTATGCCAGCCTTCAAACTTGTTTCCAAGCCGATCCAACCGGATTGTGCGAAGAACGACTTTAACAAACCCTCCGCCTTCTTAGACGGCACAATGTTACTCAAATCCGGAAGATCGTTCGCCGGTGGGTTAGGTATCTGACCATTGGATGGCCGGAGTTTTTTTAAGATGTCGATAATGCCAGTCCAGGTATATGGCCCAGCAAATGCGAAAAGACGCTCTGAATTAACGTTCTTATCAAGTAGCGCAATTGTATGAAGACGTGCAACGTCTTCGACATTAACATAATGTTCTGTTTTCAAATTTGTCAGCTGATATCTATCGTAGCAACTCAACCAGTTAAAATTCGTAAAGGTATTGGGAGAATGTCGTGGCAGGCGGAAGACGTACGGGTTGGGAGAAACGACAGAACATCTGTTTTGCCATTCAACAATCCCGCGATCCATCCCATAGTTGAACCGCCGATATTCGGGTGGAGGACTTTTCCAAGCTGTAAAGTGTCAATACATGTTGAATAATAGTCATACTCCCAAAGTAAATGGGCAGATGGTAAAGTTCGAAAAGAGTCGCATTATCATGGACTGTCACTTACAACAAGATTCGGGGCTACTGAGTTGAGTGTAAAATTCGGCTTGTTTTGTTTAATCCATCTCCATGCGGCCCTCTCACCCTCGGTCTTGGATGCAGAGTAGACAATAAGCGGCTTGGATTCGGCGGGCGTATTTTCGTCCCATGCCGCCTTAACAGCGGCGTCATTCCATGTATCTAATTGAAGTGTAAGTACGCGTCTCTTCCACTATCAGTGCAAGTAGGTTAGAGTATAGCCGCAGTAGAGGTAATGCACGATATCGCGACAATGGACAAATATTGACAATGCTAAGAGTTGCCCACGATTCGCTGAACAACTCATTCGGATAACTTACTTTCGGTGACAACAATACCTTCCACACCAGGTTGTGAGGAAAGGACCGCTGTAGACGATGAAGTTAAGACAAATCTCGTGACCGATGCCTTAGCTGCGGCCTTCAAGAGAGCTTCTGTATAGCCGATCACTCTAGGTATCACCTCGTTAGGATCAGGGCTCATGGATACGTCACTGGCCTATAATCTGTTGTCAGTAGGGCTTCCCTTCCTAAATTTCAATACGCCAGATGATGCGTCGAGACTATTCGTATACACCGTTTAGGCTGAAATATACACGTACCACATGGGCGACACCATTGACGCCATTCAGGATCCCAACTAAAGCTTCTTGATCGCCGAGGTCGGCAACGATCACAGTTTCGAACTTGCCGGGACCATATTTCGATTCGAAGAATTGATTAAGCCATGGCTTTTCGGATCGGACAGTGCCTCGCACGAGATATCCAAGAGAAAGCAACACATCCACGACGTGCGATCCAATATAGCCATTGGCTCCGGTAACCAAAATGCGTGAGCCGGGTTGAATGGCAGTTTGAGTATTTGGAATATTTCCAGACATTTTACCTATTCTTAGACGGACGATTTTCAAGAGGTTAAGCAGAATTGCGTTTGTATATATCTGCGTTGAAATTGAAATGTGGTCGACTTCTGTTCAGATCTTTGGAAGAGACATTTTGCGATGGGCATGATGTCGTTTAAATAGTTTTTTCCAAATATTCCCTGATGCCATGCCATTTCCACGTCTTTCTACGAGCAAAGTATGAGCGACCTCAGTTTTCTATGACTGACAAATGAGGATTGGAATTCAGACATCGGTTAGAAATCGCCGCGATAGAAACTCGTTGCTGCTTTAAGACGGCCTTTTGTAAGAAGTTCCCGGACTCATTTATAATTCTTCCGAGCTTATCTCCTTAAAGGCCTTAGTTATAGATTACGAATAGAATGCTTCGTAATCGCTAGTTGGCATCTTCCCGAATTTGTCCTGGTTCACTTACAATACGATATTAAGCTAACCTCGACACTTTGTATCCAGGACCCACTGCTGAAAATGATTCCATCGCGTTCGTCGCTTGAGAGTCATACGGCCGATCTCCTTCAATCCCTCCTCTACGCAATCCCCGGCGACGGTACTCTCGCATCACCCGGTTTCTCGGGGATGGGGATGGGAAGTGGTACCTCCTCGGCTCCTCCATATCGGTCTGTGCAGAGTGATCTTCAGGCTCCAGAATGACACGTTCATACAGACGCCGCGCGTTCCCAGAAACATCCATTTCCAAGACTTTATCATGCAACATGCTGAAATCTCCGAGTCGCGAGGCATCAGCAATGTCTGCCCACTCCTGTACAAATTCAGGGTCACGGGAAGCCTCCATTATTAGGGCTTTGTTGCTATGGTTCTGAATCAACCGGGTGAACTCCCTTTCTAAAATCCTCGTCTCTTGTACTGTTGTCGCGGCGCGATCTGCAACGTTTAGAATGTTTTTCAATTTCATCGCTCGCTCAAGCTTCAACATAGAGGTGATACTCGGGATTCGATACGGGGGGCCAGTCTTGGCATCCAACGTCCGAGGGATTCTGAAAGAGGAAAAGTGACAGGCTTTCACTGACATGGAGAGCCGTAAATCGAATTCTGTGTTACATTGCACGAGAAGAAGAAGTCGTACGATCTCTGGCAATCCGCTCTGACTACCAGGCTCTTCATACATGCGCCAGGACGCATGCATCTTGTCTTTAACAACTCCGTGAATGATCCGTACGCCTTTGAATGTGGACTTTCGTGATTTTGAGCCTTCCATACTGATATTGACGCTAGATGGTCCTCCGTTACCTGACGCGCCAACTGTGAATGTTTGTCCCGAGGATATCTCTTGTTCGGAAACTTCTACTCGATCGGCTTGCGGCATTATGCTGTGTATATGTGGCAACACACCAGATTCAACGGTGGCAAATCTAGCGTCCACTTTTGCGTACCGTATTCGATTCCTATTCGAAAATGGCTTCATGAAGTTCAATTTTAACTGAATCGCGTGCATCTCTAGCCCCTCGTGCATCAACAGCCGAATTGCTTCCACTTTGGCATCGAAGAATATGTCGTGATTATCGTAGTTAGCTAAAGTGAAACCGTCACCGTTATCACGACGCACTCCATCCCAATGGCCCTCACTAAATTCCGTCAGGACAGAACCAATATCAGAAGGTTCGGTTTCCATGGTATCTTTTTGTTTGCTGTGTGAGGGTTGAGTCATTGGATCGTCTTTGGGTATGTCTTTCGGATCACCATCGGGACCACTTCCGTGACGCACATCATCTATATCGGCTCCAGATTGTAGTAGCAGCTCCGGTAATCGCGGAGTTCGACTGAGGACAGCTAACTGAAGCGCTGTCCTTCCAGTTGAGTTACGAATGTGGACGTTTGCACCTCTTTCAAGTAGCGTTTGAACTATCTCACGAGAGCCGCCTAGACAGGCGAGGTGTAATGCTGTATTCCCCTTGTCATCGGTTGCATCTATATCCAGATTGTGACTAAGAAGTAGCCTCACCGCCGGTTCCCATTCTGCGGAAACAGATAAATGCAAGGGTGTCTTTCCGTTGGGATTCTTTATGTTGAGGTTGGGTTTGAATCGCAGCAGCACCTCGACTAACCCGAGATCTCTCTGCTCAAGTGCGAGATGAAGCGCCGTCTTCCCGTTGCTGTCGCGCGCATCTATTTCAACATCATCTTCCTGCATCGCCACCAGCGTACCGAAATCTGCATTCCTGACCGCAATTTGAAACTGCGTATCTCCGTTTGTATGCGTTCCATTATCTTCTCTTTGTCTATTAATATCCGCAGCCATAACCCCCACGCGATCCAAGGCGGACTCATCCACACTCGACCGTCGATCCTTTAGTTTCAGTCAGTAAAAATTGTTATTTCTGACGAATATTCCAATGTGTATTTTTACCGTTCTTGAGAACCGCGCGGCTCGAAAATTACTCGCTTCTGAACTGCTGTCTGAAGTACTTTCGGGCGACGGATCTACTTCATCACGATAAACACGATCTTTGTTATGCATCGAGGTCATATCTGTGGACGCACTGAATAACGGTCATTGAATTTGACAATATACATAAGAAAGAAGGACAGAAAAAAGGCTTTCGTTGTTTTGATTCTTTAAATGGATTAGCCCACCATCTCTCGGGTCCCACCTTTCAGCCGCAGCTGACAAGAAATGAAAATCGATTGGACATATCGCCCCACTTATGGGTCTTAACCGTTCACCTTCGGTCCACTTTACAAGTTATAATTGGCTCTGATACTGTTTATGCACTGCGCCATTCCCAATTTAGTTTAGGTATTTTCAGGGCTGATTCTACCTGTCCGTGATCCTGCTGATGATTCTGTAGATTGTATCCCATACGGAGGACTTATCAGGGAAAGCTAGCTATGTACTCTGATAGGCCGTTTTCTCACCCCGACAAGCAATTTAATATTGCGAAAGAGATGACCCGAGTGCAGCCATCTTCGTGCATCCTTTTGTCTACATGGACATATTGTCGTTAGGCTGCGGGAATTGAGGTGAAATCGCGCAGTTCTCCGGGTTGTATACGACGTCAAACTTTCTTGCAAGCCGGGCACACACGTCGTGTATCAATTTCCTTCCAATTTCATGCAGACTGGCAGGCGGAGTGTATCAGCGCATCGAACGGAAAGCGAGCATCAGGGGTTAATGTACCCAGCCAAAATTAGTATGGAGTGCGTAGCTCCGCTATACGATTCAATTTCAACTGCGACACCGCACTTCTGTAGCGACTCGCCATATTGACGAGCCTCGGGAGCAAGAAGGTCACACTCTGCGATGGCGATGAATGTGCTTGGGCTTTTTTCCAGCACTTCTGCCGGTGCAAAACATGGTGAGGCGTCCCAATTCCTCGCTTTGTCTTCAGATTGAAAATACATATTCCGATACCATGTCATTCGTGAGGGCGTCAGCCACGGGGAGTGCTTAGATGTCGCCCATGCCGTATCAACAGTGGCAGTGTTATCGATGACCGGGCATATAAGTATCTGATAGATGATGTTATCCGGAATGCTAGAATCGAGTGCCGCTTGCATCGACACTATTGCTGCTAGCCCACCGCCCCTAAGGAGATGCGCCGTCAGAAAAGTCTCTACTACCACCCTTTGTCCTCTAATGCTGTACATACGCTGAAAGTCCTCCAATAGCTATTTTAGATGTATTGATCGACAGTCTCGTAGCAGTCTCCAGCGCTAGGATCCATTTCAATCCAGCCAGAGAGTCTTCAATAGCGACGGGATAACAATGCTCGGGTGCATGGCGGTAATTGATCGAAACGACGGTGCAGTTGAGATCTACCACGTGTATTTGACTGTGAGATTTCATATTATATGACGGATGATCCACTCATGAGAGTTCCCCACGACTTACATTTACATATGTGTCTTAGAAACCCATTTTCACTGTTAAGGCCACCAAGTACCCATCCCCCGCCATGGTACTATGAAGATTCAACAGTTGTTCGTATCACTATCTCCTGAATGGTAGGGCAAGGTTTGCGAATAAGGAGTAGACTAACGTATACAAAACACGGCCATCCACCAGCAGGTGCCTCGGTCTCAGGCGTAAACACCCGGGCCTGAAACTCATCGATACTGATGTCCACGACATTACCAACTTCCACCAAAATTGGACTAGCGAATCCAATGGGATTAGGCCTGAATCTCCACTCTGCATCCCATGGCTCTAACTCGCTGGGTTTGCAGTACTGTAAGATATCGTCGTGCAGTTTGACATATTCAGGATCCAATTTCTTTCGAACTGCCTCCTCCAAAGGTTGGAAAATTGTTTTTATAGAGCTGTCCATCGTGCTAATGTCGGTATGCTCGGCACAAAAATACCATCTCTCTTTTCTTTTCTTTCCATATTAAAGGAAAAGAGAGAGGGTTTACAGCTGAAGCCGCAATGGTAGCTGTTTATTAGTTGACAACATTATATCAAACAGACTATCATCACAAGATACTACATGCCGGCCGGCCGGCAAATAGCGGATTTTCCTAACCCTACATTCTTTTACAAACATGCTGTAACCACATCATATTAAATATCAGTAAAAGCTGCCCTCGTCCAAAACAACATATTGGTAGTGTATCACACATTATCATTCAGCCATATATTTGGCAAATGAGGTCGAATGCATTTCTACCTTGGTTACGTTAATACAGGTATGAATATACTCCATGATCCGAGACCAATGCAAATACTCACTTTATAGCATAAATATCATATTTAGCATTTTTTATAACTACAAGGATCTCTAAATTATAATATTACATTGAAAGAATAATACCGTTATAGCTATGACTACCCAAAAATGCTTTTGGTTTCGTGAAGAAGCTGTATTATCCTACCTAGGTATCAGAAGGCCATCATTTCCATCCTCGTTTCATCTGATCGATAGCCTCCGGCTCATTAATGACATCAACAAACCTTGAATCCAGGTCAAAAAGAGTAGCCCTTTGGATTTCAACGCTTCTATCCCCGCTGGCTTCTTCGACAACCAGACATCGAAACCCATACCCGCATGCATCAATTGCCGTGGCCCTAACGCAACCACTCGTACTAACACCGCAAAGTACAATCGTGTCCACACCTAGAGCGTTCAACTGGCTAAGCAAATTGGTTGCTAAAAATCCGCTGGGGTTCTTTTTTAGTACGACAGTCTCGTTTTCCCAGTCTGGAACCAGACCAGGCATCCATGCGTCCATTCCTCGTGCGTCGCCCTCCTGCCATATCGATATTCCAGGAGACTTTTTGAATTGAATCACCCCATCAACCATATCTGGGTGATTGTAGCGAACTTGTAACCATATCACTGGTATGCCCCCTTCCCGTGCGGCCTTCAACAGGCGGGTCATGCTATTCGGAGAATTTGCGCCGGAAGGGTTGGAAAGTAATGAGAGAGGTGATGCTTCTGCCCAATAGGCACGGCAAACATCAATTAGAATTAGAGCAGGTTTTGTGCCCCAACCAATACGTCGGTGATATCCAGCTGCTTTGGAGGTCTGATAAAACGGGTGCGATTCCACAAGCGCTGTTGGCATGTTGTTCATGGGCTATGAAAGCGCGAGTAAGAAGAATGTGCACCGAGAAGAGTGACTTTATGAATGGAACAGGTCCTCTGGTGTGTTTTATCACGGGAGCAGGACGAATTTATTTACAAGAAAGTTTCCAAGGCTTTTTTGGGCCCACTGTAACGACGGCGGCTGTCTGGGTCACTGTGCCGGCCGGCATTTGTTCAACGTTGCTTATTTTGCTCGCCTAGCGATATAGACATGAAATCTCACTGGTCTTAGCTGATAACACTAGTCGTCTAGAACTGCACTAAGAAGCCGTAGAATTACACATCTCGCAAAGCTTTATCCATCAACCTATTATTAGAGCTATTTATACTTTGAAATTGAAATTCCAATTCAGAATCAAACGCGTCCTGACCATTTGATCTCCAAGGAACGTAGAGGTAGATATAGTAGAATCGCGAGCACCAAAGCAAACTCGAAAGCCAAATCTCCAGTAACCTTTGCAATTGGGCCCACGTACCAGACTTGATCCATCGAGGGCACCACGAGTCCAAATGGTAATACAAAGGAAGTGAGTGCTGCTAGGCCTGGTGGCAACTCTCGAACGTTGTTCCAAATCCTAGGATCGAATGATGATGCTCTTCCTTTTCGAAACACGAACCATTCCGTCAGCAGAATACCGGTGAATGCTGCACTCCAGTAACCGATGATTCCCAGGAAATCTTCCAGAGAGTTAAAGAACGATTCTGCGGCTTTTATCCCAACTCCGATGTCCACGGCTGTTACAACAATCACAAAGATAATGCGGGGAACAACTGTAAACTTAGGCCACATTACTTGAAAGCTAAGCGAGACGGAGTAAAATCCTGGCGCAATCTGCGCAATGACACTAAGAGACAAGAGGACAGCAACAAACTTGCCGAATCCACCCAGTGGTTGGAGCATGGCTACCAAGATTCCTCCCACTGAATCACGGTCATTAGCATCGGACCAACTTGGGATGTTCGGTACAGCACCACCGATGGCAGCGCCGACAATCATGAGTAGAATGGAAGGCAGGCAAATACCCATCCAGCAGTAGACGAAGATGCGCCACTTTGGAGCATTTGGCCCTAAGTAGACTGCTGTATCACCTACAGTGGTACTGTAAGGGAGAAAGTAACCAGCAATCAAGGAAATAAAGGTGAAGATAGTTGGCGCATCTGAAGGAGCCGTCTGGACTTGCTCCTTCAACTTTGATCCGCCGGAGCCAATGGTGATGACAATGGCGATGAACGCAGGAATCCACGCCCATCGCTCATAATGATGAAGTACCTGAAATCCACCAAAGGCGGGAAGCATAGAGAGAACACCAACTATCACAATTCCGACTGTCTGACTTATGGTGTCGCCAGAAACTGCCGCAAGAGTCTGACCAGCAGTCACCAAGCAAATGATGTTATAGCCACACAGCGTCATCATGTTGAGCAGAGCGACAAGAATATTGGGGTACAGGCCGAAGCTATACCGGGCTTGAATCATCTGGCGCATTCCAGTCTGTGGGGAAATCGTTACAATATACGCAGGTGGAACACACATCAAGAGCGATAGAAAAAGCACAAGGAGCGATGTATCGCGTAGGTTGATGCCAAAAGACAATGTGCCTACCATCCCAGTAACGAGTCTATCAATCCTGGTCAGTCAAGGCTCCATGCAACATTGGGGAATGATAACTGACGGCAGTGGACACAGCAGGCTGGTGCACCACATAGTAAAGATTTTATTAAACGCCGAGTCTGTACGTAACTCTGGTGGAACTGGTTCCACCCCACGTAGCTCTACCCCGGAAGAGAGAAGGAGGTTCAATGTCTTTTTTAGGACTCCATGTTGTTTAATATCCGATGATTCGCTTTCACCGAGTTGAACATCATGAGTGACATTCACTAAGTCGGGGAATTTCTCCCCTTTCTCGATATCACTTGCATTAGATGAGGCCATTTCCGCGCAAGATTCAGTAACATGCAGACAAAAGAGGATGCGTATGAACCATGATCAACTGAAGCGAAATAGAAAGGTGTTTATATCATCGTATACTATCTCTCTGATAATCTGAATCGTTCTGTCTGTATCTGATTGAAATCAGTTGCTCAAAGCGTTGCTGAAATCGCATTGAACATGAGAGTGAACGACTCATACAGTAATCATGCCTATCTAGAGTTGCCGGTTATCAGAGCTAGCTGGACTCACGTATCTGATAAGGACTTGCTTTACCCGTGCCACTTCTTAAGAGCTAAGAAGTAAGTATGTACAGTACGTAATATCTAAACCTGATTCGCCGAGGCAGCGCTCGCTTTGTCGCTCTTCCCTCCGATATCTTCGATAAGACAAGTCAGGGTCATATCGCTGGGCAGAGAGACCTCTCAACTGGGGAATACATCTCCTTCCTCATATACGCTACGACATTGCCAATGTTATTGAGAAGGGATATTGTTGCATTTTCTGCATTGTATGCATGAAAACGAAATAGCGTTTCTTGTTGTCAGTTATACTTAGGGCTTTCGTGGTCAAAAGTCGACTGTAACCAGGGGTTAAGGGTTAGGGTTGCAAAGCTCATTATCCATTTATTCACTTATCGCTGATATAGGAATTGGTTTGCAGATAAATAATTTTCTATTATAAACAGGTTCGTATGATACTAATATATGTAGAGGATAGATGTATTTACTGAGGTGTTCCCAAAGGAGCAAGTCCCTGCTCCTGCAATATCTTGTTGATAGCTGGAATATGGTCAAGAAACGGGCCTTTGACATTGTCCCAGAATGCAGCCCGCTGTGGACGGATGCAGTTGTGTCGTTCCATAGCAAAATTGGTGACCGAGAAATGCGAGCTAATATGAAGCATGAAACCCAGGCTGTCTTGTCCAACCAAAACATTCTCCAAAGGTTCGGTTGTTGCCTTCACCCATGCTTCGTAGGACTCTGTTTCAGGGGTTAAAAATGGACTTGAAGATGATTTTCCCAAAACGTCAGGGTGGAACTGACCTCCATGTGGCATATAACTGTTCTCTAGTGTCAACCCTCCAGCGACCTGCTCTCTTGAACTTCCGCCGTATTGGCCGTATATCAAACCGCCAATCTCAGTTGCCATGTTGCGATGATAATACGGAGGACGGAAGGTGTTGGTACTCGTTTGCCATTTAGGCAGAAAGGCAGCAAACTCTGTTAAAGACACCCCCGGTATTTTTGACCTAGCCATTAGGACAGTGTGTATCGTAGGATCCACCTGCTCTTTCAACGTGCTGTTGAACGAAACAAACTTCGAAAGTTCGTATTTGTATGGGGCATAACTATCGAATCGTATTTAGTACAAGGGACACAATCACCTGGGACAATGTATCTCACTTTCCATGCCATGCCACTACATCAAAGGGCGTCCAGGCCTGTTCATAACTGAACAAGTCTCCGGTCAATTTGTGAATTATAGTCCACTTTGTCTCGTCGATATCAAAACTCGCCACTGGTGTTTCAAAATCCCGAGGAAGCGCCATTCCATTGCTACCCAGGGGACCGAGCTCAGGCAATTCATAATGGCTTCCAAAGATCTCTTGCACATAGCCCCTTGCCTTGCCACGTGGTAGATTAACCTTCCATCTAATACCAGCTTGAATGACACAGACTTCACCAGGAGTAACCATCATTCGCCCGAGCTCGGTTTGTATATCTAAAGCTCCCTCACTTGGTATAATCAAAAAGTCGCCATCATTGTTGCAAAACGCCTCGTTTTCCATACTCGCGTTTGCTGCGTACATGTGGATTGCTATTCCTTCTTTGTTAGTTGGGTCACCATGGCCACCCATTGTTTTCAGTCCAGATAAGAATGTCGTTCGGGTCATTGATTCTGGAATTTCGAGAGGACCCCAGGTGTAGCTAAGAGGAGTATATTTTATGCACTGATTTGAGGGAGAGAAGCAAGCTTCAATATCGTCGTTCGCCGCCATGCATTGTAGCGGGCGATGCGCCACCGACGGTCGTATGCGATACATCCATCTACATTCTTCTCAGAAATGTAATTCATGCCAGATGCATAGGTATAGCATCGACTCACACATGTTGCAATGTCTGTCGCGACGATATGAACGATGTACCATTCAACTGCTCCGAATAAAGACCAAAAGCACATCTCTGGGGCACATTTCGACCTCCTTCTGGCAGAGTTCCTGGTCTGTTCACACTATCAGCTCTGCAAAAACCCATTAATCCTCATTCGAGAACGACAAGATTTTATATCATACACTGCTTCGGATACAAATAAATTTCCAAATCCCAGCATGTACCTATATGGATCACTTGCAGTCGGTGGTGACGTATAGCAGTCGGTAGCAGACCTCCCGTATTTGGATTTTAATGGGGAGGTATCTGAAAGTGATTCCTCACTTGGAATTCTCATGAACTCGCCCATTATGATTCTATACGACTTGCTAGCGACTGAGAGGTGTTGAAGATATCTTTAGAGAGAGAAAACGACTCAATCTCTGAAGAAAAGTATATCGAGATTCAACAAGTAACTGTTCTGTGCTTTACTTATCCAACAAATCGCGCTATCCACCAGGCCGGAACTTGCTAATGAAGATTCATCATGTCTACGCCTATAGTACCAATTGTTGTAAAGTCTGACATTGTATGAATACTGCTCTTGATCGAATTGTGGCGTTCTATGGCCGGCTGGAAACAAATGCCGGAAATGCCGGCCGGGACTAGATACTACCGTATACTGACCTATCTACGTGCATGAGATAAGAAGGTGATAATGAGAAGGCCCAATCATTGTCATAGCCCGGCAAACATTTCTTCATTTTGCGATAGTGTAACTCTATAGTAACTTGAACCACCTTGGTTTTAGCTTGGGCGGATATACCTAGGTAACAGAATGTCCAGACTTTGCGACAAAGCAACATTTTCAGTCAATAACCCCCCAAATGAATTTGCTTGACCCCATGAAGTCAGTGGTCTCTAATTTAGTCTCATTAAATAGTCAAGTAGATTTGAATTTACCATGACACACAGGTGATTATGTAACTTCCAGTATCCGGCCGGTTGTCCACGCAGTACAGACCAATTTCTTCTTTCACATCATCATTCTGCCGGCCAAAAGTGATATACCAGCAACATCTTCACAAAAAAACATAGACGCAACATCATCACCCCACATAGTGTGAATATCTGAGTTTTTATCCATTATTTCGAATGGAGCTTGAATTGCCGCTCGACTTACGGGGTAGCGATCAGCAGCACGTCAAATTGACAAGAGCAACGGTCGCCTGCAGGAGGTATGAGAAATTTCGGTCTGGGATATACAACTTTGACGTTCATAAAAGACTACTAGATGCCGTCGTTTGCGCACCAAATGTGTGTATAATGATGGGAAACCGCCGTGTGAGGGATGTAGCCGTGCTGGATCTGACGTTGCTAATACATGGTACCATTCAATCTAGCCTGATGATGAAATATAATGACTTACTCAAGCATTTCTAGCTACTTCCCGGCAAGAGGGCATAGCCGCCGAGATCGTGAAGTAAGTTGCCCGCGGCCTAGTATGTATCAAGGCCGAATGCCGTGCTTACTGACTTATTTCACTTAGTTCCGTGTCAATAAAGGCAGCAAAGGCGATCGCCAGTTGAGTTCTCCGAGCTCAGCATGTAACAGTGTTACAGCAGATCCTCCCATATCTCCGGCCCTGTAAGTGTGTCGTCTATATGACTGTAAGCGTGCCTGCTGATAATTAGTTTGCTCATGGCAGTGCTCAACAAGGGACCCCCTCGTCGTTCCACTCTACACAAAGCAGTGCCATAATCATACTGAAAGTGACGAAAGATGTTCTCCCACCTGCTAGGGAGGTTATTGAAGGTTGCAAAGTATTTTGGACTTCTTTTTTGCAGTTGGGGTTCTTTCCGAAGCGTCTATTTCTTGAAAAGGTCTCTCAGGACATAAATTCTGTATCTCTGTTTGTACTCCTGGGCATTTTGAGCAACTCTTGTCGCTTTACACCTTGTCTTATAAAAAGATATGGTAGTTGCCAAGCGGCTGGTGATTATTTCATCGGACATGCAACAACCCTGGTGCTTAATGCATTGTACGAGCCTAGTCTTGAAAACATACAAGGTTTTTTCTTATTAGCTCTTGCACAATGGGGCAGTGGTGACAAGGATAAAAGCTCGGTAAGCTCATTCTTGACTCAATAATGAACTATATCTTATTCTTTTTGCAGATGAACATGGGAATTGCCGTTAGAAGTGAGTGGTGATTATTGAAAACCAAGATTTTACACCTAACGTACCACAGTGGCTGGCATCCTACGACTTCACCGAGAGGAAACTTACAGTCTTCCACCAGATGCCACGACGGATAAGATAGTTGAGGCAGAAACAGCTAGGCGTACATTCTGGGTTTTGGAAAGTAAGTTGTCCCAGTTTAGGTACACGGAACAGATTTGTCTAATCTCATGGACCGCACATTGCAGCTGAGGATAATCTTCATTCCAGCCACGCGTCCCCTGTGGCGTTTGGCGCAGACGATATTACAACTTTGCTCCCATGCGAAGAATCTGATTTTGCTTTTGGGCGTATACCTTCGTCTCGGGCGGCACTACCAGGAACCAAAGCGGCAAAGTTATGGCCAGAACTGACATCTCTCCCATCGCGGTCGCTCTTCGCCACACTCCTCCAAGCACATAGTCTATGGGGAAGTGTCGCTCGAAAGGCATGGCGAGCAGATTTCTGCTCTGAGGGCCCGCCTCCCTGGGATCCTGATAGTACATATGCTAAAATGTGTCAAATATTGACACAGTGGGAACGTGACACTCCAGCTAGCCACCGATGGAGTGTCTGGAATATGAGAGGACATAGCGCAGAGCAGGTCCATGCAGCTTATCTGAGCGTTGTTATGGTGACAAGGTTAAGCCACATCGTCATTCGGAGAGTTTACTTGGAAGAGTAGGTTATTTGTCTGTTTTTCCTGGCTATGGAGAGACGTTCTAACTCGAACACGAAGGATGATTACCAGCGTGACGCAGCGGAAAAGAGACAGTGCTCCGCGAAGTTTTTGGATCAGTATCGCTGATGAGCTCTTCGAGAATGTGTTTGCCTTGCACGAGCCGGTCAACACATTTGTTTCGAATCGCAGTCCGCACGAGGGGTTCTCGGCTACATTAGTGGGTATGCCTCTATACGAAACTCGCGGCATAATTGACTAATATTATACAGCTTTTTTCATTATACGTCTGTGGCACACTATACGTCCATCTTTTGAAAATTCCCTCGTGTATGTTCTTTTCCATGAACTCCATTCGAGGTATTTGCTTATGAGAATAATCAGTATGCCCACGACTGGCATCTCGCGCGCAGCCTAATCTCAGTCGAACCCTTGAAATTCTGGAAGATTTACAGAACGCGTGGCCGCTAGCATCAAGGTGGCTGACTGTGCTGAGAAGTTCTGCAGCCTCTATTTCGACTAGTTTGCCCACAGCCTCATGTTTTAGTCCCGGACCAGTGCTGTCTCATCCTGTAAGTTGACAATAAATCCCAAGTTATACCAACTAACTCGTCTCCAGGGCTTTACGAACTCTCACAGTAATGACAATCTTCCAGAGCATGATTTGACTACGAATAAGCCAGGGATTGGGAGTCTGGAAATGCTTAGTGAAGCTGCAGTCTCGGCAGAAAGAAACGGTAGTGATGACTCAAGCAGGATTACCGGTTCTAAGAACAGAGGAAACAATAGCAATTTGAATCGTAACAGGGTCATCGATGAATTTCTCACATTCAGCGTTCCAGAAACGGTGCTCAACCCTCTCAATCGATACCCAGGAATTAACACCGACAACGGAGCGTCATTTGATAAGGAACTAACTGAATTTATGAACCAGCCAAGTTATGGGATGATAGATATTTGGATTCCTTCTGAACAGGATGCCTGGCTGTCCTCTGGTGAGCCTTGAAGTCGATTTTCATACATAGATCATCATATTCTTGCGGTCATTCGCGTCCTTTCGAGAGGTTGACGGAGTGAAAATATGCCGGCCGGCCGGCACCTACCTACACCCCACTAGAGATGTCCCTAGTGTACAAAGGTCAGTTAATAGAGTGTCACTGTGACCGAGTTATACTTTAACGTAGTCGACTTCAGAATCCTTCATTTATGGAAACCGCCCGTGATTAATCCTCTAGCAGCCAGCTCCGAGTTGTCGGTGGAAATAAAGCTGTGACAAGAGAAGACATGTCCACGCTCTCGCCATCGGACTACCCAGCTTACGCTGCCAACATCTCCAACAAGACACAAGACCCTCTTGACTGGGGGTTGCGGCCAGCATTGTTAATTCTCGACGTTAGTAAGGCCTACTTTTCCGAGGCTTCACCTCTCAGCCTATTATCTTCAACATGTGGGACAGCTGCTACTCTACCTGCCAATGTTTCACGATTGATCAATGCTGCGCGTTCTGGTGAATGCCCAGTGATTTGGGCTCGCACATTGTTTACAAACACTAAGCTACATGATGCTGGAATTTGGACTCGGAAAATGCCTCGACAATTACTACAGGGATTCAGCAGCAAAAATGAGGATGGGCTGCATGAGTTCCTTGAGGGAATGACACCTTCCGCTGGAAGTGACGGTGATTCACAGAAAAGACTGGCTGACTTGGTAATTGAGAAGAAATTCGTGAGCGCATTTTTTGGTACGAACTTAGCAGGACAGTTGGCCATGATCGGTGTTGATACGATTGTGTTCTGTGGAGCAAGAACTGGGGGAGAGATCCGACAGAGTATACTCGATGCCCAGGGATTGGGATTTCGAGGAATCGTGAGTTATTAGGCACTATCACCACGCTTACTTGCTGATTGTACCATATTGCAGGTCGCTGCAGATGCATGCGCAGACACGTGCAAGGAAACTCATTTCGCAAATTTGTTCGACATACAGGCTAAAATGGGAGACGTCCTCACAACAGACATGGCAATTGAAGGTTTAAGCAAGGGATGGTTATGGCAAGCATCAAATTAGTAGTGTATTAATAAAATACTTCATGGCTTTCATATGAAGAATCTCCACTTTGCAACTTCCTGAGGATTTTCGTTTTGTCTTTCTCCAGTTCCAGTGTCAATTGGACGTTTTGAAAGGATTTTGTAAATATCTCTCTCTCTTGCTAAAGCAATGCGAACGAGGCACATCAAACCTGCAGAGGTGGAAGTAGTCTTGCGTGGTTTTAATTCACTCCATTTGAAATCCAGATAACTCAATGGAGGCCAGCGTTTCTTTGCCTTCTTTTCTCTGTTTCAGTCCTTATCACAACTCTTGTACGTCTCGAAGATACGCCGTAGTAACTTGCCGTTCGTTATCTCCCGCAGCCAGCCCTAATCGATAAGACTAGCTCCGCCTTCCAGTCTGGGTCTAGCGGCGGAGGCCCCGAGATAAGCTCTTGAATGCACATCTGGAAGCCTGAAATTCAAGGCAATAATCTCCGGCCGGCTATCTTTGTCGGCACCTTCTCTCTCCACCTCTCCACCATTCTTATCAAGCGCCATCAGTTTCATTTTGTGGAGGTCAACACTTTGTTGGTTATCGCGCTTCCGTTACTTATAGGTTGTGATAAAGCACTAAATAAAACAAGCTGCCTTCAACATATCGTAAAGGATGTGTTAAAGAATGACCGAGCTTTCGTCCTGGGGAATAGCCACACCATGATGGGTATCCTCGCACTCCCGCTGTCGACATTGCTACCACTCGGAACCCTAGCTCTTCTCCTTGCTGCGGTCCTTGCACCAAAAGTGCTGGGAAAGCGGAAATATCCACTGCCGCCTGGACCTCCTGGAGAGTTCATATTAGGCCACTATCGAAGAATTCCTTTTGTGGCCGCTTTCAAACAATATGCAAAATGGGGAAAGGAGTACAGTACGTTACATACCTGGGAAGATAAATTTGTCCAAGTACTACAGGCTGATTAAACTAAGAATCCGACGTGCTTTACTTCGAGACCTTCGGTACGAAATGGATTGTCTTGAACAGTCTGAAATCGGCCATCGACTTGCTAGATAAACGTGGGTCTAATTACAGTGATCGGCCGAAATTTATTCTTTTCGAGGAGTATGTCCGCATTTCTTGTGTCGCGAAGTTCCTCGAGCACGCTGACCATACTTTTGAAGGATGGGCTGGGCACCAACTTTGACATGGCTGCGATGGGGCCCCCAGATGCAGCGACATCGGAAAATCCTCCAGCCGGCGTTTAGCAAAGCCCAGGTGCGCCAGTATCAGGACAACCAGCAACGGCAGGCCTTAATCTGTCTCAGAAATATGTTAGATGACCAGTCCAACTACCTCAGTGCAATTCGTAGATTTGCCGTTGCCATTGTGCTGAACATTAGCTATGGCATTGACGTTGAGTCACCGGATAGTCGGTGGATTAAAATTGCAGATGATGCAGCTGAAGCGATTAGCAATTCTGGTGCTCCAGCAAGTAGTATTATTGATCATTTCCCGGCAAGTAAGTTTGCTTCGTGAAACTGTATCCTCATTCAATAGCCTTGCTAACCCATGTCCATATAACTAGCACGCCATCTCCCTACCTGGCTTCCGTTCATGGAGCGCCTCCGCTACGCTCGAAAGTGGCGATGGGCCATAGAAGCCATCACCAACATTCCTTTCGCTCTCGCTCAAAAAGAAATGGTTAGTCCATGAAGTGTTTGATGCAGTAGAAAATACTGACATTCAGTTTCATCACTGCAGAGCGAGAAAATAGACCGTAAATGCTTCTCACATGATCGCCTCACTGTTTACAATGCCAATGCCGAAAAGGGGAATCTGAACGAATTCACTATGGATGATATACGAGGTGCATCCGCCGCTATTTTTATTGCCGGAAATGATACAGTATGTGTGAATATTCGTTTTATCTTAAAGACCTGAACTGACAATACCAGACAGCAACAACAGTTCAATTATTTGTCCTCTATCTCATGCAAAACCCGGACGCTCAAGCCAAAGCGCAAGCCGAGATAGATCGTGTCGTTGGTTCAGACCGTCTGCCGACCTGGGATGACATACCAAATCTGCCTTACATAAATCTTATTCTTCAAGAAACTTATCGTATGAACCCACTCTCTCCGTTGGGCATCCCCCATGCATCTATCAGTGATGATGTGTATGAAGGAATGTTTATTCCAAAGGGAACTATTGTTTACCCGAACGTCTGGGGTATTCACCACAATGAATCATTCTACTCGGAACCATTCAAGTTCTGGCCCGAGAGGTATTTGCCCAAGGAGCAAGGTGGTAAGGGAGAGCCGTATCCAGTGGGCAACTTTGGATTCGGTCGCCGGGTTTGTATTGGCCGAGTATTAGCTGAGAACAGTTTGATGATTATCTTGGCTAATATGGTCGCGACCATCAATATTCGCTATCCCCTTGGTTCACACGGCGAGCGGACACCGTTCGAGCCCGAGTGGTCGTACATAGGACAAGCGTGAGTTTTGCTTGAATTACTCGTTAAGTTTGACTGACATGGAACATGTTTAGACATCCGCTCCCTTTCCCTGTCGATTTCTGCGCAAGATCTGCCATGGCAGAACAGTTGCTTAGGACTGCTGTTGGAGTGGCTCGGTGATACCAACCCACAAGCATTATACTACCTTGAAATGATGTACAGATTCTATTGGCAGATATGGACAAGATGCTGTATGGAAGATTGCAATGCCGGTTTCATTAGTGAACAGGTTTAATTTTGGTACACGACGTTGGAAATACTTCTGTACGTTTACTTAGTCCAGCAAATTTAACATGGAATGATGTTGGAAGGACCTCAGCTTTGGCAAGCCGAACATTCGTATACCTCACTGGTTTTGTTTGTGATATAGCGGTGATTGTTAGAGTTTTAAAATACACTCGTCACCTACACGTCTGCACCCCAAGTCGTGTTTGTTGGAAATGTTCTTTTACCCTCATTGCCAGGCTCATCCGGGTCAAAGTCCAATCGATCGGGTATCTTCAGGCCCGCCGGCAGATGGTATCGAACAAACCAGACAGAGACACCGTCACGGTAAAGCCAAGGATCCTCTGTTCGGCGCTGCCATTCTTCCAATTTCCCACGTAGGTTCTCCAGCACGGAGGAATGCTTGGGATCCTTAACCAAATTTTGTAGCTCGTCGGGATCATTATCCAAGTCATACAACTCTTCCGGGGAACGGAAGAAGTAATCCCTCAATTTCCGCCCACCGATCAGAATGTCTCCTTTGGATGAGTCCATATTGCGAATATCCTCCCAAGATAACGACCCATAAAGATCAGCTGCGAACGGAAAGTCAAGACGCCACGCCAGGTTTCTGTGATACTTGTAGCGTCTATTTCTACTGAATCTGGTTGGCCAATAGTTGGTCACCTCATGGAATGTATGTGAGCCAAAAACTTGATCATAGCCCGGAAGAACCGAGCTGTTACCAAGTATGGGTATAAGTGAGCGGCCCAAACGCTTCTTTGACCCGTCAATCACCGCTTTATGGCCTGCATAGTCCAGTATAGTTGGAAGTATGTCGACGTATGAAATCATATTGGGACTGACAGCTCTCCCTATGTGGGGATGACGGATTATCAAAGGCAACCTGACTCCTGCGTCGTATAAAGTTGTTTTGGAATTCAGAAACGGTGGTCCATTATCGCTTAGGAAGATCACCAGCGTCGAGTCCGCAAATCCTGAGTCAACAAGTGCCTCAAGAATAAATCCGACACCTTGGTCTAATCGATGAATTGAATTGTAATATTCGCTAAACTCAAACCGCGTGCCAGGAGTATTGTTGATGAATGGAGGCACTTCTACCTCTTGCGGCGTGTAGGTACCTCGTTGGACACGACTGTCGTATTCTTGATCATTTCCGAAGCCTCCCCGGGTACGATCTCTATGAGGGTCATGGTATCCCACGGTAAGAAAGAACGGGCGAGCCTCATTCTGAGATTGTTGGAAGAATATTCGCGCTTGGTCGGCAATAACCGCAACGTCGCGTGTATCGCTTTCTTGTCTTTCTTCCCACGGGTATACAGCTGGAGGTCCGACATGTATCTTGCCCAGAATTCCTGTACGATATCCAATCTTATTGAGCAGCTGGGGTGCAGTTTCAACATGGTCAAACGTCACAAAGTGATGCCGGTGACTCGCGAGTCCATATTGTCCATTCTGATGTGTATGCTGACCTGTATAAATGACGGAGCGACTACCGCTGCAGGATGCTGTGCTCGCGAAGGCGAAGTCGAATATCGTGCCTTCTGATGCGAGTTTATCAATGTTTGGCGTGTGGATTGTCGTTGAGCCGTAGCAGCTCAATTGCTTCCCTAAATCATCTGCTATCAGGAGCAGTATATTCTTGTTGTCCATCCTCTGTAAATTGCCGATTCATCCTTCGAGGGTGATATCGCGAAGTCAAGGTGCAACAAATGGATGTATTCATATTATATAGCAAGTAAAGGGGTGTAAATCGCGGGGAGTCTCACAAGAACCCCTCCTGTTGAATTGTACAGCTCAGTCAGTGTTTCCTAAATTGGAAGCCTAAGAATAATTACCTAAAGAGGAAGGTAATTAACTATCGTTCCGACAAGCTCGCCATTTGAGCTATTATGATGTCTTGACTATTCACCAATGTTGAAGGTCGAAATACTTGGGTGTCGCTTAATAGTCGGGTAATTATGCTTGAAATGCCTCATACAATGCATACAATAATTGGTAATACATATTGAGTAACAGGACGGCATTCGAAACGAGACGACCATGCACCCATTAGCACGCTTGGCTGTAAATTTTGTCATATGCTAGAAATTCGGACCACATTTTATTTAAACTCTGCTGTAAAGTCTTTCGACGAAACATTATAGGTGAAATCATCACGCAAAGGAAATCGCGTTTGCACGCAACGAGAATTGAACAAATCGACCAGGATATCATCTGGCTGCGAGAGGAAGATTGTAAGACTATGTCATCAGGTACTGAGCAACAAAAGCAATATTCTGAATAGCTGCCAGTCCATACAATGCCGTGATATTGGTAGATACCCAGCTGGCTTCATCCATAGGAACCGGAAATTCACTCCCAGATTTGTGCTCTGCAGTCCAGGGCAATGAAGCTTCATACCCATCTCCTTCATAAAACTCCTTCCACGCACGTCGCGCAAGCTCTTCCTTTCCCAGTGTACGAGCCACATATGCAGTCAATCGGGAGTGGCCTTGCCGAAGTATTAGTTTGGGAAAGGCGACACCATATCGAGAGACTTGAGCGTCACTTCGTGCATTGTAGTACATGCAGTAATCTAGCCACTTGGATCGAAAATCATTAAGTATCGTGTGCTCAATTTGTTCATACAATTCCAGATCGAGGAGTTCCGCACATGTCTCGACAAGACCAAACATGGCCGACAGATGACCTACTTGCACAATTCCAGCATTCTGTGGATCGCTTGGAGGTGGGCTAATTCCACCACTCTGTATATGCAAAAGTGCCTGGCCAGTAACAAACCCATTCGTTAGAGAATTAATTCCCTTGATGGAGTTAAATAACTTCTCTCGGTATTTCTTCCATTCCGAGCCTTTCCTCTCCCATTCCATCATCCACGCACCTGCAAGTGCCGACCAATCGGTGCCCAATGAGATCAAAACCCCTTTTTCTGGCTCTAGAGTCACTCTGCTCCTATCCTTGCGGACCTTTCTGTAGGGATCCAGTGTGAAGTATGTCTTTTCTGAATCAAGCGTCTCTCGTATTATCTGACCAGTTCTTTCATCCCCACCTGTCAGGTAATAAAAAAACTTCCGATATAGTACATTGGAGACCCGCCCTTGTTTACAGCTATCGCTCCAGTGTTGGACTCCATGTCTTGTTCCAAGGCCTTTATATGGACCCAAATGATACATGTCGACCTCGGAGGTGTGTCGAGTTAGGCTTTCAGCGACACGATAAACATCTGCTCGCTGCGTGCAAAGAAAGTAAAGCCAAAGCCACAGGTCCGGAGACAGTTCTGAATTGTCCCAAGCATATCCTCCAACATCATACCTCCAGGTGTGTCTGTCTCCATCATACGTATGCATTATATCCCCATGATCCCAGAAGCCATACCACCGCCGTTGCGCAATTTGCGTCTGATAGAAATTGAATAAAAATTCGAGGTTGCGCAGGATATCCTGAGCTTTCGGGATCGGTTCTGTAATTGTGTGAATTGATGTCAAGAACGGTTTCCAGTACTGTCCAAATGCTTTCGTGCTGTGAATATATTCCGAGTCTGCAATAAGAAGCGGCGTATCACGCATATTGCTAACAAGTTTTGACAACACTGCAGTACTAGGCGTGTTATCAAATGCATATAGATATATCTCATTTGTCCGGGATATACCATACGGCGTTCCAGTGCCCGGCTCCCAGTCTTCATATGTTATCCGCATCGCGTCTAGCTGGTCATCGTATGTCTTTTCACCCAGTCCGTCGTGATAAGGACGCATGTCCATCGGGCCTGCTGCAGGACTATAAATCCATAAGGTGACATCTCCAAGGTCCGTGGCTGCATTCCTGATATCCAGTTGCGTAGGATACCTCTCCCAAAAATAGCGCATCCCGATACCCAAACCCCCGTTGTGTGATCCTCCAAGATAGACAAGACCGTTGGCTTTTGTCCCGCCAGGAATATTCACCCAGCTATTTCCACTGTTTGTTCTTTTCCTCATGGTATACCCGTCGGGAGATAGTTGCAACAGTGTGAAGTCATTCCACTTAGGGACCCATCGTAAACCGGATCCGAAGTCTGTGTTCCATTGATCAAGGGCCGGCGTTGGCCGACCAGAAATCTGTGACATCCGGATATCAATGCCAGGATCCTTCCACAATCCAGTGACATTCTGCACGGCTTCGTGGAAGATTCCATCTTCACCTGCGAATCTTACATGTCGGTCATACTGGGGCTCATCTTTCAAAGGAATCTGGAATCGGATGCCAATACCTCGAATAAAGTGTTCTTCTGGATTCCGATCGTAGATTATGGTATGAACAAGACGTATCGTGTCTGAATTTGCGTACAGATAAAACCGTAAAATAAAAGGTAGACATCCAGATGCTGCAGAAGGAGTCTCATCCAATGATGCCGGCCGCTGATATTTTCCTTCAATACGTACAACTATTCTGTAGGGGCCTTTGTGCTCAATCTCGACATTTTCTATTTCCCCTTTCAATGTATAATGACTGATGTTGTTGTTGTAAGATGTTTCTTCATCGACTGCCATTGAAGATTGGTGCTGATATATCAAGTGACCTTGCTGGGCGACAACCTTCCCAGTTCCAGAATGCACTATCTGTTTAACGATATGATTGCCGGAGGTAAAAAAAGTTACCTTGATCTTGCCAGTATCTACATCCAAGCTTTCTGAAGCTGAGTTCACCTTTATTCGACAGACCGACAGGTCGTGTCTTACAGAGTTTTCTTTCGAATGGAAGGGTGTCGACGACCTGTATTCAACCGAGATGCGAGCAGGGTAATTGGATACTCCTGGCAGTGCGTGCCCAGTCCATTTGATCGATCCATCTGGCCAGTATGCATTAATCCAAGATTGCAAAGGCAATCGTTGGCGGTTGGAGTCGAAACAAACGAGACTACCGCAGCCGGGCAAGTATCGACCCTGCTCCCAAGGCACCCCAAATGTTGTACCAGTGGTATGTGAAGGTGGATCCCCCAACCAAGTCAGAATAGGCATTTCTGCTTTACAATAGTCAATAAGTGCTCTATAATAAGTTCTCGGACTGGACTTTTGGGTGTTGGACTCAGCTCAGCGCGACTCAAATACATGTAGAAGGCTCATCAAGCAAGCGCAAACCACAATGATGCTGAGTCATACTATCAATGATATTGAATGTATATTATGTCGGAACCTCCCGCCTATGGCTTGAGAGTCTACCGGTTAAGACTCGGTAAGAAAGCTTGCAAAGGGGAAGATAACGGACTAAAAGAATATACAGTTGCAATAAAGATATCCCACCAATGGAAAAACCCTGTGGTTGACAGTTTTTCGTCATTCGATGAGTATATACGTACAGTGGAGAACATGTTGTATGAGACGCCACTTCTTATTGACCAAATATGGCATTGATTGATGCCATCCGCGCTTACATGACGAACTGAACTAGCAGCATCGTAAAATACTTCCTTCTTTTGACAAGCAGACCCGCCTAGTTTTTGACCACAGATATCTCGAGAATTTGTTGGGAAACAATTGAGAGCTGTCATTCTTCGTCCATACAATAGGTACTCAAACTGGATATCGTTGATAGTCTGGAGATGTATCCTAAGCATCTAACCTGGTTCGCGATAAGCTAACAGATATTACTATTTATTATGTGAATGACACCATGCCAGCCGTAAAGCACGTACTGAGTTTGATTAGATTGCGATAAAATAAGGATCCTCTACAGGCCTTTGTGAGCAGTGTAGTACTTAATGCGACTTGAGGAGCTTGTCGTAGCATGTAAATGCTTCGAACCCTAAACTTCCAATCCCAAGTCAATGCGAATATACCTACACATTCGAATGTATTTGGGTTGAACGGTGTGCCATTATGGGAACGATTGATATAAAACAAGCGAATGCTTCTTCTTCCGAGATCAACCCAACCCAAAAGCCGAACGTCAAAGAGAATCTCAATGACCTTGCAGAGCCGGAAGAGACCAAAGAGTATCAATCACTGATTACACTCCTGTTTCGCCGCAGCAAAAAGGTCGATCTTGATGCCATCGCTACCACTCGTAGCGTGTTCGACGATTCATTACTCCGGCAGTACTACCAGCCCCATCCTCAATACGAGAACCTTCACCGCTTCGATGTAAACGAAAGATGGACTTATCGGGAAGAAGCTGCAGTGCGGCGGAAAACAGATTGGAAAATTCTGCTATGGATACTTGTCATGTTCTTCGGGTTGAATCTGGACAGGGGAAACCTGGGTAATGCTGCAGCGGACAATTTGCTAAAGGACCTCAAAATTAGCACCAATGACTACAACAATGCACAAAACATGTATCGTATCGGATTTTTGATTGCTGAAATTCCGTCACAAATGATCGGTAAGAGGTTGGGGCCAGATCGATGGATACCAATCCAAATCATGGCTTGGAGTTTGGCATCGGGTGGTCAGTTCTTTATGCAAAATAGGGCAGGATTCTTCGCGTGCCGATTTTTTATCGGGTTGTTCATGGGAGGGTTTATCCCAGATTCCATTCTCTACCTCTCATACTTCTACACAAAGACTGAAATGCCATTTCGCCTGGCCCTATTCTGGTTCACCGACTCTATGTCAGGTGTGGTTGCGTCTTTTATCGCCTACGGCGTGCTGCACATGCGGGGTGTAGGCGGCCGCGAGGGTTGGCGATGGCTCTTTCTCATTGAAGCTTTGATTACCATTGTGATTGGTTTTCTGAGTTTCCTCTTCCTCGTGCCGGGTCCGACTCAGACAAGGACATGGTGGAATCGAAAGGGCTACTTCTCAGAGAGAGAAGAAAAGATAATAGTGAATCGCGTCCTACGTGACGATCCGTCTAAAGGTGATATGCATAATCGCCAGGCGCTATCTTTAAAAATGTTGTGGCAAAGCTTGAAGGATTATGATTTGTGGCCCATTTATGTCATTGGCATACTTTTTGAGATTCCCACTGCGCCGCCGAAGTCGTACCTAACCCTCTCTCTGCGCAATCTCAAGTTCACCACGTTCCAGACGACGTTGCTTACAATACCTGTCACCGTGTTTGCATCTATCAACCTGTTACTTATCACGGAGCTTACAGAACGATTCCATCAGATCTCCATTATCGGTCTTCTTACGCAGCTGTGGTGTCTCCCCCTTTTGATCATTTTGTTCAAATGCGCTGGGACATTGTCCAATTGGGGCCTATACGCAGTCACTTTTGTGCTATTGGGGTGGCCTTCTCCCCATGCAGCACAAGTCGGTTGGTGTTCGCGTCTGAGTAACACTGTTCGGACAAGAGCAGTGAGTGCCGCGCTTTACAACATCACCATCCAACTCTCCGGAATTGCGTCTTCGAATATCTACCGCTCGGATGATAGTCCATTGTATCATCGAGGGAATAAACAACTTATTTCTATCAATGCTGCAACTATTGTTGTATATGCTCTTGCCAAGATCTACTATGATGCTAGAAACCGATGGAAAAGGACAAGGTGGGAGAAAATGAGCCCCAACGAAAAAGCGAGTTATCTGGAAACGACTGCCGATTTGGGAAATAAACGTCTGGACTTTCAATTCGACACTTGAGGGTATGAATATTTCAAAGGTGCACTGTAACGCGTTTACTTCTTGATCACAGACCATTACACTAGTTCCATTTGATTCAGCAATCAGGCACAAGATATAGGTAAATACTTAGTATCTGCCAGTTTAATATCAAGCGAACTCCTTAACTCCCTAGGTACATATGTATCGACACAGAAGTACAATTTTCTGTCACTCGTTTCTATGAGCTAGCCCAGTATTGATATACGCGCCTAAAAAGATTTCCACTAAGTCTATTAACTCTCACCCGGTGCTGTCGCGAATGTACATGCTGCATACCAAGTGCAGCACAAACTGTCAATATGGTCATACAGACAAGAGATACCCAGTACTTCCACCAAGTAACATTATCCGGCATCTGTTTCATGCTGAATATTGCCTGTTCACGTATCAGGATTCAGCCCATACACCCATTTGGTGCCTGTTCGACTAACCGTTGTCAAAGTCAAGGGCAGATAAATCTGGACACAGGCATTAGTGATCCAACAATGACAAAAATTCGAATTCAAGAATCTCACAATTGTGATGTAAGTAAGAAGCTGAATATCATCACCCTGCTGCGTTGCAGTTATACTTTCTGAAAGTGAGGAAGCATTCACCAGCTATAGTCATCAGTCGGCAGTAATCTCAAGCACACGCATAAGAGGAGACATACAACATCAGACATTTTTTCGAGAGTCTCTATTCTTTGCTCTATTATCATGTGAAGGGCTCTAAGCTCACCTATATATCCGTTTATTTTATAGAACTTTTGACGAAAGTTGTCGTAAAGCACTCCAGGGTTATCTAGGTCAAGAAATAATACCTTGGGTCCCAGATGGGCCAGTCACATTTCCATTGGCCTGCAGATGGGCCATCGGTCTTCTTGTCAAGATATTCTTCAATCGTGTCTTGGCCAGTGTAATAAGTGTCTCCACAGAAATAGGCGGTCCAGAAGAAATCATCCACCACACAGATCATCAAGGAAAATTGCGACTCATAAATACATTCCCGCAGCATGGAACCCGAGGGACGAAAATCTCTACCCTTCCTTAGTCCCCTCGTATCAGAATAGTTGGACTATCATGCCGTAGTACGTAATGTGGTAAATGAAATTGCAGCGTTATTTTATAATCCTTTCACGCCCAGGTTCAGCACCCAGTATATCTGCAGGTAGATTGACCCCTTAGGACTTACATTGCGAACATTCATATAGGCTTGGAACTCAATATGCTTCGAAAGGAATAACCGAAACTCTGGAATATGCGGTTTTGACACGTTGCAAATCAGGGTCAGAGCAACTTGTGGCGTTATATCTGCGATGTAACTAGTATGTGAATCAGCCTTCTCCAGTTGACTCCTTCTCAGTAGTCCGCATTTATACATGATTTGACACTCTGCCTTTTGTTGTCTCTGCTTGCATCGTCAGACAGGGCACTTCAGAGAAACGGGGAGAGAATAATGGAAGGAGTTGCCGAAATCAGCGAAGAAATTGGAGGGCTAAGAAAGTGTACAAGTTACATATACATACAGGAATTTTAAGTCGCTCACGCAATGTCTTTATATTAGCACCGTATACCTGAACGTTTTCTCCTTTCGGCGGATACTGATTATATGATGGGGAGTCCCATGCACGTAGTATGATATTTGTATTTTCTGTTATGTGCAGATTTATACAAGGATCGCATCTGTCATCCACGATAACAAGGGGTTTTTGGTCATTTGGAAGAGCATACACATCATCGGTGGATCTAGCTCCTGGTTGTTCTAGAAACCTGCGTAAAGCTTCATGCAAAAGTGGAGGTTCTAATTCACTTATAAAGAACCTGAAAAAGGCATCTATGACTGTTTCGTCATCTCTGACCTCAAGTCGGTCGTCTTTTTGAATGTATAGATTCGGCTGCCGGGTAGTAAATGCCTTCCACAAAACTCTGTTGCGGGGTCTGTCATGGTTAATTATTCGATATTGCTCCATGGAATTTCGTAATCTCATTCAAGATCAATGCAAGCCTGCAGTCGAGGATAACAACGGACTTTTCTTTTTGCTGGTCTGCTGGGTTTGAATCATCGAGTAACGGGAAACTCTAAGAACCATTCATCAATTAATCCACAAAAAGCGCTGTTTAATATGACCACTAGTGTGTGTCACTTGCAGCAGGGTAAATGTCAGTGTACAGCTCTCTAATAAGGCTATGTCGAGTATCCCTGTACGAACAATCTTCTTTCAATCATATGTTTCCCATCTCAGCCTCATTCGGAGTTCAGTTCTCGGAGCCTCTACAATCACATTGGTCATGAGGACTATCACATATACCTAGATACCTTCAAACTCGGGTTTTAGCATAGCACTAAAGACATGCTTGCCACGCAGCACAACTGGATTCGTTAATCTGTTCAAGGGTCTTGCCCAAACTTCAGCACAATTAAAGGAAGGGTGGTGATCTAGCGACACCCCCCTAGTTCCAGCGACACCAGGGTGTCGTTCTAGCGACACCCCCACGTGACTCAGTTATACGGATTGGATAATTTTCACGTGTCATGTGATCAGAAAATCAAATTTCCTTCCAAACATTGCCATATTTGGCAATGGAATCTAGGGTTAGGGCTAGATTAAAGCGGCGCTCAATGGTCTTAAGGCACTCAGGCATGCAGTCTTATTGTCACACAAGATGCAGGTCGTCAAACATTTGCATCCTTTATCTTATGGCATAGCGACTCAATGGCCTCAAATCAGTTATTAGCGTCCCTCCTCCAGGGCTATGAAAGCTCTGGAGATAATGCAGAACCTCAAAATGATCTTCACAATCGAATTCCACTTCCCCCTCGTCTAGAAGAAGAAGTATTTGACTCACCTGATACTATTATTGAATTCATCAACAACTTTACCCAGAACCACGGCTATGCGGTTTCCAAACGGCGCTCAAAGAGAGCTAAAAATGGCCATATCAAGACTGTGTTTGTGAAGTGCTCTCTAGGAGGGGAGTACCATGATCGTGTGGTTAAGCGTACGCGACAAGGGAGCACAATACTTACTGACTGTCCCTTCTCCATCATCCTGCGACTTCAGCAAGATGACACTTGGCTTGTTAATATCAAAGAAAAACGCCATAATCACAATCCATCGCCAATATCCACTTATTCAGTCCATCGTCATCGTCAAATACTTGAACATGCTACCCAAATTGAAGCCCAACTAGAGAATGGAATTGACACACGCCATATCATTGCTTCACTTAGGAAGAAGCGTGGAGATAATGTTGGGATAAAGGACCAAGATATATACAATTTTAGACGCAACATGCGAAAGCGCTTCTTAAATGGTCGAGAGCCAATTCACGTCCTTCTCAGCTCATTCCTGGAGACTGGAGACTAGGTTGTTAATTACCAAACCCATAATGATATTGTCACAGCTATGTTCTTAACCCATAAGAGCTGTTTGGATTTACTATGGCTTTATAATACTGTGCTCTTTTTAGATTCCACTTATAAGACCAATAAATATCGAATGCCTCTTCTTGATATTGTTGGTTGCACGGGAACCAATAAGACATTCTGGGTCGGATTTGGCTTCATAAAAAATGAAAAGGAGGAGTCTTATTCATTTATTCTTAAAAGCCTTGAGCAGGTAATCTTCCGTATGGGGCTAGGGCATCCAAAAACAATTATTACCGACAAAGATCAGGCCCTAATGGGTACTATTAAAGCTATATTTCTATATACACGAAATATCTTATGCATTTAGCACATCCAAAAGAATCTGATGGTTAAGTGTCGGCCAGCTCTACGCCAGGAAGTCATTCGAATCGATTATGAGGGCAAGGGTATGAAGAGCACCCTAGTTGATGAATTTAAAGAGAAGATTGAAGCTCATTGGGTCGCTTTTTAGCAGGACTTTATGAAACTCGTCAATGCATATACTGAGGAAGAGAAAGATGCTGAGTGGAATAATTTTAGGGCTAAATACAGCCATAATGTGTGGGACACGGTCTTCGAATATATCAAGAAAGAATAGCTTCAGGAAGATACGGCAAAACACTTTTTAAAATGCTATACCAATAAGTATCTACATCTCAACAAGCAAGCAAGCTCACAGGTTGAAGATGCCCATTAGATTATCAAACGTGACCTTGGAACTTCCACAATGGACCTACTTGGAGCCACACTATCAATTGAAATGACAATTGAAAAACAACACCAAAAAATATGGCAGGAAATTGAGGATGAGCGCGTCCAAATAAAGATAGATTTCAAGAACCTGCGGCTTTTTAAGCATGTTTTGAAGAAGGTCTCAAGTCATGCACTGAAAATAATCCATAGTATCTTTGAAAGATACCTCCCGGAGAGCGCCCCTGATAAAAAGCCAATTAAGCCCTGCACGGGTGTGACTCGACGGACTCTAGGGATTCCTTGCATCCACAAAATCAAGGAATACTATGAGGCTGACACATCGATTGAGCTTTTTGAATTCTGTCCACATTGGCGGCTGCATACCGACGAAGACCTTCCTCCTGTGGATCCACGAGAATTAGTCCTGGAGCTAGAAGTAATCAGACTGCGTGGCCGTCCTCCTGGTGCAATTAACTGGCCAACTACAAGCGAGCAGAGCCAGTCAGCTGAAGATAGATCTACTAGAAGAGATCCCTCTGCATTTGAACATCTATTGACTCAAGAATCAAGCCGAGGACGAGGAAGTGGCCACGTACGTGGTAGCCGTGGAGGAGGACAGGCAAGGAGTGGGCGTGGAGCAAGACAACGAGGTCGTGGTAGTCATGGAGGAGGACAGGCGGGTCGTGGGCGTGGAGGAAGACAGCAGGGTGGTGAATGTGGTAGCGGCTCTGCAGGCACCAGTGAAGTTAGCACTCAAAGTCACGAGAATGATGATAATGAAATTAGTGAGAACAGGGATGATAAGACCAACAAGAATCAGATCAGAAGAAGCAAGCGACGTGGCCATGGCCAGCCAGCGCCATGGCTAGGCGATGAGAATGAGTAACAGGCAAGAAAGGTGCAATTTCTTTTCTGAGACAAGAATCTTACTTTGCTGAAATACTGTATGATTAGACTAGCAGGAAAAATGACAATTGATAGTGATGTGATAGACTTAGCCCTAACCCTAGATTCCATTGCCAAATATGGTAATGTTTGGAAGGAAATTTGATTTTCTGATCACATGACACGTGAAAATTATCCAATCCGTATAACTGAGTCACGTGGGGGTGTCGCTAGAACGACACCCTGGTGTCGCTGGAACTAGGGGGGTGTCGCTAGATCACCACCCTAAAGGAATTGACCAGGCTGAATCCAGCTGGCCACCTCCACTTGATGGTCTAGAGCCTACCTATTGCGTGGACACACGACACATCAAGTCTGTACGCAAATGGGCAGTGCTTAAATTATAAGACGTTTGTTGTGTCTCTTATTTTCTTTTTCCTACTCGATTACCTAGCCCGCACTGCCGCAGTTTGGCCAAAACCGCAAATGCGCAGTGATTCTAGCAAGTTCACCTAACAATCTGGGCTGATTTTACCATCTGCCCAGTTATCATATAACCTTACTCTGCTGCCCTTCAAACATTCTTGGAATTGTTTCTCGAGTATCAAAGACGAGAATACGAGACTTCGACTACGTTCCAAAGAGATACTGACTGATTCGTACCAAGCCGGCCGTGTATGTCTACTTTCAACATGGAGCACACATTTTGTCGTTGTGTAGAATTGGATCGTGACCCGGGGGAACGGTTCGACTTCATTATCGATTTCGACCCTCCTTTTCACAGGACATCGAAAGACTGGTACTGTGTAAGTACACCTATATACCCGACAAGGACGTCAATTGGATCTGACTCTGGTTGAGAACAGTGTAACGACAAATGTACCAAGTGCAACACCGCTGACGCATCAGTATGCGCATCATGCAGCCATCAAAAATGCACCCAATGCAAAAACCCTACTGAGTCAGCAAGCGGAGTGAATATGTTGGGCGGAGACTTGATGTACATATGCGTAAGTTCTGATTCTGTCACTTCATTAGATCAATCCGTTTTCGACGAGTCTCAATGCTGAGAGACGTATATATTCTGGTGCCAATGCCATGGCGGACCGCAAGTTTCGAATACAACACCGCAATGTGTATACTGCGACCATCAAGCATGTACAAATTGCATGTAGACACTCGTTAGTTTAACGAAAGAGTGCCGCAGACGTATATGCATTGTGTTCGGTTCAAATTGATTACTATCCACCATCACTGCAGTTTGTGTAGAGCTTCTATGGCTCAAAATATGATTAAGGGAACCACGCTTGCGTACATATAGGAATCCTCAAATAATTCCCAGAATTATACGACACTTTCGGATTCTATCCCAATTATACTTCGTGCAAATATTCGAATTGAGTTGAAACTGTTGTTCTGAAATAACAAGCATTCGAGTACCTAAGTTACTGCTGCATGTTGTCTAGGACTACTAAAGTACCATACATGATAATATAGGTCTATAGACCTCATGTGGGTGAACCTTTCCAATTACTCATGCACGATAGAAATGGAGTAGATGTTAACCTTGCTGTAAACATCAGTGCCCTGGTTATAATCGCCAACCTTGAAATAGCTGTCAGGGTAACCAAGCTGGCTGGTATCAAAGGTCTGTTTGGCACCGCCATTCAATGAAAATGACAAGACATCGTTCGAGTAGCTCAACTCATAAGTAAACTTTGTTCCTTCGGGAACATTTCCGACCGAGGTAAATATCGAGTTTCCGCCATTTTTAGACTGCTCTACGCCCATGTTGAGTTCGCCCGATGGTGAATAGTACAGTTCGGCAACGGGCTTCGACCATTCAGCTGAGAACACTTGTCCAATGACTGTCCCATAACGTCCATCGTCGGCTTTAGGGACAGTCAACTCCACCGTCATTACATTGGTATCACTTGCCGACCAACTCGATGGATTTTGCTCGCGTAGTTCCGTGCGACAATGTTGACTGTTGGATGTTTTGGGGCAGTTGGAAGAACTGGGGGGCGCATTCATGACGAGATGACTGGTGGTCTCGTTCCAGTAGAACCAGGAAGGATTCTGGAAGCCGTCACAACCACTGAGCTGTGAGCCAGGCACAAAGAGAGGACCACTACCGCCAGAGCTGTACGGTAGCTGGAGTTGGAAGTTTGAAAGAATGGGCATGAAGTATCCAGGCGCACAGGTCGCCCATGCTGTCATAGCATGGCCAGCCAAGCTCAAAAGTAAATACGATTTGGACGGCATTTTGAGAAAGAGATCCAAGTTGGTTCAGCTTTCTGTTTCGATCAAACTGCGATATTATTCTGTCGATGAAGCGTCAGTCCACGGCTTTTATATCTCGCGAAACCAGAAATAGAGGTACGGTTCACCATCACTATTGAATAAAATCTAATACATGTTTGGAAAATGGGGAGCGAAACAAACTGTTGAAACTACTTAGCTATCTCCTTTTCAGGTGTAGACTATGCAAATCTCAAAATTAAAGTAACATCGTGATGTGAAACATGGCTTGTCTTGCCGCAAAATGTAGGGGCAGTTTCCTAAATCGGAAATCTCTAGGTAAAACCCTGGAGATCTTGCAGGTATATGCAGAACATCAGTGGCTTACTAAGTTGTCACAAGCGTCATCTATAACTATCAATATCCTCGGGTAACATTTCAATGAAAAATGTGATTATTGCGCTTCTATAGTTATCCGTATATAGCAACTAGCCATTAGGTAATATTTACTCCAACGAGAAATACAAGGCCCGCCTCCATCCCACTTCGACTTACTCATGGCCCCAGAGCTAACTACTTCTGCTGCATCAATTGTATACTATCATCCGATATGGAGTGCAGGGCCCCTACGTCTACAGTGTGAATCTGGCGGCTACGATAAAACAAACTTAAAGGAAAGGCTGGTCTATTATTTGTGATGCATACGGTAAAGATACTAGACTCTGGTTTTCAAAATTGACAGAATTCATATATGCGAAGATAGGTAAGTCAACAATTGCTGATTATATTGCAATTTTTGCTGATAAAGGCCCCTCGCATGTTTGGCGGATGGGTCTTCTGCCCTAAACATCATACTGCTTAATTCCGACTACCGGGATCATATGTTCAGCAGTTTCAAGCCTTCGAGCATGGTGTTGAAATGAGTTCATGAACTGTATCGAGCGAACGGGTTACCCAGTGGATTCCCCAGCTCGCGGAGTCTCCAAGGATGTATCAGGACTTCATACTTTTTCGCCGTCGCCCACAATTATCATCCAGTGACTGTGTCCAAGGATAATTCCACCTGATTTATCGCTGATTATGTTATGGGGGTTTTTGGGGCCGAATTTGTGTGCAAAGATCGCAGTGGATACAAATCCAACACCATGATGTCACATCGTTCGGTTGTTCGTCAAAATTGAAAATGCCCAGTGAAATCGACGGATTCGCAGCTTCAACACAGATCTTGGCGATTAGTCATGTACTATGGATCGGTTGAGTAGCTATATGAAGGTCTGATCAATAATGCATACTATCTGGACTATAGCATCCTCACACTGACTCAAATTTGTCTACAAACAATTTGGAAACTTCATACCAAATATCTGTTTCATCAATATCTTGCATAAACATAATGCCTCTAAATATCGGCGCCTTAGCCCCCGGACCCGGGGGTACAACAATGCTAGGAGAAAGAGGTGGCATCGAGGCCGCAGCGCAGCGAGGTCTTGAGCGTCGACAGCGCGAGAAAGAAGAGACAGCTGCTCGAGAAGGCAAATTCATGAACGGCGCAATGTCCGACTCTGGGACGACCCTTACTCCCGAGAATGATCAGCCGGAGGAGAACGAACGAGTTGATCGCAAAACAGACCTCGAATTGCACAGCAAGAAGATAGACGGGAATATTTCGTCTCTCAGCGACTCGTCTGAAGGCGATAATGGATCAGCACAAAAGCAGAGTGAAGGCAGGTGGGAAAGGTTCACAAAACGCTTCCAATAGTTCTGAATACCTTTATTTAACGTTATCACGGTTATGTATGTGTATAATATACGAAGAAAGCATTCAATTATCATTAAGTGCAATATCAATATTGGGTATTAATAGACTGGCGGCATCTCAATCGTCACTCTCCGTTTCCCATGAGTCGTCACTTGCAGCATACGAACGACCCGGTGCAGATTGAGGGTCATCCAACGCGTGCTGCATAATCATATTGAGAAGCCCTGCCAATTGGCTAGGCCCAGGACCCTGCCTACCGATGAACTCGTCGTACTCTTCCGGATCGGAATCCTGAAGTTCGACATTAAAGTCGGGTGTTTTATAAGGACATATTAGAAAATCAACCAGGGTGCCGTCGAACAGCTCCCTAAGACTGAGATAACATTGTTGCGGCGTTTGTCCTGGTGGGATGCGTTGTCCTGGGAGCTTAATAGGCCGCGTAATGTCTACTGCGAGTATCAAGAAGTTGGTCAGGTTTGGGTAAAGTCCATTTTTACAATCATTTGCAATGTTTTGGACCATCCCACGAACAGACACGTTGCAATCGGTGATTTGGAGAATTTGTAATGAGTGCGGGAATTGAGGATGGGGTGGTAGTAGTTCATGTGAAATAAAAACGCTTTCGAGAACGGCAAAGTCGCGGAACGAGCCAATTTTGATTTGTTTCTCAATGTGTTCTTCAAGATCCTCGACGTCCCATAAATCCGATGCAAATGCGAGATTGAAATGCTCGAGGGTATCCTTGTGTTGGAGCATGGCTTTATGAGCTTGAGCAGCGTTAAACTCGCGCACATCCTCGGATATCATCGTTCGCTGAACTCGTGGGTCTAGGCTAAAGTTGTTATAGGCGAATGACTTTAGTTTCTTGCATGCCTTCGTGAGCTTCTGAAGGGCATAAGCATCGATGTGGCAATGGTGGAATGCCAAGTCTTCCACTGCCAGCACTCCCGGCGTCCAGGAAGCCGGGAACGACGTACGATCAAGGTCGCCGTACTCAAAACCCGCGGTACGCAGCTTGGTGAGGGTCAGAATTCTCGCATAGGCCGCAATTGAGTGGCCTGCACATTCGTCCTGGGAATCAATCCAGAAAAGTTCTAGATTTGACAACAGTGATGGATTTCGCTGAAAGAGACGGAGGATAGGCTCCATTGAGAACTCACCACCCGGTAGACATAGATGTCGAAGATTGGGAGTCTGGTTGACGAGTAACGCTATAAAGATGCTAAGATCCGCTTTCTTCAAAGCCGAAATCCAAACTTTCTCTTGCTCAGCTAATTGAAGTTGTTTAACGACGCCTTTGAAGAATACAAAGTCCTCGCGGTCGAGCCGCATGGTATCAAGCACATTTGGTGGGGCGACCGCCTCAATGGAGATACGTTGCACATGTTTTGCAAGTTCTGGGTTGCGGTAGATGGACTTAGCGAAAGAAACAATCTTCGTCATATCGCCAGACGTGCCGTCCTCATCAAAATCACGAAACAGGAGCGGCTGTGCAAGGTCGCGAAAAGACCGCGAGACCAAGCAGATATTGCGTAGATCCTTTAACTTATCGGTATCATCGTTAATGTCTTCAATATTGAGCTCGTCTCCGTTTTCATCCGGAGTTTCATCTTCACGCTCAGTAACAAACTCCAGAATTTGTCCCAGAAGCTCTACTGGGAGGTCTTGAATGTGAACCATGGCCGATACTGTGATTGCTCGCAGAATGTTACTGACAGACTTGTCCAAAAGTCGGTCAACGCGATCGACGCGTTCGTTCCGCGAAATGACTAGACTTTATTGGGTATAACCCTAACCCTCAAATCACAATTCAAGCTTCGTGAGACAATACAGCGCATGGAGAAGGGATCCTCCATTTACACTATCCTAATCGTCTTCATCTATGGAACTGAGGGTCTCGGCTTCATCCTCAATATCCGCCAATTGCATGGCTTTACAAACCACCATGAACCGTGCCGACTTGATGACTTGGGATAAAATGGGGGGATAATCCTCCGGGGTCCACAATCCTCTTCGATCTCAAACTCCTAATATAGCCAAGGCACATACTAACGTGCAGCTGTATTCCCGGTGCACCACGCGTTGATTCAACAGCTCAATGCAAAAATCCAAACATGCACGCTGGATAGGGGTTAATAGTGGGATTGGGACCTCCTGGGCTTGATCAAGCTGTAGTCAAACTCGGGATCAAGCTCTATATCGCTATTGATATTATGGCCTATCCAATCACCTTCTATGGATGATCCTTCTTCTCGGGAGCTGGGATCGATGCTGTCCAGGTTATAATATAATTAACCATCCTAGGTTCCTGGGTCGGATACTAGGACGGGAAAATTTACACTAAACAGTCCTATACTCGCTCGCTATCATTATGTAAATTGATATGGAGGATGTTGGATATCTAATTCACCTTGCTGGGTCCGCCAAAAAAACATTAACATCTGCTGCCATGGACGAACTCGGTCTGCCACAATCACTAGATCCTAGTACACCTCCAACAGCTAATACCGTGTTTGATGCTGTTCTGTCCAGATAACTTCTATACGCAAAAATACACCAGTATGAATCACAGATTGTTGGCTCACTTGTCCTAGCTCACCCATGGCTGTCCATTATGGCATGGATAGCAATCCATTGGAAATTGTTGACGGCATTTTCCACAGGTGATGCGGGCATATCAATATATGCCAATAGCTGCTCGCTGGAAAATAATGTCAAATACGATACCTAGCCAGTTCGAAGGAACCACAGATTGTCCTCGTCCATGTGGCCATGCTGGATCTGCTGCGCCGCTTATTTCTCATATATAGTAAACTGCTGATTGGCCTGTTCCCAAATCGTCAATCCATGCCTAGTGGATGGAATGGGACTTGTTTCTACTTTCTCATTCATAATGGTAAAATACTCTGAATTCAACTATTTAGGAAACAGCTGCTGGCATAATATGGACTCACACGCTTGCCTTTTCTTGCTGCTGAATTGCTGATTGCTGAAATATAGTGGGATGATCTTTCTTAATGGTCCGGCTGCGTTAATGCTTCTTCTGCCAATGGTGACGCATGGTATCTTTCTGCTGGCAAATATACTGACATGATTTAACTGCAATCGGCACCGCCATCCGGGCATAGGATCTATTAGCTGGGCTGTGTCTGGGTTGGGGGGATATCCAACTCAATTGGATGGATGGCGATATTCGGCTAACTACAGATCTCATCACCTAGCTGAATCCGCACAGCGGGTGATATATGGCTATAGGCACGCTTCACATGATCCTCAATCTGGCTGGGTTATACGCCGTAGTGGTATTCATGGAACACCACAATGGGGAAATCGTCTAGTCGCTCAAAATATAAATTCTGGAATGGCATGGGGTTGGTCATAGTGATATATATTATGAATATCCAACACTATGGTGTTGGAATCAAACGGATAAAACAAGTGGGAATAAGTTTGATGCGAGAACAGAAAGCGGCAAAGTGCGGATACTTCAGCTGGTCATGGGGTCATGGTCAACGTTCAGCTCGCTATGGCTAATGTATCGCCATGAAACAACATGAATGTCTCTTATATAGAATACATGCTACGGAAGCAGGGAAGATAGGTTTCAGTACATTGACATTCTATACCCTCCCTACCTTGTATGCTCAATTATTGTAATCCCTCTTGAATTTATATAATTAACATTACTGTCTGGTACCATGCCCGCCAAATGGAGTTAGTATTCAGCTTAACTTCATGTAGATTTAGCTCGTTTCATTGCTGTTTCAAGCATATGTTAGAATACAATCTGAAAGTGTTTGTGAGGGAAACTAATTTTGCAGAGGACTGTAACTAGGGTGCACTTCAGTTCTATACCAAAGTAATACAACCTGAGATCAGTATAATATGGAGAGGCCTTCGTTTCTTTATAACGAGGGTGTTCTTTCTATTTAGTCCTAAAGGGGGCTTTCAAAAAAAAAAATCAAGTCTAGGAGGAAGTCTTAAAATTGAAAAACAAACATTGGAGAAAAATTAAGACAGAAAAGAATCAGCCAGATCGTGCATATAGCTGTTGGTCTATTCAGTCCTCAGTTTTGTTGCTCTTTCTGATATCGTCGATGCGATCATCCATCCATTTGCAAAGTTTGATGTATTTCTCCTTGTCTTCATCCTTGACATGATCTTCACCCGTAGACAACCACGTCTTAACAATCCCATCGCATTTTTCAATACATTCTGTTGTTCCTTTTGAAAAAGATTTTTCCACACATCAAACTTTCGTAATGTTCCTCTTTAATTAAGGGTTTCCACTATTTCCTCTCGGGCAGCCGCAATCTGGGGTTTGAGCAAAAATCCATAGGTTTCCTTAAACCCAATAACTGCATTTCGAGTCCGGTCAATCTCATTCCGTTCTTGAAGAAAATCAATCGCTCTGATAGAGAATTTGACATTTCCACCATGGACGAAATTATTCATTTCATACCGCGTTTCCAGTTCGCTATTTCCAGCTATCCATTCTATCTCAAGCATTTTTAGAAGCGCATTCCATCGAGTATCAACATGGTCGTGGAGGGTGACGGAGGCATATTTCATGTATTTATCGACTCACCGATTGCTAGCTAGTATCCATATAAAAATTAATCGTAGTCAAGAAATTGTAGACTGTGGTATTTCCTCAGTTTGCAATGTTTCCCTCTTATCAATGCTCATCTGTTTGATGATTCTCTCTGCATCTTGGTATGAATATACTTTAAATCCCTTTAGTATTGATTTAGATATCAAATTCAGCACATGTGCTAGGAAGCAAACAAAGCTCTCGTCGCCTCTAAAACACTTTAATCTGCGGTCTTCACCCAGCAGATCCAATTTTTGAATTGAGTCAACAAATCACTGTTTGAGGAGCTTGTGAAGAGAGTGGCAGAGTGTAGGGTTATTACTAGCATTGTCATTGCAAATAGCCACGAGTTTCTGGCCTAGATCAAAGTTTTGAAGCTCATCTTGAATCTCTTTGGCCATGTCTTCGCCAGTGTGACCCATGTGGGAACGAACCCTTGAGATGACTGTTGGTTTAACTACGTCCTGATAGCACGAAGCACAGGATTAAGCAGTAAGGCTATTCCAAAGAGCCCATGAGCCGGATAATATTGATGTTATTCGAATATTATGACTGGTTCTCACAAAAGGAAGGAGAAGGACAATTACATGCAAGTAAAGGGGATGTTGGATTAGCTAAGCTGATCCAGCCAATCAGACAGATGAGATCTATCAGCCAATCAGAGCGAGCTACACACTTTAGAGAAGGATCCACCGAATAGGGGCTAAAAGAAAGTCTCTCACCTTTACTGTACGTAGAGAACAAGAAGAATGAGAACAAGGTTCAAGGATTCCATACTTTTGCATACATAATTTGATACCTTGAGATATACCGCTTGAGATTGTTACGTACAATCCAACAGGGGACATCCCCAGTGCGCTGGGCAGGTGGAGCGGAATAACTAATATTCCGGTGCTGATACTCAACTGAGGATTCCCGTACACACAATGACCAAAATGAATAACGAGCTGGCGATCTTCGAAATCCTCTGTAGACAAATGGCAAATAACAAGAATATACTTCTTATTAGATGTCTTCCAAACATCAAGAAAGAAGGAAACAGTCTCAGCGCTAGCTTTTAGTTCCTCATACATGTGGAGCTGACACTTTGAGAACGCTTGATCGATTAGCTAGCGGAGAGTTTGATAGGAATTAATTGGGCAAGGCGCGTTTAGAGCAATTTTCCACATCCTCTTCCACTTTTCATTATCAAGTATACCGAACGGTTGTTAGCAACCAGTATTATCGATAAATAAAATTTACACTGTTAGATTCCTCATATATCATTTACTAATACACTACAAAATCTATTATATTTTATTGTTATATGGTGTTGTAAAACTTCATAATATTTTATATGGTAACCTGTCAAAATCAGGCATCAGGTAGTCTCGGGTATCAGGCGGTGAAGGACGTTCATGACTCATCCGGGCTCTATCTCACAGATTGCGATGCTGAGGCACGATTTCAGAATTCCGTGCTGACATCGGCATTGTGTGTATATTTGCAAATCAAAACCCCAGAAATTACCGAAACAGATAACTCCCAAACGAGAACAAGATGCTGGTCACAACGGGCGACCTAAACAACTCCAAGGTCCAATCACTTCTTGTACACCACTTCAGAGATCTACAATGCAAAGGATCCGCGGATACAAGCTTTGTGCTAGACCTAACCGCTCTTAGACAACCATCTATTACGATTTTTACGGCTTGGGACGGTGACGAGTTGCTCGGTTGCGGCGCCCTAAAAGAATTGGATGCGACTCACGGCGAGATCAAATCGATGAGGACTGCTCCCGAGCATACGAGAAAAGGGGTGGCAAAGAACATCGTTCACCACATAATCACCGAAGCACGGCGGAGGAACTATACTCGACTCAGTCTCGAAACTGGCACGGCATCTGCATTCTCGGACGCTCAACGACTATATCAGCGGCTTGGTTTCGAAGAATGTAGACCATTTTGCGACTACGTTGCTCATGAAAATAACATGTTCATGACTATGAATCTATAGGGAAAACGTATCGTTCTTGCAAATATCTACGATGGAGCCTCTGCCAGAATAGTTGCGTCCTTACCACAATCTCACGTCATTGCAACGGCAATTTACACAGTCGCAGAGGCCGCAGGCATAAAAGACGAAACCTTAAGCCGAGAGGAACTTGTGCGGTCCACGAAAGCAATTGCTGCTTCAATACAAAATTTCAACAAGGCTTTGACTGTTGATATCAGAGATGGCTACGGGAAAATGCTTGAAATAACGGTGAAAGAATTAATTCATGCTGGAGTTGTTGGTGTCAATCTCGAGGATTTTGACAATGATGCGAAGAAAATGTACAGCAAGTCAGAGGCAGCTGATCGGATCAGAACTGTCCTCCAACTGGTTAAAGCTGCAGGAGTCCCTGATTTTGTGGTCAACGCCAGATGCGACACTCTGGTGAACAATGGAGAGTCCGACGAGGTTATCCAGCGTGGTAAAGCGTACCTACAAGCGGGAACCACCACGGTTTTTGTTTGGGGAGGATCGACTCGAGGGGGTATAACTCGTGATGAGGTTTTTCAACTTGTGAAGGCTTTCGATGGACGGTTGAACGTATTGTTAGCTTCGAAAAACGGCTTGTCCACCAAGGAGTTGGCCACTATTGGGGTCTCTCGGATAAGCATCGGACATACGCTCCAACTTGCTGCTCTTGAGAAAATCAAAGAGGTGGCTCAATCTATTCTTAGTCTATAAAATCAAACCCTCCATGTTCTTGTCCGGCCCATATATGAATTAAAATACGATGTAAGCGTCGACAATCTTTCATTGCTCGGTTCCTATTAATAAGTAGCGTATCTAGCTTGTGTCTTTGGTTAATTTGCGAAAGCTTCAAAGGTTTGTGCTGTATCTATCAACCTCAGTGGACCCACGTAAGCCCCTGTTTCATCTGCTCGCAACTTCTTTCTTTAAATTTCCAAATATCTTTCAAGACTAACTTCATTGTAGGATAATATTAGCTACTCTCTACAGCTGATATCCTGATGCTGATATAACTCCTAAGAGACTACAAAAGATCGAACGTAGAGACGTAGCAGGAGTTATAAGGCAAAAGTAGTGAAGAAGCAACTAACCTAGATCTGAGAAATCTAATTATAGTCCTAATACTACCAAGCCTCAAATAGAACTAGTAACTACCGCTGCTAGGGTCAGGAAGCTCATAGGTCTTCGCCCATTCCTCAAGAGTTTCCACCGGAGTGATATCCAAGCTCTCTATAGTCAGAACGTTGAGTCCAGGCTCAGTTTACTCCTCGAGAGGGACAAACTTGAAATAATTCATCATGAGAGCAGATTCTTCCGACCAACGAGGCCAGGGCCACAATGCATTATAGTCCTTCTGGGAAATTTGCACCACCTGCGCCTGTGCGCCCCTTGCTGCAGCCCATTCTCCAACCCACTTCTTAGCTGTCCACTGTCCAATGCTGCCAATGACCATCGCACCATTCTTTGTTTGTTCTGGGTTGGAAATAATGGCCTTGATGAACGGTGTAATATTTTTCACAGCACCAATGAATGGAATGATAGTCTCGGGATCGTATGTTGTAAACTGGACATACTTGTTCGCAGTCTCGATCCAATAAGGACGGAAGGAGGCAATTTGCAGATTATTGGCGTAGAAGCATACCATGAACAAAGTAGTCCTGGGTGGTAAGAACGGACCAGCACGAACAAGGTCGTCAGCTTCCGGCTTGCCCTCGAAATGGTATACAGGGTACTCCTTGTTGCCCTTAGGGAGAGTGCTCCAGACGTAGTGTTCGAGTGTCGGTATTGCTGAAGCTGCTTTGACAAGATTACTAGCTTGCTCGCGTTCGACATCCTTTGCCTTCGTTGGGCCATACATAGGGTAAGAGTTCCAGTAGTCGGTAACTCCGAAGATGATGTGAGAACCCTGGAAAGCGGCGGTGAGGGACTTCAAGTCGTTGAGATCAGCTTTCACAATTTCAATTCCCTCGGAGACCAGGACTTTGGCAGCAGCACTGTCAGGATTACGAGTGACGCCGCGGATGCGATATTGTGGGTTTCCAGCAAGTGCTGCGATGACGGCCTTGCCCTGTTGGCCGGTAGAGCCAACGACAGTGACAATCTTTTGCGACATCGTCGGTATATATTAACGTTAATGTGACTTGAAATTTGGGTTTAATTGAAGTGAAAACAGTCTTGATGGTGATATAATTGTGGACATCACTCTCTGTGCCTACACCTTGAACTCTTTTATACCCCGTAATGCAGCATGATGAACTCAAATGCGTGAGTGATTATTATGTTGTCCTGCTGATTGGTAATTTTATACTTGGATTTATTCATGTACAGGATGCCTACAGTATCTCTTCACAACCCTGTCATATTTGCCATGCTAACCCTAGGTGGAAAGTGGTCAACCTAATGATGGCACAGATTGGTTGATCCAAAAAGTGCTCTTGACACTGTATCGCTATAAATCTTTTTTGCATGTTTCTTCGTGATTCCAGCAGATTTACCATCAGTCCCCTTATTGGTCAGCATGAGAACACTTCACTTCAAGTGAAAGATGTGTAGAAATCAGAATTCCTGTTTCGGAGAGATATCATAATTTTGCTGAGTAAGTGGCATGCTTAAATCAAAGAGCCCCAGTGGGTATCTCACTAGTAGCAGATATGCCTGGTGTAGGACAGAACCTCCAAGATCATTACATGGTTCCTTTCCAATGGGAGACAGACAAGGGCTTTGCCGACATCCCCATCCCAGCTCTCTTCAATCCCAGGGCAAATCAAGATTTCCTGAACGCTGCCGTCATCTTCGATCGTGACACAACAATGATGAAACATACAAGTTTCTTCAACCTCTCGTCCCAGGAACAGCACTGGCTAAGCCGCGCAAATGAACTCAATCTCGAGATCCTCGCTGTAAACAATTGGCATCCCGGAGTTAGCCCGCCCGCTACTCCAAAACTCTTTCTGGGCGCGGTTGGACTTGTCCCCCAATCCGAAGGTAGCGTTTCCCTCACTTCTTCAGACTGGCATGACGCACCAAGCATCCAGTCCAATCTCCTCGGCGATGAACATGGACTGGATCTTGCTTTCGCTATCTCTTACACCTGCAGAGTCCTCAATTTGATCGAGTATACTGATGCCGTGTCACCGCATATTGTCTCCCCAGAGCTCCGGCCAAAATCAGATAGTGAAGAGGATATCACTGCTTCCCTTGGTGAGAATGTTGCAACTCTTTGGCATCCGGCACGTACAACACGAATGGGTCCACTGGATGACGAGAGCGATAGGATGGTTGACCCTTTCTTCCGGGTCCGTAGATTCGAGAACTTGCGCATTGCGGACCCTGGTGTTGTACCTGTTATGCCAAACTGTCACCCGGCGTCGGTTGCATTGCTGATCGGAGCTTGGGCATCAGAGCGTATAATCACGTAACGTAACTTGTGATTATCGTTGAAGAGATAGTGGCAAGCCCGGTTCTGAAACAGGAGGTTAATCCAAAGAGTTGGACAGGAGGAATTATCAATATGGCAGAGGTGCTTGGTGTTTCCAATCTTCGTTAACAAGTGTACTATTACTAACGTACAGAGACTGAAGCTTGAGAAAGGCAAACAATACTATCTACAGGGATCCTCATTCTTATGCGTGCATGGATTCCAAGATCGGAGTCCCAATATGGTGGCAGGTATGACAGGCCAGATAGAGCTGGCATGAGATAGATCAAGTCGGTGGACTGTTGACAGGAAATATGACCTGTCTACTTAATTGGTGTGATTTGTCACAGCGACCCTGTTGTGCTGTTACAAGTTCCGTGTCATGTCCTTCGATCGTATGCATTGTATACGTGGTTCAGTTATGCAAACAACGAGCAGATTCTTCGGCAACGTTGCACGATGTAGCTATACACTCCATCATTTGTGATAAGGAATCCTCAGTTGCGTGTAATTGCCAAATGTACGTTGTAAGTGAAGTTGATCTCTACTTGAAGTCGTGTTATAGACCAAGTTCCAGGCCTAGATAACTGCAGAAAACGCCATTCGGGTCCCATTTCTGTCTAATGGCTTTCAACTTCTCTTTTTCTTGGAATCCCCACAATCTTGATTGCCTTTTGAGAAAGTCAAACTCGCCAATATACGCACCGGTTGAGTGTCGACCAACCTCCTCCATGATATTTGATACCCATGCTTGATTGTGCACATCATCTTTAGCGTCTTCCCATATCCCGTAGAGCGCGAAATAATGATCCGACTGCACGCTTAATGCCATTGGCGGCAAGTCCCGGCGGCTTGTAGGAATCAAGGAGTTATAGAGGACTAATGACTTCCTCGTGGGTAACGTCGAGAAGGCCTTTTCAAGGATGGACGGAACGTCCACATCGTTATGCAAGAATGAATTATCAGCGCAATACCTGTGCTTTTCGGGGTAAACCTTGGCTTTGTGCCTGAATTGCTCGTTGAAGCTAGTGTTACCGCAAAAGGAGCGGGTTACTGCCCCATCCGGGTGCGACTCATCCGCACGGCGTAACACTTTTATGACGCTTTCATCACTGTCACCGAGGGCTAAAAGGGCGACTGTTATGCATGGTTCATTAAACTCAGGCGGGTAACTACCAATGACGGCAATTTCCAGTCCCTCATCGATGCCCGAAGGAATCTGTTTGAAATATCAGTGGAAATAATGTGTGACCGGTTTTAGGGCACTGCAAATGAGGTGTAGTCAGAGTGACGGATGGATACCTTCTTACCTTCAAGGCCCAGTCGAATACAGGTTGGTAGTGCTTCATAGTATAAATATATAATGAAGATTTCATGATTTTCGGTAACAACCTGGACTGGAGGTGAAAACGGGTTACTATTCCTGGAAAGCCTGGACCGGAGCCCCGAGTTGCCCAAAAGAGATCGTTGTTTTGCTCAACATCCGCATGAACAATTTCACCGGTGCTTGTCACTACATCGACAGCAACGACATACTCGCATGCCCAGCCCCAGTTCTTTATTACGTTTTGTCAGCCATACGCTTCGACTCAAAAAGGGGGAGAAGGCTGTATGAGAAAGAGGAGGTATGCAAAGGGATGAACTAAACGTAGGAGTAATATAAAACATACATTCGAATTCCATCCCATGCCACCACAGAGTAAGTAACCCCCGAGTCCAACATCCGGGCAGTGTCCCACTGGGAAGGTGCGGCCTTTGGCGTGCAGATAATCAGATAATTCTTTTCCCGTCGTGCTGGGTGATACTCTAACCACACCAGTCTCTTCATCGAGGCTAATATCTGAGAGACAGCCGAGGTCCATCAGAATGGTATCATCACGAAGACTCCATACTGGCCAACTGTGCCCACCGGCACGAATGGAAATTGAATATTTTTGATCAATCGCTAAGTTTACAGCATTGATAATGTCGGACTCAGTTTTAGCAAATATAATTGCTTGAGGATATCTGGTGGGCCGTTGACAATTGAAAATTCTTTTGACGCGAGCCTCTTCGTAGACCGATTCGTTTACCTGCCCGCGCCAGATGATAGAAAGTGGTTGATCGGGTTTAGTCGAGCGTCTGCTGTATGCCAGTAGATACATGTTAGACATTGAACATGATAGAAAGCCAGGCCTGACTGCTTATGTGTCCATTATTTTGATTTGAATGGCTGTTGATTGAGTGGTTTTTGTGCTGTGTTCACCTTTCACAAGTCTGGTGTGGTTAATGAAAATCTGTGGTGTCCTTAACAATTCCCGTCACGGGTGCAAACTTACCTAAGTAGTCCTTTTGCGGCTTAGCGCCAGTTATACTGTATTGCTAGGTATGAAAAATCGTGGCGCTATGTATTTTGTAGCATTTAGATTGGTTATTTGGACAAAATGGATCCATATCCAGCTATTTTGCGTTATTTGCGTCATGTGCTCGGCAATTCGACAAGTTTGAATAGATCCATTTACTATGAAAAATACTAGTCACTAGGTTTACATTTACTATGTACAACGTTCAAATTTAAATTAAGGTATATGAAAGCAACAAATAAAGTATCAGATAATAGTGCTGATCTGCAATTCACATATGTAAAGGAATTCGATCAACTACACATGCATCATTTCAGCACCTTGGAAGATTGACAGAAGGCTCAGTCACGTTCATCGGAGGTAACACTTGTTGTCACAGGCTCGAAGCAGCCATCATGGTGTATATATCCAGACTCCAGAAGGTAAATCCCGTCTTGACCTACCTCTATTTCGACCGCCTGCAATACCCGTTGTGTTCTAAAGCAAATGAAATGCAACAGCAAGATTCAAAGATAATAGTCCCAATGTTACTTGTGGCTGATTCGTTACAGCTGCCCCGATAAATCTCGTTGTCGTAGCACTTGCCGGTTTCACTGCTGAGCTTGAGCTCAATGCTGACCGACTGAAGTCCCCAGAGCTTGAGGTTGTAGCACTCACTTTGGTCGTGTTATACGGAGTCGCTGTGACTGTATACGTCTTGTTGAGGAATGTGACAGTCATAATTTCCCCCCCTGGGGGGCTAGTAAGCGACGCCAGTCCAGGAATATTGCTAAGTGCCTTGGTGTGGTTTGATGGGAGATTTTTGACATCCAAATATGTTCCGTTATCAGCTGTTGCGATACCAAACTGCCCATAATAGACATCATGAGTTAGAGCATCGCAAGAGCCATTGGCCGCGATATTTGCCTGACCCTCTTCTATCAGGATTGGGACGCCAAGAATGTCTTTTTGCGTACCAGGACATATACCATATGACCTACGCAGTCACGGCGATGAGCGTTAGCATCATAGTTCAACAAACTAAAATACTCAAAATAGGAGAAACACGTACGCACTCACAGCGGCACTGTATACACAGCACTGGCATTCATGCGTTAGGGTCTTGTTGTTCATACCCCAGCACGTGTAGAGAGTGTTATGGTTCAATGTAGCATTGATCAATGAATTACCCAGATTTCAAGAGCAGCTATCAGGTGCGTTGGCAGGTGCAGGATAGAAAGGTGCACTTTGAATGTGGTCTCGATCAATTGCGAGAAGATATTCAGACGCGCTATATTGGTACGCGCAGGTATACACCTAGCGGTGGTTTGTTAATTTCGTATCAAACAGTCATTTCTCTCAAATGAAAAGATGATTAAGATTAATTACCTTGTTCTAGCAACTACCATAGTAGCAGAGCATCTGATCAACAAGCTCCTGCACTTCGCAAGCGTTAACACTCGAGTTGGGTTGGCTAGTACGCTGAACTGCAGCAGTATTGGCACTTTTGAGACATGATGTAAATTCAACCGAGTCAATACAATCTCGAGAGTCAGGGGTTGTAATGTTTTGTGCCCGCACTTTGAGAATGAATGTGAGAATGGTCGCCCGGAGTAGTAGCGGAGCACGCATTTTCAACCACAACCTCATGAAAGCTATAAAGGTATGTTCTAAGAATTTTGATCTGCTAGATCTAAAAGGTCTTCCTCTATGCCAGTAAATATACGTAACATGAAGATATTTGGCCTGACTTCGTCACGGTCACTGTCTTCTTTCTCTGGAGCAGAACGATAACCATGCAGTCAAGCAATTATGGACTAGCTACTTTTCACACTGATACTTTCTATTGGTCTTTTTGACACAAACCAGGACTTATTCCAAAACTCGACCCATATTTCTGGGGTAGAGTCGAGTCTAGGAACTTCCAGCCCCGAACCAGAGTGTCGATTGCAAAGATCATTCATCGCGCCTGATTTTCAAACAAGCAACCAACAATCTAAATCTGGGATTTGGATAATAGGTTATAGTTAGCAGTACTAGTCTTTTGTATACAACCTTTCTCGCTTTGCAAGCGTCCACGTGTGGTGAAAATCTCCGAAAATTCTCCATTGGTGGGAAATTTGTTAGGGCTAATGCACCTGTATACGCAAGGTGCCCCCCATTCCGGCCTACCTGGCTAGTCAGCATAGCCCGGACTTTCTAGTACTCCGTTACTAGATAGTGGGTAGGCAAAGAAAAAGAGCCGCCTCATTTGTTCAAACTTCTATGCACAGAATACCGGACGCAAGATCGTCCCGTCAAAATAATTGAGCGCAGCCGCCCGAAGGAAAGTTCTTGTCCAAAAATAGAGCGAAGTACTGTCTAATACTTTCGCTTTAGGTTTTTCTATTTGATGACATGGTGATGTCTGAGCCTAACTGACCAACTGGGAATCCTATCAAGCCGAGAAAGAGCCAAGCGCGTATGATATGTATCCATGGATACAGTCCATTATCTTGAGAGTCGCTCTTCCCGAGAAGTTTTATGCTTTTAACCTTTTTAATGAATGAAAAATTTAGACTCCAGCTATATATTTTCGTTCGCTATTTACATCCAACAATAACCACCGAGAATGAAGGGGTGTCGACATGCAACATTAAACGTGTTCTCAAAACTTAGTTCACGCTCTCCTATACAATAATCCCATAGCTACTCAGGGTTTACCTAGGTATCCGCTACAACCATTTATCAGAACTCACAACGGGGACACTCTGAGGATTATGGAAAACATCGTGATGATCGTAAATTGTTTTGATTTGTTCCAAACGTGGAAGGTTGTCGGCCCAGTAAAGTTCGGGTCCATTCGAAAGTAGGGGGTCCACGTAACCTGCATACGCGTAAAAATTCTCGTTTGGAAAGGCAGAGTAGATAACATCATTGAAGCCATCCAGGAAATCAATAGTGGTTTTCGAGACAGTGCCATTAGTAGCGGCGTAGGCGAAGATCCAGTATAGGACGTCACGATGAGGGAAAGCTGTAGCATTGCTAGCGACTGCAGCCATGGCCCCAGAGACGAGTTGGACTTCTAGCTGATAAGTTAACGCATCGTCAGGCGTTGTAGTGAGATACTCGAACATTGAGTCAATTGTTTCATTCGACAGTAATGCATTTGGCATGACATCGAGTGACTTGGCATAGAAATATGCCGGTCTCTCGGCTGCTGCGGCCTCATTAGCCCATATAGCCACCATATCTAGCCAGTTTGGTATGACAGTAACATTCGCGGCCGGGGCAATACTGAATGCTTGTTCAAGACCCAAGGCATTGAAGTCATCCAAAGACCCAAAGAAGGCGCCGGTGATTTCAATAACTTGTGGAAGCCCAACCATCATGATATAAAATTCCCAAGACAAGTTAGGGTTGGAAATAAATATTTGGAAATCTCTGAAAACTTGGGCCTGGGCTGTGGCATTTAGACCCTCAAATGAATATGTGTATGACACACCACCAGTGGGAGCAGCTTCTGTGCGCAAGACAAACTCGGTAACAACGAAAAAGCTCCCGCCTGCTCCTTTCAAGGCCCAAAGGAGATCCGGGTGCTCGGTTTCGGAGACTTTGACAATTCTACTGTCGGCCAACACAATGGTAGCAGACACCACATGGTCGATGGTAGCTCCCCACTGACGAGAGGTAGGGCCTACACCACCAATAGTGGCATGACCTCCAATACCAACATCGGGGCATGAACCGTGAGCCACAGCACGTTCCCCCGAGTTGTATAGGGAGGTTGTGACACTGCCTAGTCGAGAACCGGCACCGACAGTGGCATAACCTGTTGAGTTATCGTAGGAATACCCATTTAAATTGGCAAGATTGACCACAACTTCTCCACTTTCTCCTCCCCAGCCTGCCAAGTGCTTGTCAGTCTTACAATGATTTTGTTGTTCACCAGCGATTAGCATGTGGAGAGTATGTACTTACCATAGTTCCCGTAGCTGTGGCCACCACCTTTCGCTTGTACCTTATAATTCCCTTCAGCAGCACATTTTACAACTCCTGCAACCTCTTCAGTAGAGCTTGGGTACGTCACAGCCGCAGGTAAAATTGGTATATTCAAGTTGTAGATAGTCAGACTACTATTGTAGTTAGGTGAGCTTGGTGTGAAAACAGCAGAGTGATTGGACGCAAGGGCTGCCAAAAGACAAGTGGAAAGTCTTGCTGCCATGTTGGACAGGTTTATTTGTCGTGATCTTTCAGGAGAGGTGTAGGAAAAATGTTCCAGAAGTGTACTTCGCGTATGGAAATTGCTTGAGACGAGGATGGATGACTTTATATTTGACTTTCCAATTATTTGGGAGAAAAGATCAACCACTACCTAGCATTTGAATGATATCCGTAATTTCCGGAGTAATCAGAACTGTGAGTCACAAAGGGCAATAGCAAAGTTATTGATTACTCCCAGTTACTAAAAAGAAATAGAAAGCTTAGCCCTTGAGGACACATGTTAGGTCCTGAGCCCTATCTCATGATACGACTAGTCAGTGCTACTTCGCAGTCGCCACCAGGTGCTGTATTGATCTCACTACGGCAGAACAAGCCCCCAATAGCCGGATACTGTAGAGCTGGCAGGCGCTAATGCACCTGTTGTTTGTTTTCAGTAGTAGGCAATTGCACAACTCCGTACTGCCACTTACTATTCTCAGGTTAGCACAACTGAGCGACAAGAACATATTTGGATCATTACACAGACGCTGATACTTAAGTGTACGCACTAGTACTACCTACCATGAGTGCCGGTGTGGACAGCGATTGAGTAGGTAATCGGTACTCCGTACTCTCATAGTTTCCGATGAGGCTCTGGTCAACGGCTAGGTACATGCTACGTGGCTGAATGTCGGTTCGGAGTTTATTCTCGTATGCCTTGCCTTGCGCGATTACGGAGGCAAGTAAATCCTTCAGTGGCTCAATTTTATTTGGTCTCTCACGCCAAATACCTACGTATCGGGTTTCCTCTCACGCTTCTCGACTTTCTAATTCCGTTTTACCGTAGTGCACACCCCCTCGCCGTTGTTACTCACTGAGTTAAACCTCAACGAATCTGCGGAGGGTCAATCGTTTGTTTGATTTGAAAACCTGGCAATGTATTAATTATCATAAAGCCTTACATATGTAGCATTTGCACGTTTCGGTCAGTACTACCGATCGAAAGTGCTACAAACCAACATGGTTGGAGAAGTACAGTTTGAAAAAACCCGTCTTAACACTATACGTCTACAGCTCGAAATATGAATTAATTCTGAATATTAACGTATTATATAGCGCTAGGATAGGCGATTTGGGCTTAAAGAGGAATCCCATATTGGCCACAATACATCGTCAAACGCGGTACAGATCCCGTCAGACCTCCCCGAGAATTGAATCATGCCACCCAAGTTGTCGTGGTTGTTGTTCATACAAGTTTCCGTATGCATTTTGGGTAGCTGTTCGCTGTAAGTGGATACTCCATCGACATATCTTCTACGCGCGCGTTGTACTAGATCGACTTGAATGTTGGCGCCCATACGAGATCTCACAGAGATTGAATCTGGCTATGAAGGCCACATGAGCTTGCTAATATAATCGATGATGTCGCATATCCTATCGTAGTGATCTCCTTTGCAAACTGAAAGAGATGAAAATATGTACCAAGTTAGACTGATCGCGTTTTTAGCTTCTGTATCATCGTCATTCCGTAAATCCGATCTTCTTATGAGTTGCAACAACACAGAAGCGGCCGAATGTATGTTAGCAAAGTCCGAAGAAGTCCAAATGTGCCATATATTCGATGTGGAAGGTTCTAGCATATGTAAACCATCGTAAGGCCTGTAATCTGTTGCCTTGTCTTGGCATGAGATTGCTATGAGCCGTAGAGCGGCGGTGTAAGACTTGGACAGATATGACGCGACAGAGATCCGTGAAGAGAAAGTTTTCGGGCTAACGTTTATAGTCCTCTTTTCTCTTTTTGCGTCTACTGGTCTCTCGGATCGGAGGAATGCATATGAATAAAGTCTAAGCCTGACACCAAGAAAGTGCCGTTCGACATCATCCTACCAGGTTACTTTGTGTCTTATTTCGAATTGCTCGAGCTCCAAGTCAGCGGCTTGTATCACAGGTAGCGGATCGGATGTGAGTCCATCTGCAGTCGAGACATCCTGGCCCAGTAAGTTTGAAAATGTAGCTTCCTAGTATGCTAGGTTTAGTAGCTGCTGGAATGTCCGATTACAATAATCGTCACTGTTTAAAGCTTGCATGATTGTGTAGTCTGGTCTGATGGTGGGTGGGACTCCAAGTCTTGAACTAATGCTACAATAATTAGTCTGTAATCAGGCATGAAATATAACTGAAGGAGCGGGTAAAACTTTTGATTTACGATGAAGCAGGCAAGCCAGGTGTTCCTCATCGATGCGAGTAATTCGTGATCCAAACCGGCCTTGTCAACAGATTCATTGGAATGCTTCGGTAGATGGAAGCTAAGATGATGCGCTTTGTGTATAGCAATCCCACAGTAGGTCCACAAAGGGTCATCAATGACTGCCCCGAAGGGCATTGGCCAGACACACAGTAGTATATATGCTTGAACTAAAGGTAGCGAAGGGGTCTCTTGGATAGCACTATCCGTAGCCAGTCGCCTAAGCGGCCAGTTGAGACTTTGCCGGAAGTTCTTGCATTCTTGGATAGATCTTGATAACACGGTAACCATTGCCCAAAATAATAGGGAACAGGTACCACAATCCTGTAGTACTCTTTCTTTGGACGGAAGAAATTGAAATCGGGAATGATAATATTGAAAATATCTACTAGGAGTCAGCACGGTGCTAACCACGAAACATGTGGGATAGGTGTACTCGTCCAATATTCTCATAAATAGGTTGCGAGATACCGTGATTTGCTCCAACGTTTGGACGTCTGGGATTACCGCTGAAGCCGAGCCTGGTTCAGTTCTGGAAGACTGTACATCTCGCAGTGCATCCATATTATCCGCCACTAAGGGCGTATCTGAAGGGATTTTTAGACCATCCACACTGGTTGATAAGTTTTTACGGATATTGTGGATTTCTCGCTCCAGATCCTCCAGACGGCTATAATTGTTAATACTCGTACTAATCAATGCTTGTCGGGGTTGCTTGCTGACTCCCTTTTCGTGGCCCTTCTGAAAGAGGGATCAATGGAGCAGTCACGGCCAGCTGTTTGGCATCGGGAGCACGGTGCTGGGAACCTGTCTCCAGAATCGTATCGCAGCTAAGATATGCATGCTTAGTGTCACGCACAGCCTAGAATATCCGCAAAGCACCTACCTTCATCTGGCGGCAGTGGACACATGCCACTACTTTACGTTTCTTGTTTGGCGGGTTCATTGCATTACGAGATTGTCAAGGATTTGGAGAGCTTTTGTTTTGCTTGCTGTGTGTGGGTAGCTTTATTTCCTCTGCTTTGATGGCAGTTGACGTAGTCTGCTGTAACAGTACTGAATCAGTACAGCATGATATCTGTGACAAGCCACCCCAAGTAGGGGTACGACAGGAGGTCTCCTGTCAACGACTCCTGTATGCATAAGAAGGAGGTCTTCTGTAACGAGAGTAGTTTTCTTCTCTCAAGCTTCAGTCTCTGTATGTTAGCAACAGTACCTTTGATGAAGATTGAGCACATCGAATGACTTTCTGCCATATTGATAATTCCTCCTGCCTAACCATCGGATTAACCTCCTATTACATCTGCGGAGTTTTTAGTTTCCCCGAGATCCCTGGTGGGCTCTCCGGATCAATCGGGTTGCGCGGACTGCCGCTTGTACCAATCGGATCACTATGTACGCTATGGTGAGGCCCCCATTGCAACCGAGATACATGTGTGTGTGTGTCTATTTAACGGCCGTGGTTCGTGACTCGCACGCTTCCCACCGATCCCTACTGGGACATAGGCCGCCGAGGGGTAAACCTCGGGCTTCAAATCGTCTATCAGATTTATATACAAATAAGAGACTCTTTGGCGCATTTCCGTAGCTGCCGTGGTCTTACTGGGAGGTCCACTTCTGAGTGGGTATTGGGTATTTGCCAGCTGCAATGGTCCACCTACACTCTGTGATCCATAATTCTACCACCATAGTAATTTAGTAGTGAGTTTTACAAAGATAGAGAGAGATAGGGAAGAGAAAAAGAGAAGCAAAAAGGAAATATAAAAGTGAAGTTAGGCTGTCTTAGCTAGGTACTAAGGAGAGATTAGCGAGGGCAGATATCCTCAAAGAAGCAGGTTTCTGCTAGCCATGTGGCTAGTCTTTGTGCTCCTTTCACAGTGCCCAAAATAAAAGAGATGACCTCAGAAGGGGGCCCAGGAGGATGAGAGGCTCATCTCTTAGCTATATAGTAGAAGAAGAAATGCAGAGGTGCTTTTCGTGCTCCGCACTGATAGAGAAGATAAGCGTTATCATGGATAAAATGTTCGTGGTAGTCCGCAAAGTCTCCATGACTAATACAGGCTACGATGATATAGCCAAGGTCAAGTTAATTAAGTCAAAGCTCTCTAGGGCGCTTAGAAGATGTAGTTATTTCTAGGTCTTGATATGTCTGTAGTGCCACAGTCTGCCACCATATCTGAGTGGCGGAAAGAGATTGAGTCTTGGCGTATCTCTTTAGCGAGGCATATGAGGACTTGTGGAGAGGGAGGGATAGGGGCAGCTCCTTCTTTAGTAGCAAGGTCAGCCGCTTCGTTCTCAGGGATTTTAGCGTGTCCAGTGACCCATCGAATTCAGATAGATCCACTTTTGGTGTGAGGAAGCATTTTGCAGAGTAGCCAGGCGGCTGTGAGAGTACAGAAGGATCCAAAGACTTCTTAGGAAGATCCTATGGAGGGAGATAGAAGGCGTGTAGCAACTTCCAGATTGTCAAGGTAGATCCATAGGTCAGTGGCAAATAGAGCTATTAGGTATGTGATAGCTGCCTGAGCACTAGCTAAAGCAGCTTCTGCTTCTATATCAAAGACTTCTTTTCTAGGTCCATAAGAGAGCGAGGAACGAAGAAACTAGTAATATACTTAGAAACTAACATAGCCACCACTAGTATATCCATTTTCAAGTCTGGACCCATCTAAAAAGATTATGATGTCAGAGCTAGGAATGGTATATTGAAAATCTGAGAAGTCAGTTGCCGCCTGTTCCTTTGTGCGTCCCTTAGGTGCTCCTATTCAAGCTTGGGC